GCCCTGCATGCCGAATGTAGATATTTCTCGTGCACAACAATTGCGTGCGCCAAAAACAAAACAAACCAACATGAAAATCTCCCAACGTCCGCGTCTTGTGTTTTTACGAGTGCGCGTCTGCTTTAATTGCGTCTTTTGTTCATGCATATTGACCTAGTCGTAAACCGCCTGCAGTATAATCAATCATAAACCTGCAGTGTGTAAATAACTTCATTCTCCGCCCGAAATTTCATTCCACCAACGGTGTTAGATCACAGATTAATCTAACGCATGTAAATTGATGAGTCGAACAAATTTCCTACACCACTCCGCCAACGATTAATCTTAATCCTCATTAGTCAATGATGATGATAGTGATGCACCGCTGACCTACTCTCCGAAATTGTGTTAGGTCCAAGAGAATAAATATCGAAAAATTTCAAGCGCTGCGTATCGTATAAATATCATCACGCCATAAGCCGGCATTAAATTTCCAGCTTTTCCACGCTAAACTTGTCTCGGAAGAAGATATAATATCGTATTTTAATGGCGTATAAATGTTAAGGCCGTTTAGGGAGATTAACGCATTGTTGCGCGCTCGCATACTGACGTCTCCGTAATAAATTCCGCCCGGTGTGATGATGATAATTTTAAAACGTGCGCGCAGGGTGAGAGGCTGCTGCGCGTCTGTCTCACAACTCAAGAGTTGTCTATCGTCTAATGTGCCTGCCGCTTTTTTCGGAGAATATTGTACCGTAATCTATGCGCGATTGTTTGTCTTCCAACTTGCCCGACAAGGTTGTCTACGAGAACCACGTGCTTTCAAGTAAAATACCTGTTTGGGCATTAAAAACTTATTTTTCATTTCAAAATTTTTATTTTATTTTTTATGATTCTGATTTATTTTTAGCACAAAGAGAAATTTCGCTAACCCTTTTATGGTATCTCGCGCTGTCTGACTTTCTCTTGAACTCGCGGCGCACTTAAACTTAAGTCATGTGGTCAAACTCTCAAAATTCCAGTCGCCGGAAAAAAGTGAAATTAATAACATTTGTAAGCACGAGAAAAAAAAGGTAACGGGTTTTAGTTAACTGAAGAGATGCACAACAGCATCTTGAGGTGATGGCGATGCACAGTTATCCACTCCACATCAAAAGACTTAAGTTAAGTTAACTTAAGTATTTTGTAGCCGTTTTTGATTTAAGACTTTTAACATGTGTAGCGCGTTTTTAACTTTTAATTTGCAAATGTCAGACCTACAAAGATCTATGGCGATATTTTAAGGTTAGGTTGGTATGATACCGTTATATCCTGAGATTTATTCGCATTGTGTATGGCTAAACGTGTATTATTTGATATATTGTGCTCAAAACAAACCGACGTGGATTTATTGTTTCCAGATTGCGATCACATCGCAAGCGGTGATTTTACGAACAGCCTGTATGTTTGTTAGCTGCATGAGATTATGATTATGATGCTATTTCGAGAGAAGCCGGGAATGATTTGTGCGCTCGATGGAGCGCAACCACGCAAAAAGCAAACAGTTGGAAATTATGTAATTAGACCAAAAGGACGAACATGCCAAACAAGCAAACACACACAGAGTGCTTTCCTAGCATCTGCTGGTACATCTAACAATGAATAACGAACAGTTTAACTTTTTTTCTGCAATTTTTGCTGTGTTTGAACGTTAGAAGTGCATGTGAGTGCAATTTATGGCGTAACAGCAATTATCCCCAATTGATAAATCCGAGCAAATTTATGCCCGCGCGCCGTCGGGAACATGAGGTCCTTAAATTACACTTATACGCGTAACACCCATTTACACCAGCGGGAACACAACGTCAGCGTCATGCAAAACCTGTTTTTTTTTTCGTCGTCGACTCTTCTAGATTTTCTGCTCGCGCACGGTTTTGTTTCACCGCGCTGCGGCGTCGGATCGTGTTACTTATCCTAGGCACTTAAAAAATAGAAAAATTCAATAATGTGGGCTGGACGCGAGTGTAAATTTACACCGATTAAAAGCGAACCGATATGTGAACGTAATAATATGCAATTACTTCGTCTTGAGCAATAAATTTATCCTAGATTTTTACGCGAAAAGGCAACCATAAAAAAAGACAGCGCACAAAAAATAAATGAAACGACGTTTATGACTTGGACATCTTCTTGTTTCGAGGCATGAAAATGTTTACAATGTAAAAAATAAATTTCGCGCTCATATTTACTTTATGAGTTTCGCACCTCATTTTTTATGTTTGGAAAACTTATTCGCGCGTTTTTAGCACATTTTATGTGCGCGTTTTTTTGTGTTTTGCCAGAGTAATAACACAAAGTACAATATTCTATAAAATTTAAAAGGGATAATATAGTTTTTTTGCCTTGCAGAAAGAAAAAAGAAGACATTAAATTTAGAAAAATTCAAGAGTTTTAAAAGTTATTAATATAAGCCAAAATTATTTATAAGAAAATTACAAGGAAAAATCAGTATTTTCCCTTTGCAAAAATCTAAATTTAGATTTTTCGAAAAATAGTATATTAAGTATCAAGTGCGCTAAATGTTATTTTAACCACGAGTGTGATTAAGAGCGAGTGTTTACTACTTTAGTCACAGCTTTGGCCGTCCGTGATTAAAATGCCACTTTTCGAATCTTAAAACCGTGAAAAAAGTGGCACTTTACTTTACTTTGACAATAAAATATTATAAAATATTATATTTAATAGAGATTACAAGAAAAAAATCAGTTTTTTCAAAGAAAAAATCAAATATTTGAATTTTTAACGAAAAATCTCTATCAACCTACATTATTTCTAAATAACGATATATATGTATGAGAAATTAAAACCCGGTGAGAAATTTTTCGTTGTAGATTTTATATCTAAACCAACGTTATGTTTTATGTTGCATAATTACACCGCATGTATGTGTGTATGTCGGCTGCGAGGCATTGTTCGCCTCTAATTTGATGGCATCATATTAACATCAAGACACAACCGCATATTGTCTTTCTAAGACACCGACTACGGATATTGTTTCGCGCGCCCACTCGGATATCATTTGCGGGTTCCGTTTCCGTCTCATCTCGATCAGCGTCTTCTTCAAGTTCACCATGTTCACATAATCCAACAACACATTAACAACATTCAACTAATCCACAATTTTTACTCCAAAAACTAACAAAATCAACTTTAACTCCAAAAATGAACACAAAAAAAAAACGCTCATTACTGATCTATAAATCGTGACTTAAATTCCAATTCCGCGCAACCTTCATCTTGATGATTTGATGATTTAATTTAATTACACGTACATAATGATAATTATTTCAAACAAGTACGTAATGTACAGCGATGGTTAACAAGCCACCACAGTAGTACCCGTACTGGACCTGTATCTGCAGTTTATGTAATATTTTCTCCTTCAAACGCGATTAATTATCACAAGGATGCGCACTCAATGTGCCCGGGCGTGTGTGCATGTTTGCTACGTTAATGAACACTTAAATGTACGCATGTTGAAAACGGCGCGATGCGATAACGATGCGCGTTGTCTTGTTTTTTATTGTACACAATTACATAATGAACGACAAATGATAAATCACACAGCGCGATCAAGGTAACTGTAAACGTCTCTTCCTTCGCAGCGCGTTTCGACAGCGCGAGATGAGGAAAATTAATTCGTGGTGCTACATTTGCATGCCATTTGCGAGCATCAAATCAAATCTATCACAATGACTCATCATTCCAGCAATAAAAAAAAACGTTAAATGTTAATATAATTTGTTTAATTTAATTTCATAATTTAATACGAAGTGAAGGTTTTTTATTCGCGAAATTCTGAATTGATGGAATTGACGCTTGGATGATCAGATGGCGTAATGGATGGTAATTGCGGTTAATTGAGGTTTAATATTCGCGTAATTAGTACACTATGTTGAAATGCACTTTAAATCATCATCATCTAGCTATTTTTATTTATTTCTACTTTTCGTGTGATTTTTATATGAACGTGTCATCCACATCATCGCCGAAAATAACTCAGTTACGTGATTTTGCATATTAAACACATTTAAATGTTAGAAACATTACTTAAGCACCTTGCGCATGCGCATCTACAACCAAAATATTTCTCTTTCAGTTATTCATTGAAATAATGTAGGTTGACATTATTTTTTATTAAAAGGACCTCTAGAAACATGACTTAAGTATGTTGCGCATGCGCAGCAGACATTCACCAAACTAAAAACTTAATTAAACAAAAGAAAGTATCGCATTTCTCTTATTCGTTATCTAAATATTAAAATAAATTGTCAATCAAAAGAATAATGAATGAAGAGAATGTCGAATAAAAATTGAAAGTCAAATTTAAACCAAGATATTCATCCGTAGCACGTGCATAAAACGTAGCGCTTTATAAACGAGTAAATTAAGCAACATTTCAACTAATTAATAGCCCCAACCAACTCATAATAGAATAAATACACCTATTAAAGAGCTCCCGAAAAAAATCCGGCAATAATTTTAAGTCACACCACGAGATCGTCCAAAATTGCACGTAAATTATAAACATACATAAAGTTTGTGTTTCCGCCAGAGTCCATAACGTATTAATTAACGACTCGTCGTCGGCGACGTCCAAATGCGGAATGTTTTTGCGTACTAATTATTAATTAAATGCTCCACTTAATTTCGTCCCGAGTATATTTACCAGCGAGCAAATCCTGTTCTTGTGTCTTGTGCCCATCATCCTGTCGTCCGAGTTTAACTCTAACTTGCCTTAATAATTCTTCTTTCGCCGAGCGTCCGCGTCCACCGGTTGATGATCTAATTAAATCGATCCGATCTAGATTCATTGCCGTTTATGTTGGCTTTGCGTACGATTTTATCGCCGCTAATTTTTTCTTGTTGTGTCTTTTGCTCATACAAACGCCATTTTTTATTTGTATTATGTTTGGACTCGAGAATTTATTACGTATGATCTTAATCTTTGTGCTAACCGGTGATTTTTTTGTCTGTTTCAGCTAAAATGAAGATTATTCTTCCTTTGGTCGTTTGGATATGTCTTCAATCGACTGTGAGTACATATTTTTATTGTATTTATATTACACTAGCGTTAACCCGTGGCTTCGCTCGCGAATATCTAAAATAATGAAGTTGCTTCCGTACGCGTCTGTAGTCACAGAAGAAGTAACAATGAAGTAGAATGGCGGGAAGTTTAAAATGGCTGAAAGTATAGTCTATGGAAGTATAGTGTACAGTCTCCATAGTGTAGTCAATTGGATTTGAAGTTGACGTAGCTGTCGGTAATACAGTGTGATAATACAGTGTGATGGTACTATAGTACTTAGGTTTGAGCTTCATTGCTGGAATGCTAGATGGCGTTAAAGTAGTCAAATAGCCAGATGCAGAGGTATTATTGGCTAAACAATTTCCTTATTTTATTTAAAATATAATTTTTTATTAAATAAAAAGTAGCCTATAACCATTCGGGGACCACTAAGAATATGTGTACAAATTTTCATGATGATCGGTTAAGTAGTTTTTGCGTGAAAGTGTAACAAACATCAGGACTTCCGCATTTATAATATTAGTAAGGATTGTGAAATAGGCAACCAAATCAACACGCAATGGAAATATTTCTATCTTAAAATGTAATCCGTACAATATGAATTTATATATCATTAAAATCCAAGATTTAGATCGAATATAATCCGAAATAATGAGAAAAATATCGAACTAATCTTCGCGTTTTAATCTGACGAGTGCATTTTGTACCGCAACGCTTAGTTTAATGAAAGTGGAAAGTGAAATTCGTCACGTTGGCGGCCTTCTCATTTTCAAACCAGCGTGCGGAGGACGATTAAGATTACCATAACGATAGACGCATGTGTTAGAATTTCCCTGCGGCCGTTTCGGGCGTTATTTATGGCGCTCCACAGAAACACTTTCATGTGTAACAAGCCAAAAACCCACGAACCAGGATGTCACAATATAAATTTATCATTTTTACACACAAAAAAATAAAATAAACGTGACTTTGACATTGACTAGGAATTCTTCAAATTACCTCTTTATATAAGAAATAAATATATATGAGTATAAGTTTTGTGCACTTACCTAATGTGTTCTTCCGCTTCGTCATCCGTGACTAATTCGCAATGGTTCCAAGTTTGTCGCCAAGCGTGAAGAGGTTTGTTGACCCGCTCTTCTTCATCCTATGAACATGATAATAATGATTTATTATCATACTTTTAGTTTCGACGAGTTTATTAGGAAAAAAAAAGGTTATATCTTTAATGACGCCGTATTTATCGTCTAAATAGTAAGCAGCAATAAACTCTTCCGTGTTTGTGGTGCGAATTTTACAACGCTTGTTATCTTATTATAGCAATGATGACTCTGGTATCAGAGGTCGACGAGATCAACAATATTAGCCGGTATTAGCCGGGCTGGTGCAACAATTGTGTCAAAATTGATAATATTTATACGCGTTGCCGCAAGATAGGATTAACTGTAATCATAGGATGCATAAATCTCACACATTTCACATCATCACACCATGAATGTAAATTTCACAGCATAGAAATTATGCACTCGCATTGATCATGTGATGGTAGTTCTAGTAAAGCACTAACTAGTAACTAGTATTAAAAAGCATCATGTGGTTGGCGTAGTAAAATTGGTAGAGTAATAGAACAGGTACCTTTTTAGTATTTAACAGCATTTTCCTTAGTAGTGATGTACTTTCAATGGGAATAATTGCTGGTTGCTCATTTCACATTGCTGAGGTACTAGAAACAAATAAATAAATAGAGATGAATTAGTACGTGGTTATTACACCTGCTTGGCTGTAAATTTAATGCATTTGGTGTTTAGAATTCATCACAATGTTGAGTTTTATTGGGCGGTAATGTTTTCGCGCATAAACGCCGGGTATTGTAGGGTTAGGAAATTTTGCACAAATATTTATACAAAAAAATATATAATAAAAGAAGATTTGACGGGTAATTTATACCACAACTACTTACTCAATGTCTCAGCTTTGTAACTGTATGTTGTTATTAGTTTAACTCGGCGTATTTTTGTTTTTATTTGTTGTTTAATTTGCACAAATTGCACTCAACCGACGCATCGTCAACCATTTGAAAAATACTTTAGTACCACAATCAGTTGTACTAATTGTAGAGGGCGCTGTGAACCATTTGACATTCAAATCATAAAAATTCAAATGTTGTGCATCTTTTTACTCATTGCTTTCGAAAGAAGAATCCGGTTATGATTTCTGCAGTGCAGTACAAGTGAGCGTAATTATCGCCGAGATTTATTATCGTACAACACCTCGCGCTGCGCCGCAGTGCTGCCATTTATAGAAATGTTTTCGCCATTCGGTTTCGTCGGGAGTCACACGAGCGTAACCCGAATACACGTAGTGCGCTCAAGTTCAAATTGGCAAAGAAAACAAATAAAAGAAACAATGCGCTTCGCGCATAACTATGCGCGCTAACGAAGAGAAACAGAAAACAAAAGAGAGCAGTTATTTAGGACGCTGAATTATGCATGCGTTGTGGGTTAATCAAAAAGCTACAAGGGTTTTCGGTAAACAATCACCAACGAGAAAGCGAAAATAAATAACTGTTGCCCACGCGCAGCGGCCGAAAAAAAGACGACGTCAGACGAGCGGCGCTTACAAACGAAATTCTTCGGTGTGAGTTATGCACCTTAATCCAGACGGTAATCGCGACGATTTATTCCACGCCTTGCTTCAATTTATTTCGACTGGTTTGAAAAACCCGCGAAAAAAACGTGCGTGATGCGCATGTCAAACAGAATTAACTTGTAAGCTCACTTGTAGAGTAGGTACAGAGTATCGCAGTTTATTGAACTTTCGCACATTACTCGAAATGCCGACACACAAGAGATTTACATGGAAATGGTTTCAAATTAATTAAATAAATAAGTTAACATTGTGCGATTGTTTGCGGCGCGCTGAGAACGAGCACACACAACCACAACACACACAATCTTGTTAAATCGCGTATAATTGATGTTGATTCCGACTCGCATGCTCATAAAACCACCAAATTGTTTGCGTCTGCAGGAAAGAAAAACGCTTCGTCTTCTTGCAGCTCGTAAATGCAATCACTTTTACGGACTTAAATTTTTAACGACGTGAGCCACACAAAAATGCGCTAATTGCATCCAAGGATTTTCTTCTTTCCATTTTTTTTTACTTTTAAACCCATCAAAGCGCAAACTTTAAGGGATTGTCGTTGTCGTTGTCGTCGTGCGTTCTACACGCAACCGTATTTTGATTTACAACGCGCTACAATATTCCCGCAGCGTAAAGTTCAAGGATGCGCGATATGCGATGCGCGTCGCGAATAGAAATCGTTGTTCTTTCGGTTTCTTCGCCTTCGACGTTCTTCGTTTCTTACGCGATCAATATGATAATGCTCCGGTAGAGCGTGGAGAGTCAAATTGCATGCAAATGATAACATTTAAGTGAGAGTCAAGCGACTTAAGTCATGTCTGTCCAACCGGAAGTACTTGCAACGTGCGTCGTCGGTGTGCATCCGGTCGGAAGCCAACAAATATTTTATTTTTATAGAATTTAAATTCCAACAACACTAAAAATAGAATTCTTGCAATTTGTCAAGTCCTTGAAACAACATAACCTAAATTTTAAAACTGACAGTTCCACAACACGTCGCGCCATCTACCGACGCAAAATTGAAGTAAATTTTTGCAAATTATCGAACAACATAACCTAATTTTATAGAACTGACCATTTCTCAACACGTAGCGCCATCTACCGGCGCAAAATTGAATTTCAAAAAACAAATTCCAGCAAATTGTCAAAAAACATAACCTTACTTTAAAAACTGACAGTTTCTCAGCATGCAGCGCCATCTACTGGCGCAAAATTGATTTGCTAAAAATTACATTTTGAAAATTTAAATTTCAAAAAATAAATTCAAGCGAATTAGCGATCAACATAACCTAATTTTAAACAACTGACAATTCTCTCGCATGCTGCGCCATCTATCGATGCCAAATAGAATGACTCCTTGCGTGCGCATTGAAATCCTGAAAAATTATGTAAGATGTAATTCTTTGCGTGTAAATAATAAGCAATCAGAGGAAGAAAATACGTCACGGACAGTCGAAACAATCCAAACAAAATGCACCTTACAGCATCCTCGTGTGTACCAACGAGTCTCTCCTATTATTTCTTCTTGTGGCTTCGTGTGGCGCGACCGATAGTTGTTGTTGTTGTTGTTGTTGTTACTGTTTCTGGTGTTTGGTATTTGGGATGTGGTATGTGTGCGTTTTCTTTTTATTGACGGCTTGTTATTTGCGCTCTTGTGCATCTCTCACGAGAGCGCACACAGCGCACAAAGCAGCACATCCTCGCGAGACCAGCACTGCTCGCGAGATGAATACAGTTAGGCGGCATTTTTTATTGCCACTCGTTTTTCCGTACGCGCTGCACGTGAAATGTCGATGATGTTAACATGCGCGGACACACACACACACACACGTGGAGAGTATATAGATATATACACTTATGGCCACTTCTTGACGCGGAAAACCCGCGGATATTGCTCGTGCACGACTCGTGTGGACCTCGACGGGTTCACGGGTCAAGTGCACAAAGGGTTTTCCTGCGCGCATCTAATTATACCAATAAGGAACGTCGCTCCGACGTCGAATGGCTGCACACGCATCATCATAATATGATCGTATTCAATAAGCCAACCGGGCAGGAAACAATTGGTTTGTATTTCAGTACAAAAACAGTTATGAATGTCTAGGCGACAAATAAGCATTATAAAATATTGTATTTTTTGAAAATATAACCTATATAGTTTAGAAATTTGTATTTTTTTAAGAAAAAATGATATTTGTGCAAATTTTTAGGAAAAAAATTTAATTTTTATTTGAAATTTTTGAATTTCGCGCCATAAATGCAACTTGTGACGTCAATATTGAGTAGTTCTATATTCATAACCTCAAATTTAAATAAAATAGTAAATAATTAACCTATAAGTGCTTGAAAATATATTTTTTCTACTTTTTCCGAAATTTTTTGCGAAAATTGTTGATTTTTTTATGAAAAACTTTGATTTTAGTTTGAAATTTTGAATTTCGCGCCATAAATGCAAGCTGTGACGTCAATATTGAGTAGTTCTATATTCATAACCTCTAATTTAAATAAAATAGTAAATAATTAACCTATAAATGCTTAAAAACCTTTATTTCTTCCACTTTTTCAGAAATGTTTGCAAAAATTGTTGATTTTCTTGCTAAAAACCTAAATTTTAACTTGAAATTTCAAAATTCGCGCCAAAAACCCTTTGACTTCATTTGTGACGCCATTGTTGAGTAGTATTCTTTTTATTATGCCTTAATTTGTCTAAAAAACTAAAATTTCTTTCTAAAAACAATTTTAATGCAACGTTTTACACTAATGCTACATACTTATGCACCAATAAATAGATTCTAAAATTGCAATTGAACGCCTGCAAGCACAAAAATAAAACGCAATGTAATAACAGCAATTTGTGCTGTTATCCTGCGCGCGCATGAAATAGCATACGCCGGAAATTTACAGTAAATGAATTCAAATTATTCGCAGCTAAAACGAATTTTTTGCAAAATTTGCATAAAGCCATAAACGAAATTAAAAACATTATGAAAAAAACAACACAGAATATACGAGTACGTAACGATATGAATATGCATCCGGGGATACGGAATACCGGTGTGCGCAACTGTTTCCTCTGCGGCTTTGAGGTTTTTGTTCATTATCAGGGCGCTGCTACACATTGAAGCATTAAATGTTTACTGCGGTTGAAAACGGTAGGATTTACTGGACTTGCACACTTAGGCTCGCGTCTTTTATGAGTCATTCTCGACATCGATTCCACAAAAGAAGACAAGATTGGAATTTTAAGCAGACTATTGAATAAAAACCGTTACAATTCATAGAATTTCAAAATACAATAAAAAAAAACATGACGGACAATTTGTCGATGCAAAAATTTAAATAATTGCATAAACTAGAAGGTTTTCTTTTAATTCATAGCGAAAGTGTCAACTCATGGTCACAATACCCACGCTAATCCAACCCATGCCCACATCTTCACATTGTGCAACTAATTTCTTTGGATCGATTCAATAAACACGTTCTGCAAAAGTGACTTTTTCACGACCACTTGTAGATTTTGCGCAAAGAGTTTCTGGTTTCTGGATTTGTGCAAACTTGGACGATTTCGAATTTCTGCGCGTATCATTGAGTAAAACGTGCGCGCGCAACTCGGCAATGGTCAGTGGCCTCGGCGTGCGCACAATTCACTCTTAAGCGAATATGTATTCAAAACGAATCATGCGAACCGAACGTTAGAATCGCCCACACCAGTTTCCCAGATTCCCATATAAGCCACCACACAAGGTTATTATTATTATTATTATTATTATTATATTATCCCCACAGCGTGATATTTTATTGACAAAATTCAAACGAGTCATGTGTCACAATTTGTCACCTCTGTAAAGGTCACACCTTCCGTCTAACACTTTTTCGTGATTTAATGTATGCAACTTGTTGAGCAGCAGCTGCGTATCCCAAGGCAACATAACCAAGAATGTGGCCTAACAAAGAATTAATATTCGATCAAGAAGACAATGAAAACTCACTTCTACGGGTCTGTTGCGGCTGTTATCTATTATCACAACAAAGCCACCGTGTAATTACATTATCTCCGCCTCGGATATATTTGCATATATACATTTATGCATTGCGCAATTTTTTTTCTTCTTCATTGGTCTATCTTCACGCCGGTCATGCTAATTTGAAGCTATTTTAATAACTCAATAACGATCTAGGAATCTTAGGGACAATCGGACAAAGAGGCGCATGGATGAACGTGTTGATGGCGAGAGCAGCGCGCATGTTTTATCGTTTGAGCAAATCGCACATGCGCAAATGCGCATATGCACATACCTGCATCCAGCTATCGTGCATCATCATCGTCCGGGGCCGGCAGGACCTTTTTTTTTTGTTACTTTATACAGATGTGCGTGTGCGTTTCAGTCGCACTAAGCTTAAGTCAAATCACTGGCGTAGAAAACTTTTCGTCTCATTGTATGAACCACCGATGTCGGCATCCAAGCGTAATTATTTCATGCCATAAACTCTGTGTCCGCGCGTCGGCTGGGAAATTGTTTTAAATTATAGAATTTAATTGCGGTCGCTTAAATATGTTGCAACGCTCGAGTGGACAATAACGACGCGCCGCAGTCGTAAAATGTTTCCTTTCAAATTAACCCTGATCGATTTATCTATCTACCTCTTTAAGCTTTAAAACTCATTTTATATTTTTTAACCTAAAATATTAGAATGAGAAACAATGAAGAGAAATTTACGTTTAAAGGTCTAATTCACACGAATAATCACAATTAATTAGTGCGAATCTTTTATCTGTTGCGGTATTTCGTGTTCTGTTAATCAAATAAGTCACTTTCGCATCTGTGCCTTAATGGCGTGCAATTAAACTAATGACGTGTAATATGAATAGGCATAAAATATACCCGACGAATGCGCAAAATGTAAATAAACGTTTGATTTGCCATCCCGAGCGGAATTCTCGAACGCATTCTAAAAACTCTTCACTTTCCGTCGTTGCGCGTTTGTCATGCATCGCCATTAGTCGACTTAATGTTACATAACGCAGTTGCGCGCGCGCGCGCGTGGTGGAAAATCCGTCGCGGAGTGTGACGCGAATGTGAGTGAACCTCGACGAGGATTTGTTGAACTTTGCTGCACGAAATTAATCATAATAATTGCAACCGCCGCGCGTCACACTGCCTCACGCGTGTGTTGTGTGTGTGTGCATCGTATTAATATTTGTTTCCGCGTGCGCGCAACCTAAACTTAAAATTCCATGCCGCGCGCAACAAATCAACGAAACGTGGCGAGACGCACTGTTTTTATCCGAGATTTTCGCGAATGACCATCGCCGGCTATGATGCATGACCAAATTAAACATCAATCATACAAATTGCCTGCATTACCACGAGGACAATTTCAGCCGCACTCTGATTTCCTACTGAATATACGAAATGTGACTTAAGTACACAACTCAAGTGCATTTACTTTCATTACATTCAATTCGTAATTGGTTTTAATCTGAAAATCTGCAAAGTCGTCGCGATATAACGACCGAGAGCAAAAAGTAGTCGTGCAACTTTTATTTTCTTCACGTCGCGGTCTCGAATTCAACAAACTTTTACTTATTAGTTGCGAACAGAACACGTTCACCCGAGACAAATGCATCGAAAGCGAATGGCGAATGGTTTTTTGCTTTTGCTTCGCGCACGATTCGAGAAAACAATAAAAAAACGTGCCAAGTTTACGAAACGAGAACTTCCTCCACAAAAACACACAAAATAAAATAATACCCATTCATTTAACACTACCAACGCCATCTACCACAAAGAAAACAAACTAAAAAGTCAAAAATACAAAAATTTTCGGTAAAACCTAATTGCAACCAAATAATCAAATCAGAATCAATTACAAAGTGAACCTAAGTACTGTTTCGTTACGTCCTGACGTATTACGTCTTGCTCGTCGCAGACGCCGCCATATAAGGACGCTCAGACTCAACACTTATTACCGCCGCCCGCCTGGAAGGACATTCGAGCCTACGCGGCGCACGCACGCACGCCAGTAACGCATTAAACAGTAAATTATCGCGGCGACTTTAACGCGCCAACAAATTGATTGTTTATTTATGTAATCGCCATTTGCAACGCTAGCGCACATTCAACATTTAAGCAATAGACGCATGCGTAACACAAAAACTCCTCTTCGCGCTTCGCGCAAGAAAATACTTAAGTCAGACTTTAAGCCACAACAATGTCATCGGTTTTTGTTGCAAGTTCCCACATTATGGTTAATTTAAATATGTTAGCGTTAATTTCACTTAGGATTTTAATTATTTTCGGTTTAGTTCAAAGAATAGTTTAACATAAGTTAAAATTTAATTAAAATAACGGTTGTGGAGCGGCGTGGTTTCCTTTCGGTGCGATTTTCAGTTCATCGCATTGTTTCTGCTTGTTGTTGTTGTTGTTGTTGTTAAAAGCGATGTACGTTTGAATTATAGACATTATTTTCGCATATTGCTGCGCAGCTTCGTCTTCCTTCCATTGTTCGCACCAATCTCGACAATTTGACGCGAAATGCAAAGTGCTATCATTAAGTGCACATCAATTCGTTGATTTTTCCCCACTTGATCCATTCTCCTACTTCCGTTGTGCTGCAATGTGTTATGCAACACAATCAGGCGCGCATAAAACATTCTCGTTAGCCGCGCAGAGCAATTTTCACGTTTTGCGTATTAACACTCGCGGTAAATGCGAAATATGTCGAGTAATCAATGCTAACAGCGTAGGCAAAGTGTACACTATGCACATTGGGCAAATATAATTACATCGTAACGCTTAGTGCGCATGCGCACCGTGCTAAGCATGAATATGCGCGTGGTCATCGCGCGTTCGTAACGTGAAATAAAACGTAACGCCGCAAACATTGGGATTCAGAGGCGTGCGTATAGCGGTAATTCCACGAGATGAAAATGTGACCTACCTCGTTGTGCAAGAGATACGTAAACAAAGAACGGCGCTCAAGTAGCGCGCATTACGTAAACCAAATTAGCACCGGGTGGGCGAAAAAAGATGATGGTCAATACCTGCAAAAAAATTCCAGTGTTATTTTTGCAATTTATAGAGCATTAATATCTACCACTTCACCAAGATTAATAATATTTTGAATTCAGCTGCGAGGGCTAATGAGAGCAATCGCATCCTGCGATTGCGCGCGATCAAAAGCTCGAGCCGCATAATCATGCCAATATTGCATTACTTACCAACCGGCTACTGATGCCGTAGCATTACGTTCGTTTTGTGTGCATTGGAATCTCGAATTTATCATTGGCAATTATTTTGATATTATCGAGCCAATCATATTAGTAATCGTATTAAATTAAGAATAATGACCGCCAAGAACTGGAAATGTTATTATATGTTATGAAACGAGAAATAATTTTCGTTTTGTGAATTAATTCCGTGAAAAAAACCGAAACCCACATAGAAATTTTACAATTATAAATTTCTGTGTGTAGATGATGATTCCATAAGCGGCACACGGTTCAATTTTTATAGGATACGCGAGGATAGTCCTATTAAGCGATATATTGCTCGAGGAAAATCGTGACCGCTCACTCAAACGTTAAATTATAACTAGACAATAAATTCGGAATTCATCAAAATCTTCGCCTCGCAGCCTACACAATGATTAAATCGCTGAATGGAATAACGTTATTTCAGTGTTGGAAGATTTTTGCACGTCGCCACACAGCTGGGAAGTGTTCAAAGATGCTAACAATGCCAACGCCATAAAAATTTATAGTATTGTATATTTCATGATCAATTTGTACGAATTAAGTTATAATATAAATTATGACATGTGATAAATCAAAGATATCGATATAAATCGTGGCCATTGTCGTGTGTTTTGGTTTTTTATTTTTATTTTTTATTGGTTTTGTCGTCGCTGCTCGATATCTGGTTGGCGCTCGCGCGCGCGTAATAAATGGTCATGTTAATCGCGATTTATGGCGGAATCGTGACCGCTGAATGTGTAAGGAATTAAATTATTCACTGGGCATCTTCTTGAAGACACATGCGCTGTGCGAAAAATTCAATTTACACGATTTTCTCCCGACGGATGCATTTGCACGACCAGACACAATACCCGAGCGCACGCCGAAAAATATCGTTACAGTTTCCCACGGCCGCGTCGTGGTGGTATGAGTTGTTACCAGTCGGAATGTAATTCCGCACACAGCGTCATGCCCAGCGACATATACCACTACCGTCGGAAGACAACAATAAGAAAATTACACGTCCTCACGAAGTTGAGATCGTGTCACGCGTTTCCTACTTTGATTGTTTTTACGCCGGTATTAACCCGTAATTATCCCGCTCGACTTGACTCATCGGCTGTGGTGGATTATACACGCAGACGTTAATTACGATGCGTGCGCTTTGACGCCTTTTTGCTTTGATGCTGTGTGTAATTATCTGTGTGTGATTTTCTGTTGCAGACTGTCCAATCCTACGGAGGGATTGGATTTGGTATCAAACACGAGAGATTTCTGCTAAATTTAGAAGATGGCTATTTCGGATGTCAGATGAACACCTCAACGGACGTCATGCAGCTGTTCGAACTGTCGCGGTTGTGTGACGGCGTGCCGGATTGTTTTCTAGGCTCCGATGAACTTCGCGACGAATTAAAATGCACGAGTGAGTATTGCTCCCTGCCCAAACCCCGACTGCGTCTCAACCTAGAGAAAGCTTACGCACATGTGGTGCGAAATAAGTGGGGGGACGAACATCCCCGAACTAATACGTGCAAATACTCTAAATCTATTTCCGCACTCGGCGCGTCGACCACACACTACACGTGATTTATTCTACTGTGAAACGTGACAATAATCTGTTCTGTAACACGTACAACACCGTCGCAAATCGTGAAATTTTACTACTCCAAGAAATTCACTTATTATACTGCTATTAAAAATAATGGGATTATTTAAAACCCCGTTAGATGGAAAATTTAACTATTATCATCGCATCCCACATCCGTTGAATATTTTTCTTTTATTTAACTTTAACTTGTTTAAAACGCTGCTTTAGCATAACGGATGAGTACAATTAAGTGTTAAATTTAATTACGCACACAACGAGGGCATGGTCGCGGAAATTGAAACAAAAGAACTCATAGAAAACCAAACTATCAAGCGTAAACGTTTTACAGACGCAATTAATTAAATCCAAACAATTCCCCAGCTACGTACAGCTACGATTCGTGGAGGTTATCGATTGTCCACGCGATAAATCTTAATTAAAATAATTTATTAACGCCGCTCTGCGGTTAATTACGACCGCCTGCTCGTTATACTTTCCCCGGCTTGTTTACAATTTTAATTCGTTTAATAATACGTTATTAATGATTCATCGGCGGAGATTTTTTCGATTTGCATTGCGCATCTTATTACTTATCCAAGTTTAAGGTCATGGGTAAATCACGTTTCGAGTAAGATTTTTGATGCGAAATCTTCGCATCAGCGGCGCACGACGCCGACGGAGAATCCCTTTGTTTAAAAGCTCGCTGCCAGCGCGTATTAATCTAACGAACGTTCGACAGTAATGCGATGTTCACCTTGCTTCGCGGTTAATTAATTAACGAACGATCGTTAATCTTAAACCCGCTTGCACATGTTTACATATTAATCTTGTGTTGCAGACGATTGTCGAAAAGACGACGGCACCGAATGCCAAAACGGTGCTTGCCTGGACAACAATTGTCATTGCAATGACGGATTCGGAGGATGCAGCTGTGAAGTACCAGGTAATATTTTCTATAATAACAAATCGTGATGAACGTAAATGAATATGTTGTACATCGAGATGAAGGATGAAAACCAATTCGTGTCGTCTGATGATGGTGATTTAGGTGTCGGGAGTTAAGCGCGCGTCGTGTAATTAATGTAAATATGGCAGATTTTCGCTAGCGTATCAGCCGTGCGCAATCTTGTTCGCCGCACATATGACCTCACGACGGCGCGCGCGTTTTATCTCGAGGGATCATTAATGCCTCCTCAAGTCAGTGGCCATAATATGCGCCTAACACAATATGCGAGATCTCGCGAGACAGATACGCGCAGCCCTCATATAAATGGTAAGACACCAAGTATAGGTACTCGAAGGCACAGGAAATGTTTCCAGCTGAAATTGCTTTCCTCGCCAAAGTGTTTGTTTTGTATACGCGTGTTGCGTGGAGTACATTCATTTGGAAGATTGCTGCTCCGCACGCTGTGGAAGATACAACTCGAGGGCTGTGTTGTTTATTTGTCCATCTCCCACAATCCACTGCATTACAAGTAATAACTGCCGTATCAAGATTGTGCGCTGCGGAATGTGATTATGCGAACATAACTACATAATTCTTGACTTGAGGAAAGCAGAGCCCTCTGCGTTTTGAGATAAACTATAAATATACGTGTATTGTGTGTGTTTTTGCAGATGAAAACGAGTGCAAATACAGGCCGTGCAGTCCATTCGCACAGTGCACGAACACCCTAGGGAGTTTCTTCTGTACTTGTTACTCAGGTTACACTGGAGATGGTCTGCATTGCGAGGGTAAGTCAATTTTTAAATTTTTTTTCTAATCCCAAAATGTGTGGTCGTTTCAAACGCATAAAAAATATATCATGCTGTGATGCTATAAATCAAATAAAAAGATTGTGTTTGGCCCACCGATAGATAATAATAGGTGTGTTTGAGAGCTTTATCCAGAATCAGAATTAATGGCGTCCAATAAGAGAACATTTCAGTACATTTCGAAATGGACAAATTGAATACACACAAGGAAACGATTCGCTTGGACATCGTTTTCGATTAGGTAGAAAGCTGACGCCCGAAAGCTGAAAATCCCTTCTATGCGTTTGTAAGCAAACACGAACATGAAACGCTCAAGAGCGCGCAATCAATCAAATCAATTGACGAGACAAATAACCAGACACATTTGTTAGTCACTACACAAGTACCTGTTCCGCGTTTGACCGCTCACAGAGAGTTATTGCTAGAATGTAGATGGTTACAGCTTACACGATTCCATTGATTAGATGATTAGTCGCTGTGATTTTTATCCGTTTTCGATCATAAATTTCGGTGTAATTTTGACGCCAGTACTGCATATTATCGCATATTAATCAGTTGCCGCGCGTAGTTTTTATTCCTCGCTGTCAGCGTTTGGAACTTAATGGGCATGGACGTGTTGAAGTGGAGAAAACAAATGGGTGGCATTTGGGCGATACCATCACCCAATGAAGAGAGACCACCAATATGGATTAAATGGAATATAATTGACGAAAATGTTTAGATAACTGCGCGCTCTCTGTGGTAATTTATAATCGTATTCCAGTTTCGTTTCGATAACAGTTAGAAGGCGGCTTTTATTATCGCAACATTAGATAACCGTTTTGCTCTCGAGTGTATCCATCTCTTGAATTAGTAACGGTGGATTGCGGGCGATTTTTTCACACACAAGAAACGGTGAGCAAGCGCAAACACGCAGGAAAAGCGATTTCATGTTGGGCGTCCGGTATGAAATTGAATTGCGTGCGAACGTTTTCCATAATTTTCTCAGACAGCCTCGGACAACATACTTGTGGTATTTCAGATTTCAATTGCGCTCCAACCCACAATTTACTCGGGTATTGAATTGCATTTGAATTTATTGTGGGCGTTTCAATGTTGAGGTTTCCGTTTAACTCGAAAATTTTTCGCCGATTTTTATTGTTACAAATACAATGTGACCTCTGTTATTGTACTCTACTCTGGAAGTACCCGGAAGACCTGAACGTAGAAAGATGTACTATCTGGCGTGAATACTGTGTGTCACCTCGACGCGACTGGAAAACGTAATAAATGTACTCGTCGCTTGGTCTCGTTGTTTTCCTCTCGGGCAGTTGTCAGAGATATGTTTCCATTACGAAATAAAATATGCGGTTGGACGTGTTGGACGAGGTCTCTTGCCGCTCGCCATTGATGGAAATTCGCGCGCGCGCGCACACGCACTGGAAACCCTGAAGAATTTACGGCGATAATTAATGTCTATCATCGTCTCTTGTTCTAATAGACATTCTTGTTGAAAAGCGTCAATTCCGGCCGTCCGCGAAGTTAGGACGTTGCTCTCGCGGGTACGTTGATCCCCACTCGCGGCGCGATGCTGACCAACCGTGCGGACCGCGATTCGCTCTGGCAACTCTCGCGAAGAGCGAAGAGCGTTTGATGATGCCAACAAACGGATGGAACGCATGGAAAACCGGGTGGCATACATTTCAGACTTTTACTTTCCGAAAAAAAATCCGCGAGGAGTCGGACTCGCAACTTTCAATTGCATACCATACCATACCATAACATGGTGTACCAGAAAAAGACACAGAATGAAAATAAAAAATTGCAATTTTTGTTTATGTAGATATTAATGAATGCGACGACCCCGCAATCGCAGCCAGGTGTGTACAAAACGCCGAATGTTGTAACCTACCAGCTCATTTCCTCTGTAAATGCAAACCTGGTTTCCAAGGAGATGGCGAATCCCGATGCATTGGTAAGTCCCAAGTACATGACCCAATTAGAAAATTAATTTACAAAACTCTAGATATTGATGAATGCGCCCTGCCAAACACATGTGGTCATGGTGCGTTGTGTCAAAACACACCTGGTAACTACAGTTGTGTGTGTCCGGAAGGTTTCCACGGCAATCCATACGATGGGGTAACATATCCTCCTCCCAAAAATATATTTTTCTTTTAAACCATGTTTCATCCAATAATAGTGTGTGGATTTGAACGAATGCGACTCCCCGAACGCCTGTGGCCCAGGAGCCCTCTGCACCAACCTACCAGGAGGCAAATCCTGCACGTGTCCACCCGGCTATGAAGGTAATGCCTTCACAACAGGTTGTTATGACTCCGATGAATGTGCCCGTTCTCCATGTGGTCGTGACGCGCTGTGCTCCAACGCGGAAGGCAGTTTTCGCTGCGCATGCCCTCCGGGCTTCATCGGCGATCCGACCGTCTCCTGCACAGGTACGATCACTAATTCTATAGGTAATAATGATGTGGTAATCGCTTGCTAACCACCCGCCTTAGATATTAACGAGTGTGAGTCAAGCCCATGCGCGTTGAGCGCGCAATGCGTCAACACTAACGGCAGCTACAGTTGCTTATGCCCGGCTGGCTTCACGGGATCAGCGCGTGAAGAATGCCTGGACATCAATGAGTGCGGCAGGTCAGGCGCTTGTGGGATTAACGCAAAATGTATAAACGTACCGGGATCTTACAAGTGCCTGTGTCCGCAAGGGTTCACCGGACAGGGACACTTGTTTTGTGAAAGTTAGTTGAAAGTTTCTAATTGGTTTAGACCATTTCACGCACGCTTCTTTTGCTTTTATGCTTCAAAATATCACTTATTTATTATCTACACTTTACTTACACTTTATTTATTTTAATTCTTAACTTCTTGTACAGTCTGTTTTTATGTATTGCGTATGTTATCCTTTTCATTTTCAGCGTTTAGAATGCGATGCGTCTATTTTTTCTATTCCAGTATTTTGCTGTCTTTTTTCTTGCTAGGTTTAGTGTCCTTCTAACCTGTGCGCAGGTATTTACATAACAGTTATTCTCAGATATAAATGAATGCGAAACAAATCCGTGCGGCGCGAATGCACTCTGTAAGGACACCGTAGGCAGCTATGTCTGCGTGTGTAAGGAGGATTACGTCGGCGATCCCATAAAGGGTTGCGTTGATGTGGACGAGTGCAGCACGTTGGAGCAGCCGTGCGGGACGCATGCCGTTTGCGAGAATACCTCGCCGGGCTTTAATTGCCTCTGCCCGCAAGGATACCGCGCGAGTCCCTCACCGAAAGTCGCTTGCGAACAAGTAATACCCGCCCATGCGTGTGTACCGATCGTCCGACTAACGATGCTCTCTTCTAGGTGGACGTCAACATTCTCTGTAAATCTAATTTTGATTGCACCAACAACGCCGAGTGTGTGGATGCGCAGTGCTTCTGTCAGAAGGGTTTCGTGCCGAAAGGTGCGAATTGTCTCGATGTTGATGAATGCGCCGCGGAGCCATGCGGGCCGAATGCGGTGTGCACCAACACAGTGGGAAGTTATCATTGTGAATGCGAGAATGGACATGTGGGCACACCGCCGCGGGTGCAATGCAAGGCGCCTTGCGAAGACGTCAAGTGCGGTGAGCATGCTTACTGTAAGCCAGACGGACAAGAAGCCTACTGTATATGTGAAGACGGATGGACGTTCAATCCGCGCGACATATCCGCCGGTTGTATCGACATCAATGAGTGCGACAAAGTGAATGGTCCGAATGGCAGGTGTGGCGTTAATGCGATATGCACCAACACTCCCGGCGGGTACGGATGTTTGTGTCCGCCGGGATTTTCAGGAAATCCAGCGCAGAAGTGTGTCGACATTGATGAATGTAGCAGGTCACATGCGTGTGGACTGGGTGCCATATGCATCAACACGGCTGGCACGCATACCTGCCAATGTCCCGAGGGGACTGTGGCGGACCCAGATCCATTCACCAAGTGCAATGAGATTGTTACTTGTAACAAAGATGATGATTGTCCTGGGAATGCTATTTGTGACCCGGACAAGAGATGTTTATGTCCTGAACCCAATATTGGGAATGATTGTAGACGTAAGTATTACTAACACTTTTTTTACCACAACATAATTACCAAAATGGTTTTATAACAGATCCCTGTGAATCAGTCTTTTGTGGTCCCAATGAACAATGTATGTTGATAAATCAAGAAGCAAAATGTATCTGTACCGCTGGGTATACCGGATCCCATTCAGGTTGTGTTGATATTGATGAATGTGCTGGTAACCCATGTCCACTTGGTGCCGTGTGTAAAAACCAACCGGGTACCTTCACGTGTGAATGTCCCGGAGGAACCGCCGGTGATCCGTATAGATCTGGTTGCACGAAGGCCGATCTGCCTTTCAGTTGTTCAGCCTCGAAACCTTGTCCCCCAGGCGAGCAGTGCATAGCGGATGACTTTAACGGTGAAAACGTGTGCATCTGTGTGCAAGGATACGTCCGTGATCATGAAACCGGTAAATGTCGTGATATCAACGAGTGTACTGAATTACGAAACAAGCCGCCATGTGGTCTCAATGCAGTGTGCAAAAATCTTCCTGGCAGCTACGATTGCCAATGCCCACCTGGTTTTAATGGTAATCCATTTTCGGAATGCAGTGGTACGTCATCATCAATCACCCACATGTTTCATGCCCATACTGATTTTGTTCGTGTTTGCTTATTTGTTGTTACAGAATGCAACTCCCCCGACTGCAGGTGTCAACCCCCATACAAACTGGTCGATGGTAACTGCGTGTTGGCTGGTTGTTCCAAGAAGGAAAAGTGCCCGCCCGGCGCCGAGTGTATTACAATTACGGGCGGCGTGAGTTATTGCGCCTGCCCGAAGGGTTTTAGAACATTAGACGACGGTACGTGTCAGGACGTTAACGAATGCAAGGAGAACCGCGTTTGCGGGTACGGCGCCGAGTGCATCAACACGCACGGAAGTTTCGAATGCAAATGCCCGCCCGGTTATGGCGGTGATGCTTATAATGGACTCTGCGCTCCAGCACAAAAACGCTGCATCAGCGATAATGAATGCTCAGCGAATGAGAAATGCGTGCAGCCTGGAGAATGCATATGCCCACCACCATTCTACTCAGATCCAGATGATAACAACAAGTGTAAAAATCCCTGTGAACGTTTCCCATGTGGAATCAACGCCAAATGCACACCAAGTGATCCTCCAAGATGTATGTGCGAAGTGGGTTTCAAAGGTGACCCGCTTCAAGGATGTACCGACATAGATGAATGCGTTGACGCACCATGTGCATACGGTGCGCATTGTCTCAACGACAAAGGTGGATACAAATGTGTATGTCCTAAAGGTATGACCGGAGATGCTTACAAATCCGGTTGCATCCTAGACACACCAGGAACACTCAAGTCCGAATGTACATCTAATAATGACTGTGCGAATACTCTCAGTTGTGTTGATGGTACATGCATAAGTCCATGCGGTGGACTATTATGTGGTTCACATGCATATTGCGAGCCTGACAAACATGCTGCCTGGTGCAGATGTTCAGTAGGCTACAAAGAAAACAAGCGTGGCGAATGTGTCTCATTATGTGACGGATATATCTGCGGTTCAGGAGCACAATGTATCGTCACCAACAGTGGTCCCACCTGCAAATGCTTCGATGGTTTTATTGGTAATCCATTCGCGGGCGGGCAATGCACAACCGATGTCTGCTCAGCGAAGAAACCATGCCAAGAACCGCAGATATGCATCGGCGGGCGATGTAAAGAAAGATGCGAAGGTGTTGTTTGTGGTGTCGGTGCACACTGCGACAAATCATCGAACAAATGCGTGTGCGATGACTTTTTCATTGGCAATCCGGACCTCATTTGCATGCCACGTAAGTAACATGATCTTGATCCGCATAACGACGCTTACATAACACTGACTACATTGTTAATTGTCTCTTACAGCGATCTCGGCCCCCGCATGCAATCCGGACTGTGGTCGGAACGCCCACTGCGAGTACGGCATCGTTAATCAATGCGTGTGCAATACTGGTACCACGGGCAATCCCTACGAAGGTTGCAGTAAGGTGGAAACAAAAACATGCCGGACAACACAATGTGGAGATAGTGCTGAATGTCGAGAATTGTACAACAATGTGGAATGCGTGTGTCCGGCAGGCTTTGGTGGTAATCCGTACGTCGGTTGTCGGGATCTCGACGAGTGCAGTAACAACGCCTGTGGTGAAAGTGCCGTTTGTATCAACACTCCCGGTAGTTACGACTGTCGTTGCAAAGAAGGTTATGCTGGTAATCCATTTGTGATGTGTGCTAGAGTCCAAGGAGGTGGGGTATGCCAAGATGCTTATTCGTGTTCGTGTAATGCTAATATTCTGTGTCCGGTTGGTTTCTCATGTGAGAATGGACGTTGTAAGAACCTCTGTGAGAATGTTCGGTGTGGCCCACGTGCGGGTTGTGACGGTGGCAAATGTGTATGCCCACCTGGTTACGTAGGAAACCCTCGAGATATGAAAAACGGCTGCAACTTGAAGGACCAATGCAACAACGATGCGGAATGTAAAGATTCAGAAATCTGCTTCCAGCTGGGAAAAGGTTTGAGGAAATGTGTTGATGCATGCAGTAAGATTCAATGCGGGCCGAATGCGCTGTGTGTGGGTGCTAATCATCGATCATCATGCATATGCGCCTCTGGGTATTTCGGCAATCCGGGTGATTTAACCATGGGTTGTCAGTCCGAGGAGCGGGTCAACATGCGCGAATGTGAGCGTGATGGCGATTGTAAGAAGGGAACTGTTTGCGGCATGGACGGCAATGGAATCCAGAAATGTATTAACCCGTGCACGTCTGTAGCTTGCGGGCTGCACGAGGTCTGTCAATTAGGCAAAGGCAATCAACCGAACTGTGTGTGCAAACCGGAGTATATGTGGAATCCCGTTACGTCGCTGTGTGAAAAACCATCCGTCCCCGATTGCACGCTGGATGCAGACTGTAGGCAAACTGCAGCATGCACATCCGATGCCCTTGGCGTCCTCAAGTGTGTCTCAGTGTGTTCCCACTTTACATGTCCCACAAATGCGGTGTGTATCGCTTCCGATCACAAAGGCAGCTGTCAATGCTTGGATGGCTTTACTGGTAATCCCAATGACCGTAATGGATGTCGTCCGTTATTGCAGAATCAATGCACGTCCGATGGTCAATGTTCCGAGTTGGAAAAATGCGCGAAAGTTAATGGGATCTTCACATGTCGTCCCTCTTGTGAGTACATCAGCTGTGGACCACACGCCGTTTGTATTGTTAATAACCACGTAGCACAATGCCAGTGTCCACCGGGCCCCTACGCCGGTAATCCTAACGATCTTATAAATGGTTGCAAATCGGTACCATGTGTTTACAATGTCGATTGTCCGCCCACGCAGTTATGCAACAGATTATCGCACACTTGCCACGACGTGTGCAACGAAGACTCGTGCGGCATCAATTCCGTCTGCCTGGCTGAAAATCACAAAGCGATATGTCAGTGTCCGCCCGGTTTTCATCCCAATCCAACTGCGGAGATTGAATGTGGTCAGTTGGATAGTTGTAATCCAAATCCATGCCACCCATCGGCGATTTGTGAAGGATCCCCGTCGGGACATACCTGCAAATGCCCAGCGAAATTCATCGGAGATCCATTCCAAACCGGATGCCGCCCGGAAGGAGATTGCCTACATGAAGATGACTGCCCGATTCAATCTGTGTGCAAATCAGGACGCTGTGTGAATCCCTGCGAGCATATTACATGCGGGCCTAATTCAGTCTGTAATGTGATGAATAGAAAACCAGTTTGTGCTTGTCCAGCAAGATTTGTTCCGTCTCCGAATGGGCCCCAAGATGGATGCACGCGGACTACCACGAGTTGCTCAACTGATTTAGATTGTGGCAATGATATTTGCTTTAATGGCATTTGCAAATCAGTGTGTAGGAATAATGATGATTGCACCTCGGACGAACGATGCATACAAAAGATGTGTATGATTCCGTGTGCTGCTCACACCCAATGCCCACTCAATCAGGCATGCACAGGCGGAATGTGTATTATGGGATGCCGTGGAAACAAAGATTGTCCCACGGATCATGCTTGTATCAACAACAAATGCCAGAATCCTTGTTTGAGCGACAATGTTTGTGGGCCGAATGCTTTGTGTACCTGCGTTGACCACCAGACTATCTGCCACTGCCCAGCTGGTTTTGATGGTAACCCAACACCTAATCTAGGATGTATCCGTATGCCTACCAGTTGTACTACCACCAGTGAATGTCCCACGAATCATATGTGTATTGGGAACATGTGTAACCTACCATGTAGTGATACCAGCTTCTGCGCAGTAGGAGAAAGGTGTTATAACAATGTCTGCGTGAAGGTATGCTACGGTGATTCCAATTGCCTTCAAGGAGAAATCTGTGTCAAAGGTGTCTGTCAACCCGGATGTGCCACAGATTCCGACTGTAAACAAACTCAAGTCTGCACCAATAACAAATGCAGGTGTGCTGTGGGTTTCATCCAGGGACCTCAAGAATGTATGGATATTGATGAATGCGAAACTAAACCATGTCACAAATCAGCAACCTGCACCAATATCCCAGGGTCTTACAGATGTACCTGCCCAGATGGCACTGTGGGTGACCCATTCTTCCACCCTGGTTGCCGTAAACCCAATCAATGCGACAATGATAATGAATGTTCAGAACTGTTGGCATGCAGAAGAGGAAAATGTGTTGATCCCTGTATAAGTCAAAGATGCGGACCTGCTGCCGAGTGTAACATCTTCAACCATGCAGCATCCTGTGACTGCCCATCAGGTTACCTAGGAGATGGTTTTGATACCAAACTGGGATGCTTCAAAGTGGAATGTTTAGCGGATGTTGATTGCCCTGATAATAAATTCTGTGACACAGAAAATAACAAATGTGCAAGTCCCTGTGATAAAATGGATTGTGGGAAAGGCGCATGCGCAGCTCAGGTCCACCGTGCCACGTGTAACTGTTTCAGTGGGTACCAGTTAATTGATGATCATTGTGTTGATATTGATGAGTGCTCGTCATTAAACCCATGTCATGCATCCGCAATGTAAGTTATTATAGATTATATTATGAATATTTACAATGTAATGTTAATTATTTTACAGTTGTCAAAACACGCCTGGAGCATACACGTGCTCATGCGCTGAAGGCTTAGTAGGTGATCCGCTCACTACCGGTTGCCGTAACCCAGGAGATTGTTTCACGGATACCGACTGTCCATCATCCGCGGTGTGTGTTGATAATCGCTGTAAGAATCCATGCGAGGTTGCAAACACCTGCGGCAAGAACGCAGATTGTATCCCGGTTGGTCACCAGGCGACGTGTAAGTGCCCAGCGCAGACACGTGGTGATGCCTTAGTAGAATGCGTCCGGATTGAATGCATGGACAATAATGATTGTGGACAACACGATGCTTGTATTAATTACCATTGCGTGAACCCATGTAGTTTGCCCAACGCCTGTGGGCAGAAAGCTGACTGTGTAAACTCCAACCACAATGGTATTTGCACGTGCCAACCGGGATATACTGGTGATCCACAACTTGGTTGCGTGTTGGTGCAATACTGCGCTGCGGATAATCAATGCCCATCAGGGACAAAGTGCAGCAACGGTGTTTGTAGCTGTAAGTATAAAATTTACAAACTTTTAAAGACTTTATGTGTTAAATTTTTGTTTCCTTTGATTAGCAATCTGTTCCTCGAATCGTGAATGTATCGGTGATCAAATTTGCATTCAAAGCACATGCGAAGCAACATGCAAGTCGAATTCCTCATGTCCTGATTTTCAATTTTGTCAGAATAACGTGTGCACGCAGGAATTCAAATGCCAAGTACACAAAGACTGTGAATTCAATGAGCGTTGTGTCCGAAACAGTTTAGGACAAAACGAGTGTTTTGACGCGTGCGAAGGTGCAATTTGTGGGCGCAATGCCGACTGTACATCAAAGAACCACAAAGCGGTATGCGCTTGTAAGAAAGGATACCGAGGAAATCCCAATGATGAACGCCACGGTTGTATCGAAGTGGAATGCGAGAACAGTGCACAATGCAGTAATGACAAATTGTGCGATGAAAACATGTGTAAAATTGCTTGTCTCGTGCATAATCCATGCGGGAAGAATGCTTTGTGTTCAGCCGAGAACCACAAACAAGAATGCTATTGTCAACCTGGTTTCACTGGTAATCCACATGTGGGATGTCATTTGATTGATTTCTGTGCTGATTTCCCTTGTGGACCAGGTGCCAGCTGTCAAAATTCAAGAGGATCTTTTAAATGTCTATGTCCAGATGGAACAATAGGTGATCCCTATAATGAAGGATGTAGACCTCCGGTTGAATGCAATGTTGATCATGACTGCCCATCTGCTACTTCCTGTGATAGGACTAATGGAATCCACAAATGTAGAGATGTTTGCTTACAGACAACTTGTGGACCTAATGCTGAATGCGTACCGGTTGATCACGTCGGGCATTGTACATGCCGAACAGGGTATCAGGGTAATCCATCTGATATTCATATTGGATGTAGACCGAAACCAATATCTTGTCATACAACAGCAGATTGTCCTAGTAATACTTACTGTTATGGAGAATCATGTAAACGTAAGTATTTTACTTTAAAATTTTAAAATCAAAACAAATTTAATTTTTTAAATTTTCTGTAGCTACGTGTGAATCAAATGAAGAATGTGCTCTATCCGAGGAATGTCTCCAAGGACAATGCTTAAATTCTTGTGAATTGCGGAATGCCTGCGGAATGAATGCCAAATGCAGAATGGACGATCACACCAAAGATTGTAAATGCCCCGCTGGGTTCACTGGAAATCCGGATTTAGAATGCATAAGACGTGAGTCATAAATTAATTTTATTTAAATCAAATACCAAACATTCTTCTCTTTCTCCAGTGCCAACATCTTGTTTATCAAGTCATGACTGCCAAGAAAACTTCATTTGTACTAACCGTACTTGCGTGCCAGAATGTAAAATCGACAACGATTGTGCTTTCAATGAAAAATGTCTCAAAGGCAGTTGTATATTGACCTGCCGCGTGGATAACGATTGCTTCCTAGGTCACATCTGCGTGAATAACGTTTGTAACTTTGGTTGTCACAGTGATGACGACTGTAGTTCCAGTGAACAATGCAGGGATAACATGTGTATAGAACCATGTTTAGACAACCCCTGTGGACCCAATGCGCTATGCACAGCTAGTGGCCACCGTACCACATGTTCATGTATCAAAGGATTCGTTCCAAATCCATCTGCAAAGGTGGCCTGTGTCCGAGCACCTGCCCCGCCATGCACTAACAACAAACAATGTTCATCTGGTAATGTCTGCCTAGAAGGTTCCTGTAGATCTGTTTGTTCAGGTGATGAAGGTTGTCTGAGTAATGAACGCTGCGAGGTGAATACAGGTGTTTGTAAACCTCTATGTCGACGTGATGATGACTGCGAGTTTGGAGAAATCTGTGAGAGTCTTGTTTGTTTAACCGGATGTCGAAGTGATTCAGGGTGTACCAGCAATCTGGCATGTGTCAATGGAAAATGTTTAGACCCATGTGATTCTCCAACCGCATGTGGTACCAATGCAGAATGCACAGTGTTCAATCACGACAAGGTATGTAGTTGCATGGCACCATTAGCAGGTAATCCATTTGATTCATGTCGGTACCCTGTCAAACCATGTTTGTATGATTCTGAATGCCTTGATGGTCACGCATGTTATGCTGGGTATTGTGAGCAAATGTGTCGCAATGATAAAAACTGCCTGTCAGATGAAAGATGCGTGAAGGGTACCTGCAAAGCAATTTGTAACTCGGATAGTAAATGTGGACAGAACCAAATCTGTGAGAATAGAATATGCGAGATTGGTTGTCGAAGTGATTCTGTATGTCTACATAACCAAGCGTGTATAGCAAACAAATGTCAAGATCCATGTGAAGCTGGTACGGTAACATGTGGAGCGTGTGCAACCTGCAGTGTGAAGAACCACGTAGGTCAATGTAGTTGTCCAAGTAACTTCTTGGGTAATCCATTGATAGCATGTACAAAACCAGCGACAAGGTGTGATGGAGTATGTGAATGCGATGAGATAGGATACTGTATTAAATCATGCAGAGGTGACCAGGAATGCGCATGTGGGGAGATGTGTTACGAAGATAAATGCCGTACCAAATGTTCAACCTTCAACGCATGCGCACAGGGACAAGTGTGTGAAAATGGCGCGTGTAAACCCGGATGCAAATCTAATTCGGACTGTGCCAGTGCAGAATCTTGCATAGAACGAAAATGTCAAGATCCATGTATTGTATCCAACCCATGTGGTAGGAATGCAGTTTGTAGGGTATCTGAACACAGAACTATTTGTCTATGCCCTGATGGGTTCCATGGTGAACCCACTAAAAGCTGCACACCTTATGAATGTGAAAGAGATGATGACTGTGAAAGTAACAAGAAATGCAGTGCGGATAAAGCATGTAAGAACCCATGTTTAGAAAACAACGCATGTGGGGCCAATGCACAATGTAGGGTTAGTGACCGAAAAGCACAATGTTCCTGCCCACCTGGATACTTTGGTAATGCAGCAATTGAATGTAAACAAGGCGGAAATGAAGAATGTCTTAAAAACCCATGTGGAGAGAATACGAAATGTAGGGATACCAATGGAGGTTATGAATGTTCATGTGCCACTGGTTGCATAGGTGACCCTTACAGAGGATGTGTCTGTGAAGGGCACCTAGTAAACCTATGCAATAAAAAACGATGTGGGTCCAATGCCCAATGTAGAATTGTCAATGGTAAAACAGCACAATGTTTCTGTCCATTGGAATACCCATCAGGTGACCCAACAATTGAATGTAAGTAAACATGCTCACCTACCTTACAATTCCAATGTATTCCAACCATTATTTCTATTCAGGTACTGCCGAAAGAGGTGTTGTTGATTGTAGAACCGAAGGATGTGGTCAGAATGCTGAATGTATCAGAGAGCAGGCGTTCTTTGTATGCCGATGCTTGCCAGGAACCTCCGGTCGTCCGGAAGTAGAATGTAGACGAGGTAAGTGCCCAGTTGTACATCCGACACCCACAAATGGAACACTTGTGACACGATCATCGATGTGTTTTGTACAAAATTGTCTTTTTGCACGACGTGTTGAGTTGCGTAGGTTAGCTCTCAATGTTTATGCACGTGACACTGTAAATATATTTCCTACATAAGTTTAGAGACTCGTAGCCACACACCCCACTCTCAACATGAGGATGTCATGCCCACAGTGAATGTTGTGCGGTGTGGGCATCACATCGCCTGTGTGAATATGTGGAATGTACACTTCAAAGTTCCAATCTGCCATTGAACATCTTCCTCACATCCACATATTTATTCAACTCATAATATCTATCATATACAGTTAGTTATAGTAGACATTTGACTCTGGCATCTGCAGGATGTTAATTTCAACTGCTGCAAGTGTCATTGTCGTGATTGGGCCAAAGTCAGATTGGGAACTGTGAAAGGAGCATTCTCACATTGTGTTTTGTGTAATTAGTCCCTATCTGGGCTGTCGTATATGCTTGTATATACTGCCGCTTCGCTCGGTTGGCGATGAGTTTTATATATTTTTTTTGGTAATGTTTGTTAATATTATTGTTGTTTATCTCTTTCACCATCTATCGATTACTATGTCCTATCGTCACTAGCAAGCATGTGATACAAAGTTGATTATTGTTTTCGTATTGTGAGATAATTTCCTTTCACGGTTCTTACACAAACGCTTCTCTATTTCTTGCTCATGTCCCCTGATGTCCCCCCATAGACATGGAATGTAACAGTGACCTAGAATGCCCGAACGAGAAGGCATGCATCAACTCGCAATGCATTGACCCGTGCAGCTTGCGTGGGGCATGCGGGCTGAACGCCATTTGCAAAGTGGTGCTCCATAGACCCAGGTGCTCGTGTCCCCAGTGCCACGTGGGCATGGCGAACACCGCGTGCCACCCGGACCCTAAATGCCAGCACACCCCCGAGGCCCGGCCGGCACCAAACGTGCAATGTCTTGGGGACGCAGACTGCCCAAATACGCTTGCTTGCAATCAGCGTGCGGGAGAGTGTTATAATCCCTGTAAAAGCCCTTCGGTGAAGTGCAGCTTCAATAAGAAGTGCGAGGTGCACAACCATCGAACAACCTGCGTCTGCAAAAATGGTTTTGTTGTGAATGAACATGGTGAGCTTGCGTGTGCCCCTGATAATCTTGAATGCACACAAAGTAGTCAATGCACGTCGAATACGGCGTGTATGGACGGCCGGTGCCAGAGCCCCTGCGCGAAATCGCCATGCCCCCCTGATAAAGCTTGCGAGGTGCTTAATCATCAACCCATTTGCATTTGTATGAAAGACTGCAATCCATCGCTATCAATATGCCTAAGAGACAGTGGCTGCCCGCCTACGCAGGCATGTAGAGCTTTTAAATGCGAAGATCCTTGCGCCACTGCCAGTTGCCCAGCTGATACCCCTTGCTATGTCGAAGAGCACAAACCGATCTGCAAATTTTGCCCCCACGGATTTGTGTCAGACTCGAAGTATGGATGTCTCAAAGGTAATCAAAAACGAGTGCGAAAAACGCCCGACCATGACACACACGTAACTACTTATTACAAAATGTGTTTTTTGCAAAACAATCTTCCTAATCGTTATCTCTGTTATACGTGATGCCTCATTTCACTTCAATTAGTTACTAATATCTTTTTGTACATAGTCTATTGTATATACATAAATATTTTATTATTCTTCTCTATTCGCAGTTGATAATTCAAGTGGGATTAAATGCGCAAAGGACGCAGATTGCGCTGAAGCACATACATGTGTAAAGGGCGCATGCGCTGATTTATGTCTCACCTCGTGTGGCAAAGCGGCAATATGTCAGCCACACGGACACATGGTGACATGCCGCTGTCCGATTGGATACGAAGGCAATGCATCCATTGAATGCTTCCCAAAAACAGACACCTCCTCAACCATGTCTCCACTAAGTCAAACCCAAACTACCTCACCTCCAACATCAAAACAAGTTCCTTGTATAAAGGTCAACGATTGTCCTGTGAACACTACTTGTGTTAACAGTACCTGCGTTAACCCTTGTAGTCATTACAAACCGTGTCCCAGAGGTGTTCAATGTGATGTAATTGGCCACAGCATGTATTGCAAGTGCCCGTTACCCTTGAATAAGACAAAAGTGCCTGGATGTAAAATATTTCCAGGTAAATTGGATATTGTATCAGGAAAGGAAGAGTTGCAAGCGCAAAGCATGATGAACTTGGTGACCCTCTAAGGTCACCAGCAAGGTCCACGAACAGGAACCTGAAATGCCAAAATCTCAAATATTCTTTATTGATTGTGTATATAAACTATTTGGTGGTTGGGTGTTCGGTGGGGTATGGGTAATGGTTAAATGGTGATGGTTCTATATATTTTGTTGTCTATTTTATTGATGTTTAATCAAATTTATGCTTTTGAAGAATTTTCAGCTTTGCTTCTCTTTGTACGTATATTATACCATAATTTGGCTCTACCTTTATATAAAAACCAATCATAACCAAGTTACTTAAATCTGGTAAATTTGTTTCTCATTAGAAGTCGCGTGCCATGCTCATGAACAATGTCAGGCGGATCAGGCTTGTATCAATGGAAGATGTGAGAACCCTTGTGCTGCTTCCAACCCATGTGGGCACCAACAAGACTGCCAAATACAAAACCATCAACCTGTTTGTGTAAAGGGTAAGACTAGTTATAACCTTCTTGCAAATTATTTGCTTACGCTTGGCTTTTCAGTGTGTCAATGTCAAAGACACCAGGATTGTGGAAGTTATGGCTTAATATGCGATGGTTGCAATTGTGTTCAACGTAAGCTTTTCCCAAATTTAGAAATGATCATGATACTAATTATTTTTTGAATACTAGATGAGGAACCTGTCATCACCAGTGGATGTGAACACTGCCCACCAGGTGTACCCTGTGACCCTACCACTGGCGCCTGCATAAAGGGTAAGTGTTTTGGAAAATCATTTTCAAGGTCATTTTAACAAGATACGTGTTGCTGTTTTGCGTAATATCATTATATCCCAAACATTCCCACCTCATTAAGAACATCCAATCACCTAACTACAGCTATTGGATATGGAATCATCGCATAACGCCGAATGGACCAGGGACATATTCACAGTATAAATCCTGTGAAGTAAACATTTACTGCATCATTCATAATGTCAATTCGTGTTTGACTGTTTCAGACATTAACTGTACAATTGTATATTAATCTCTTTACCTCTTCCTTATATCGCATTGTACATCAAAATGGCAACACTTTTTTTATGTGCGATTATTGTATACATATTCTATGCTAAACTTTCGCTACAAAAGGCAAAAGAGACTGCCATCTTGTAAAACATGAATGTACTTGGGACAAGTATATGTATTTTATGTGAACTCGGTTACTTGACGTAGAATGAATCGTTGTCTATTTAGTGGGACCTTTTGGTATGTTCGACTTTTTGGTGGTGGGGTTGTTATCATATTTACAGCTTGAGGTGTGCTTCCATCACCGTGTATACAGATTCACTGATTGGTAACATAGATGTATATACTCATAGGTTTAACTCTTTTTGAAATAACAGATGATGGAACAACGCGGCCTGCTTTTGAGACACAAACTATGTCCGTAACCAAAGCATTCACTACCACCACTAATGCTCCTGTACCTACCACAATTGACAGTTATATTACGTCTACATTACACACAGACACAACGTTAGAGTCTCACACTACCAATGATCTCTTATTGCCTGAAGTGACAACAGAAAGTTTTATTGATAGAGATTCAGTTACTTTTAATCCTGTTACTAGTGGGACCAGTAGTGGTTCTGAGGAGAGTACTTCTGAAATAGGTTCTTCTGTAACTACTTCTCATAGTTTAGAAATATCTACTTCTTCTGATTCTCAGACTACTTTTTACCAAACTGGTAAAACTGAAGGTACTTCCAGTATAGCGTCAGTTACGGTAAATGATTTATTGCCTGTGGAAACTACTGCTACCACTGAATCTATTAGTTCAATTACAACTGAAGGTATACCTTTTACTTCATCTCCTGTTATGACCACCAGCAGTTCTGAAACAACACAAGACTTAGGTTTATCTTCAGAAATTTCAACTGAGAAAACTACTATTAGAATCACTACTGAAGGTATACCTTTCACGTCAGGTCCTAAAGTGACTACTAAGGAACCAATTATTCCTGGTAATTTGTTTACTTCAGGACCAATAACAACTAAGACTTCTACTGTAGGAACAACTGAGGTACCTTATGTAACAGATGTAACTGACGATGATATTGTCGAGCATGATATTACTGATACTGATACTGATTATACTGTTAGTGAAACTCCTGAGGTGACCAAAAAGTATGATACTGTTGATAAGACTACTTCTGCGACAACATCTTCATATGTTGTCACTTCTGAGACAACAACACAATCTACCCCTGAAACAATTACAGGTGATACTTCTACTATACCTACTTTGTTTACCACTGAAGATGTTACTATATCAGAAACCCCATCCGTGACTAAGAAATATTATACTGTTGGTCCAGAATCAACTACAGAATATACCTCAACAGAATCTGATATAACACAATCCACACAAACTACAGTAACATCAGGTATTACTGTACCTACTAGTTCAACCACTAAATTAGAGACTGAAACAACTGAAAAAACCATTCCCCAAGTTTCTAGTACCCAGCAAACAATTACAGAATCTAATATTATCACAACAGAAGAAGTAACAGTTTCGGAAATACCTTCAGAAACTAAAAAATATTACACAGTTGGCACAGAATCAACTTCAGAATATATTTCCACAGAATCAGATATAACACAATCCACACAAACAATAGTAACATCAGGTATTACTGTGCCAACTAGTTCAACGACTAAATTAGAGACTGAAACAACTGAACAAACCATTCCCCAAGTAACTATTACCCAACCAACAATTACAGAATCTACAGAAGATGTGACAGTTTCAGAAACACCCACAGTAACTAAAAAATATTATACAGTTGGTACAGAATCAACTTCAGAATATACCACAACAGAAACTGATACAACCCAATCCACACAAATTTCAGTAACATCAGGTATTCCAGAAACTACTAGTCCCTCTACTAAATTAGAGACTGAAACAACAACTAAACCTTTTGTTGAACACACAATTCCACATGTTACTGGTACCCAGTCAACACCTACAGAATCCATTGTTCCCACAACAGAAGAAGTAACAGTTTCAGAAATACCTTCAGTAACTAAAAAATACTACACTGTTGGTACAGAATCCACTTTAGAAAACACCACACCTTCAATTACAGACACAACTCCTAAACCAACAACAAGTTTACTAACAGAAGCAACGACAAGACCAAATATTGAACATACAATAAAACATGTCACAGCCACACCTGCTGGTACCACACCAACCGTCACACAAGAATCCACGACAAAACCTTATATTTACACAACAATAGAACACGTAGCAGGTACTACAGAACACACAGAAACTTCCAAAGTAAATGACACTGTCTATGTCACTGCCAATACTGTTAACACGCCAAAGTACGAGCCTACTACTATAACCACACCCAAACCGGAAACAACAACACAGCCAATCGTAGAACACACAATAGATCATGTCAAAGCAAATAGAACTACTGAATCAAGTGTGACTGAAGGTACACCCACATCTACTATCAAATATGTTTATGCTGAGACCACAGAACATGGTAAAATGGCTAGTGAGGTCACAACAAGTGAAGGTACATCCACTACAGAAGTAGTTACAAAAGTATCAGTTATTAATGAGACTACCTCCAAGAAAACATCATACCCTGATATTTTCACAGGGTATACTGTCCCTGTTATAATTTTAACACCAGATTTAACCACTGCTCAGACACCTGTTAAACCTTCTGAAAAAACAACTCAGACACCAATAATTACAGAAACAACTTTAGGTGTGGACCTTTCTGAGGTCACCACTAGTTCAGATATTTCTAGTAGCCCTGATCTGAAAACAAATCTTACCACTGCCCCATCTTTAATTACTGACGCAACCACTGCCATTACAACAGAAACACCAGGTGTTCAGACACAGACAGATATTATTTCTACAACTACCCAAGAACCATCCACGCTGTTCCCTGTCATAACCGAAATTAACACTCCCATAATTCCATCGTTTACTGACATCATTCCAATTAAAAACCTTACCGATGTAGTCGTTAATCAAACTAAACCATGCCGCAAAGATGACGATTGCACGCCGCTCGAGACCTGCCTGAATAATCAGTGCGTAATCAGTTGCTCAATCGGAGGCCGGTGCGCACCGAATGCAATTTGTACAGTTATTAACCACGCGGCCGTATGTATGTGTCCACCCGGATACTCAGGCGATCCCAAAAGGGATTGTTTGCAAGGTATAAGGTCTAATAATAAGCAACTAGTCATGTAAATAGACTCTAAGTATAAATCTAACTAGTGCATGTTGTAGATATACGAGTAATATTAATTTAGGTCCCAGAAAAAAAAAAACTGAAAATTTTTTATTTCATTGATACATATTGGTGTTAATCAAAACTAATTTGATTTTAACGAATCTAATATAGAACCCGGTCATCCAAAGGCACCCAAACCGTGTGAGTCAGATAATGATTGTCTAGAGATCGAGGCGTGTTACATGTCGATCTGCCAAGATCCGTGCGAATTTGCTGACGTTTGTGCTAAATCAGCAAAATGCCAAGCGAAAATGCACCGGCCGATTTGTACATGTCCTCGTGGTTACGAAGGCAATCCAGCAATAAAATGCTTCAAATCAAGACCAAGTAAGAAATCCAAAAAAAATGCCAAATAGCACACAATCACTTCCTTCATCACAATAACTTTATAACTATAACCAAAATTTAATAAATTAATTTGGATGTTGATTGTGTGCTATAGTTGTATGATATTTAAATCACAACTATTGTATATTGTACATAAACTTAGTTGAGATTTTATAGCACACTCAATTGCTTATGATGTACAAATTAGTTTTTTGTAAATTATTACTACTTCTGTATAAAACTACTATCTATTTCTCTGCACGAACTATTAGTTGGTTGCACTTCGAATGAGCACTGCCCGATAACGGAGGCTTGCGTGAATGGTGCCTGCAAGAGACCATGCGATCTTCATGATCCGTGCGCACAGAATGCTATTTGCATTAATACCAATCATGGTACGGACTGTAGCTGCGCCGAGGGATATCAAGGAAATGGATATGTAGGCTGTACACCAGGTAGAATTCAAAAGAAAGTAAAATTAGCAAAAATTCATTTTTTTCCCATTTTCTTAGTAATTGATTACAAACCAATCTGCCAATACAACGAAGACTGCCCACCGAATAAGCTATGCGATAGATTAAACAGGCTATGCATTAACCCATGTTTTGAAGATTCCTGCGGAGATAACGCAGAATGCATTCCGAAGAATCACGGAATAGACTGCCAATGTTTACCGGGACACGTGGGTAATCCCTATGTGTTCTGTAGTTTGGTTCAGGGTTGTCACAGTGATAGTGAATGCCCTACCAATTTGGCTTGCATCAACACCCAATGTGCTTCACCATGTAAATGTGGATCAAATGCTATTTGTGATGTCATCAATCATAAACCACAATGTAAATGCCCTGAAGGATATGCGGGTAACCCTTTGACAGGATGCAGTCCACCAAGTAACCCTTGTGATCCAAACCCTTGTGGATTGAATGCATTCTGCGAGTTGGATAATGGCAACCCCATTTGTTTCTGTCCTAAAGGTCTTACTGGAAATCCATTTAAGAACTGCAGTAAGTATTTTATTTCTTTTACTTCTAATAAAGTTTCTAATTGAGTTTATAATAGTTCCTGAAGGTGATGAGTGCACACCAAACCCATGTGGTCCCAACTCTGGATGTAGATTAGTAGGAGGTCAAGCAGTTTGTTTCTGTCTGCCTGAATATGAAGGTACACCACCAACAGTACCATGTGCATTACCTGACAACCCTTGTAACCCATCACCATGTGGTCCTAACACACAATGTACTATTTTATCCAATGGTTTTGCTAAGTGTACATGTCTGCATGGATACCTTGAAAGCCCCAATACCATCCGAGGTTGTGTAGAACAAAGAAACCCATGTGAACCTAACCCATGTGGTCATGGAGCTCAGTGTGATCCACATCGTGAACCAGTTTGCTTCTGCCCATATGGACTCATTGGAAACCCTTATAGAAGCTGTGCTGAACCAGTGCAAGCACCTGTCCTATGCCAACCTGGACCATGTGGGGCCAATGCAGATTGCTATGTGTCCAACAATGAAGAACAATGTTACTGTAAAAATGGATTCATTGGAGATGCTTATGTTGGATGCACTTTACAACCAACTAATCCATGCATTCCAAACCCCTGCAGCCCCGGTGCTATTTGTGTACTCAGCGAAAACAACCAACCTGTATGTCAATGCCCAATTGGAATGGGAGGAGACCCAACCGGTGCTGCTGGATGTCATGGATTTGAATGCTTGGTAGATTCAGATTGTTCTCAATCAGCTGCTTGTATTGGTCACAGGTGTAGAGATCCTTGCCCTGGATCTTGTGGCGTGAACGCTGATTGTAGAGTTGAACAACATCACCCAGTCTGTACCTGTCACCATGGTTTAACAGGAAACCCAATTGTCAGATGCTACGCTTTACCAGCTCCAATGCCAGTGAATGATCCTTGTATGCCAAACCCTTGTGGACTCAACACCATCTGCCAAGTACTCAATGGAAGAGCAGTTTGTTCTTGTTTGCCTGATTTCTTGGGAGATCCACAATTTGGTTGCAAACCAGAATGTACATTAAACTCTGACTGCCCAGAAGACAAATCCTGTTTAAATAGACATTGCGTCAACCCCTGCAAGATTGGTGCCATTTGTGGTGTTAATGCTGTATGCCAGGTTCAATACCATACTGCTACTTGTCTGTGTCCTGAAGGGTTCACTGGAGATGCTTTTATTCAATGTATACCAAAACGTAAGTCTCTTTAATTTTGTTATACAGTGATATTATTTACATTTGTATGTTTTTTCTTTCTTTAGCAATTGTTGTTTACCCGGTATCAAACGTATCAAGACCATGCTACCCCTCACCCTGTGAACAACACTACGCTTGCGATAACTACGGAGGTCACGTTGCTATCTGTGATCCGTGTTTGGGACCTAACGCAATTTACCACCCGCAATGTAGACCTGAATGTCTGACCAACGCTGATTGTCCCTTCAACCGTGCTTGCCTTGGAGAAGTTTGTGCTGATCCCTGTATTGGATCTTGTGGTGTGGGAGCCACTTGTATGGTTGTTGCACATACACCAGTTTGCAGTTGCCCATACGGTCTCCACGGAAATCCATTTGAACATTGCTCCGTTCCACCTCCAGATGATCATGGTACCTCATGTGAAAACATTCAATGTGGTTCAAATGCCGATTGCAAACAACACTACAATGACTTAACCTGTGTTTGTAAACCTGGTTTCTTCGGTAATCCATGGTTTGCTTGCCGACCAGAATGTGTCATCAACTCTGATTGCGGAATGACCAAAGCCTGTATCAACAATAAGTGCGTGGATCCATGCGCGGGCGCCTGTGGACTCAACTCTCAATGTGAATGCATCAACCACATCCCAATTTGTTTCTGCCCTGTGGAACACACTGGAGATCCATTTGTTTCTTGCTATCCGTTCAAGCAACCACCACCACCAATTGAGAATCTACCACTACCAATTAATCCTTGTGATCCGTCACCTTGTGGACCTTTCAGTAGATGTTTAGTATCACCACAAGGGTTCTCCGTTTGTTCTTGCCTACCATCTTATAGAGGAACACCACCAGCTTGTAAACCAGAATGTGTGGTTAGTTCAGAATGTCCTCAGAACAAGGCGTGTATGAATCAAAAGTGTGTGGATCCATGCCCAGGAACATGTGGGTTAAACGCAAGATGCGCTGTTATAAACCACAACCCAATTTGTACCTGCCCAGCTGGACAAGATGGTGATCCATTTGTCAGGTGCTATGAACCTGTTGTAATTGAAGAACCTAAAACACCAGGCAATCCATGCGTACCATCACCATGTGGACCTAATTCTATCTGCCAAGTTAAAGAACGCAGACCTGTTTGTTCCTGCGTAGCTAACTACATTGGAAACCCCCCACACTGCCGACCAGAATGCACCATCAGTTCAGAATGTCCTCAAACCAAGGCTTGCATCAGAGAAAAATGTGTTGACCCATGCATTGGAAAATGTGGTCACAACGCAAAATGTTTCGTCATTAATCACACTCCAGGTTGTACATGCGATGCAGGATATGAAGGTGATGCATTCATTGGTTGTTCAGCAATAATTATCCAGGAACCAATAGATCCCTGCAATCCTTCACCATGTGGGGATAATTCACAATGTTCGATTCATAATGGCGCCGCTCGTTGCACATGTATCCCACCATACATTGGCAACCCTTACGCCGGTGGTTGCAGACCGGAATGTACGATAAATTCTGATTGTCCTAGTCATTTAGCTTGTCTTGCTCAACATTGTAGAGATCCTTGTCAGGGATTATGCGGTATTAATGCAGAGTGTAGTATCGTAAATCATGTTCCGGTCTGTTCATGTGCACGAGGACTCATTGGTGATCCATTTACATCCTGTCGACGAGATATAGAGAGACCACCTACAAACCCATGTGAACCAAGTCCATGTGGACCCAACAGTCTATGCAGAATCAATAAAGGTCATGCTGTATGTTCCTGTCGTCCAAATTACAACGGAGCACCACCAAATTGTAGACCTGAATGTCTTGTTAGTTCAGAGTGTAATCTGAATCAAGCTTGCATCAATCAAAAATGCAAAGACCCATGCCCAGGAACCTGTGGAATCAGTGCGCGTTGTCAAGTAATCAACCACAACCCAATCTGTAGTTGCCCTGCACATTATGTTGGAGATCCATTTGTTCAATGTGTTAAAGGTATGATTATTTACATTTTAGGTCACTAAGGAATAATACAAATTCAATGTTTTTTATGTAGAAGTGAAAGTTCCGGAACCACCTGTAAGCCCATGCGTTCCATCCCCATGTGGACCGAATGCAGAGTGTCGTGTAATTGACGCCCGACCAGTGTGTTCGTGTTTGTTAGGTATGTTTGGAGCACCTCCAAACTGCCGACCGGAATGTGCTATCAACCAAGACTGCCCATCTCACCTCGCGTGTATCAATCAAAAGTGTAAAGACCCTTGTGCGGGTTCGTGCGGTTTTAATGCTCAGTGTAGTGTGCAAAATCATCGCCCTTTGTGTGCCTGTCTACCAGAATATGAAGGAGACCCATTCGTTGGCTGCAATTTACTACCAGGTATTTTTCTACAAACTTTTTATCAGATTCTATGTGTTGGGTTTTCATGATTTCATGTTTTCTGCATGTATTTCAATCTTCACTTTCTTCATTGTGTACATAGTGCAATTAGATACGCCCATCGACCCCTGCAATCCGTCACCATGCGGGGCAAACACTATCTGCAAAGAACAAAATGGTGCTGGTTCATGCAAATGCTTACAAGATTATTTCGGGGATCCGTATGTTGGATGTAGGCCAGAGTGCTTAATGAACAGCGATTGCCCCTCGAATAGAGCATGTTTAGCCAAAAAGTGTAGAGACCCATGTCCCGGAAGTTGTGGCATTAACGCCCAATGTCATGTTATCAATCACAACCCTGTGTGTACATGTGTTTCCGGTTTTGTCGGAGATGCATTGACCCACTGCCGTGTTGAAGTTGACCTAGGTATTATCCCAACCCATTTTGACCAGAATCTATTTACTAAAGATAATTTCACAGTTGTCATAGAAAAACCTCGCAGACACCCTTGTTTACCTTCACCATGTGGACCTTACAGTATCTGTCGGGTTGACCATGATAGACCAGTTTGCTCATGTGATGCTGGTTATCTTGGGGCACCACCAAATTGCAAACCCGAATGTATAGTCAATTCAGAATGTGCGTTAAACCGCGCATGCAGAGCACAAAAATGTGTTGATCCCTGTATAGGAACATGTGGATACAATGCTCTGTGTAAAGTAGTTGCACACAACCCAATTTGCAGTTGTCCACCGGGTCACATCGGTGATCCATTCAACAAATGCGTGTTAGATATCAGTAAGCATGTCACTATTGCAGGGTTGGAATGTTGCTTATTGCATGATCTTCTTTTAGAACCAGTGGTGGTGGAACATGTTGACCCTTGCTCGCCATCACCATGCGGGTCTTACGCTGAATGTCGCGTTGTTGACGAACGCCCAGTATGCTCATGTTTGCCCACTTATTACGGACGCCCACCACATTGCAGACCCCAATGTCTCATTAATTCCGATTGTCCCGCAATGAAAGCTTGCGTAAATGAACGCTGCATTGACCCATGCCCGGGCGCATGTGGTTCTAATACGGAATGTAAATGTATCAATCATGTCCCAATATGCTATTGCATTCCGGGTTACATAGGTGATCCGTTTTCCGGATGTCATTTGAGTAAGTAGACTAACCGAGTCTACTAATTTAGTCTTAGTTGTGTCCGCACTTACTACACTAAACCCCCTTGCTTCTGAAGATCTGTTGTACTATTATACTATGTCTTTTAGTTATACAACCCGTGGAAGAACCACGTCACCCGTGCAACCCTTCACCATGTGGTGCAAATGCGGCGTGTAATGAACGCAATGGTGCTGGATCTTGTGTATGTCTACCCGATTATTTCGGTGACCCATATTCGGCTTGTAGACCTGAATGTGTGATGAATTCCGATTGTTCCTTTGACCGTACCTGTATTAATAACAAATGCAAAGACCCTTGTATTGGCACTTGTGGCCTTAATGCCGAATGTCGGGTAGCTCATCACAACCCAGTCTGCACTTGTTTGCCAGGATACACAGGCAACCCTTCGACTTCTTGTCAACTGATACCACCACCTCCACTAAGTAATCTCTCAACAACTTTTGTTTGATCTATACTCTAATTTTCAATTTCTTTAGTTGTGCATGAACCTACAGACCCATGTCTACCATCTCCATGTGGACCATATAGTGTCTGTAGAAATATAAATGGTCACGCAGTGTGCTCTTGTCAGAGAAACTACATTGGTACACCTCCTGGTTGTCGTCCAGAATGTACCATAAGCGCGGATTGTAATCAGGACAGAGCTTGTATTAAAAACAAATGTCAGGACCCTTGTCCCGGTACGTGTGGCTTGAATGCCCGCTGCCAAGTTGTAAATCACAACGCAATCTGTAGTTGTGCACCTGGTTTCACTGGAGATCCGTTTATTAGATGTTTGCAGGAGCAAAGTAAGCTACCTCTAACTCTAACAATCACTAACTTAGGAATATCAATTACACAATTTACACTTTCAGAAACACCTGTTGTAATACCAGCTGGCAACCCATGTGTGCCCTCACCATGTGGGCCTAATTCCCAATGCAGGGTCATAAATGATCAGGGTGTTTGCTCGTGTTTAGAAAACTTTATTGGCAGACCTCCAAATTGTAGACCTGAATGTACCATTAACGCGGAATGCCCTGGTAACTTAGCCTGTTTACATGAAAAATGTAGAGACCCATGCCCTGGATCATGCGGAGTTAACACTAATTGTGTTGTTGTCCGCCATGCCCCACTATGTACCTGTCATAGTGGTTATACTGGTGACCCATTTGTGGGATGTTCACCAATCCCAAGTAAGACAAGAGAACCCCCATTAATTTCTGAATTAGATTTTGACCATATTAATATTTTAGTTCAACCTGTTGAAGAAGTCAGAAACCCATGCAACCCATCTCCATGTGGAGCAAATGCAGTTTGCAAAGAACGCAATGGTGCAGGTTCCTGTACTTGTTTACCAGAATATTTCGGTGATCCATACACTGCTTGCCAACCTGAATGCGTTATCAATGCTGATTGCCCTCACAACAAAGCCTGTGTTAACATGAAATGTACAGATCCGTGCCCTGGCACATGTGGTATTAATGCTGAATGCAGGGTTAACAACCACGCTCCAAATTGTTTCTGTTTTGCTGGATACAGTGGTAATCCCGCTGTGGCTTGCCATTTACCACCACCTGTTATTCACGAGGAACCAAAATCAGACCCGTGCGTGCCTTCCCCATGTGGACCATACAGTACTTGCAGGGTTTTGAATGGTCATGCAGTTTGTTCCTGTCAACCTAACTATATTGGTAGCCCACCAATGTGTAGACCTGAATGCATGATCAGTGCGGATTGCTCCTTGCAAAAGGCATGCGTCAATACAAAATGTGTTGATCCATGTCCCGGTACATGTGGGTTAAACGCACGTTGTCATGTTGTAAACCACAATCCGATCTGTAGTTGCCCGGCTGATTTTGTAGGTGATCCGTTTGTTCGTTGTCTTCAACAAGAAAGTAAGGATAATGGTACTTTTTCAGTTGAACCAATTTTTAAATTTGAATATTGTTTTATTAGAACGCCCTGTAATTGAACCAACTAGAAACCCTTGTCTGCCATCGCCCTGTGGACCAAATTCTATTTGCCGAGCAATTGGTAATACTCCAGCTTGTTCATGTAAAACTGGTTATGTAGGTCGTCCTCCAAGCTGTAGACCTGAATGTACAATCAGTGTTGAATGCCCAAGTAACTTGGCTTGCATTAATGAAAAATGTCAGGATCCATGCCCAGGTTCTTGTGGTTCTAATGCCGAATGCCAGGTTATTAACCATCGATCTGTTTGTATGTGTATTATTGGATATACTGGAGATCCATTTGCTGGTTGCAGTATCATACCAGGTATTTTCCCAAAAATGTTAGAGGAATCCCCAAATTTATTATCTTATTATTATTTAGTGGTACAACCTGTTGAAATACCAAGTGACCCTTGTAATCCAAGCCCATGTGGAGCAAATGCAATTTGCAAAGAAAGAAATGGTGTTGGTTCTTGTATTTGCATTGATCAGTATTCTGGAGATCCGTACACAAGTTGTAGACCGGAATGTGTAACCAATTCAGATTGTGCAAGACACCTGGCTTGTCTGAACAACAAATGCAGAGACCCTTGTCCTGGAATTTGCGGTCTTAATGCCGAATGTCATGTGTCAAACCATGCCCCTGTTTGTAATTGTCTACCTGGATATATTGGTAACCCTCTATCGTCATGTCATTTACCTCCACCTGGTAAGCTTTCCCAAAAGCACATTAAAACCCTTTCTAAACTTATAAATTTTGTAGTTATTCATGATGAACCTAAATCAGACCCATGTGTACCATCACAATGTGGTCCCTACAGTCAATGCAGAGTAGTAGATGGTCATGCCGTCTGCTCCTGTTTATCAAATTACATTGGTACACCACCATCATGTAGACCCGAATGTGTGGTCAGCACAGAATGCTCTCAAAACAAAGCTTGTCTCAACAACAAATGTCAAGACCCATGCCCAGGTACCTGTGGTCTAAATGCTCGTTGCCAAGTTATAAACCACAACCCAATCTGCAGTTGTCCTGCTGGGTACATAGGTGACCCATTCGTTCGTTGCAATCAAGAAGAAAGTAAGACACACACTAACCCTTAGTTCTGTGTAGAACCTTTCTGTAACTCTTTTATTTCTAGAACGACCTGTTGTTGTGCCAAGTGGCAACCCTTGTATACCTTCACCGTGTGGACCCAACTCTCAATGTAGGGTTGTAGGTGAACACGCGGCATGCTCTTGTCTTCCCAACTATATTGGTAGATCACCAAACTGTCGACCCGAATGTACAATAAACGCTGAATGTGCTGGAAACCTTGCATGCCAGAATGAGAAATGCGTGGATCCATGTCCGGGTTCTTGCGGTGCTTTCACTTCATGTAGAGTAATAAAACATGCGCCTGTTTGCATGTGCGAAGATGGGTATACGGGCGACCCGTTCTCGGGTTGCAGGCCTATTCCACTTAGTAAGATTAATTATTCTGTTTGTGTTCTTTCTATTTATGCATGTGTTTCTTTTAGCTCCGTTACCGGTTGAAACTCCACGTGATCCTTGCAATCCAACACCTTGCGGTGCTAACGCCCAATGCAGGGAACACAACGGTGCGGGTTCCTGTGTATGTTTACCAGAATATTTCGGTGATCCATACACAGGTTGCCGACCGGAATGTGTGACAAACTCAGATTGTGATCGCAGTAAAGCATGTGTAAATCAAAAATGCAAGGATCCGTGCCCTGGCACTTGCGGGATTAACGCAGAATGCCATGTGTTCAACCATGCTCCAAGCTGTAGCTGTATTCAGGGATACACTGGAAACCCATCTACTTCTTGTTCTCTTATTGTAGTTTGTAAGATATTGCACTTTATTGATCTATTCTTCACCTGTGACTTAAATCTTCTTTTATTTAGTGGCCGAGGAACCTAGAAACCCATGTGTGCCTTCTCCATGTGGACCTTATTCTATATGCAGGGAAGTAAACGGTCATGCCGTTTGCTCTTGCAACGCGGGTTATATTGGTGCACCACCTATGTGCAAACCTGAATGTGTTGTCAGCTCAGAATGCCCACAAAACAAAGCATGTTCTAATCAAAAATGTGTTGACCCTTGCCCCGGGACTTGTGGCCACAATGCTAAATGTCAAGTTATAAACCACAACCCGATTTGTAGTTGCCCCATTGGTTACAGTGGTGACGCATTCGTCAGTTGCTCTTTGATTGAATGTAAGATTTTCTTCTTTTGCTGTTATTGGTAAATGTCAATGATTTTCCATTTTAGTACCACCGCCAAAAGCCGTTGTGAACCCATGCGACCCTTCACCGTGCGGTCCCAACTCGCAATGCCGAGTTATTGGGGACCAAGCGGCTTGTTCTTGCCTACCTAATTATATTGGTCGTGCGCCAAATTGTCGACCTGAATGTACTAGTGATTCTGAATGCGCCAACAATCTTGCATGTCGAAATGAGAAATGTAAAAATCCTTGCTCTGGGTACTGCGGTCAAAATGCTATCTGTACTGTTGTGAACCATAAGTCTGTCTGTTCTTGTCTTCCTGGTTTTGTTGGAAATGCTCTGGTTGCATGTCAATTACCTCCGCCACCACCATGTAAGAAATCTGGTTCAGATTTTTTATGTCTAGAAACCATATTCACATAACCTGATTTTATTTACAGCATCTGAAAGGACTCCGCCAGCTACACCATGTTCTCCATCACCTTGTGGACCAAACGCTGAATGCCGTGAACAAAATGGCGCTGGTGCTTGCATCTGTCCACCAAATTATCTGGGTGATCCTTATGATAAGACCAGAGGATGTCACAGAGAATGTGAGACTAGTAACGATTGCAGTCCACAGTTGGCTTGCGTTGCATTCAAATGCGTTGACCCATGTCCTGGAACCTGTGGCATTTTAGCCGAGTGCCATGTTAACTCACACGTTCCGACTTGCGTATGCCTGCCTGGTTTTACCGGTGATCCATTCTTCCAATGTAGAGAAATTCCTGTGGAGGTTGTGACCCGCAGGCCTGAAGACCCATGCAACCCATCACCGTGTGGCCTTAATAGTCAATGTCGCAATGTTGATGGTCATAGCGTATGCTCATGTTTACCTAATTTCATTGGTGCACCGCCAAACTGTAAACCCGAATGCGTTGTAAGCTCAGAATGTCCACTGGACAAAGCTTGTCTGCAACAGAAATGCAGTGACCCATGCCCGAATACTTGCGGAATTGGAGCTCAATGTTACGCGAAAAATCATAACCCAATTTGTGCTTGCCCACCTGGTTATACTGGAGATCCATTTACAAGATGTTCACCACAACGTAAGTAACTTAGGGTTTATGTTAAACATTAAGGGTAATTATTTATTGTGTAAACAGCGGTTGAAGCTGAACCACCAGCAACAGAACGCCCACCATCATGCCAACCGTCACCATGCGGACCTAACTCTAAATGCCAAATCCGTAATGGCGTTCCGTCTTGTTCCTGTTTGCCTAGCTATGTAGGAGCCCCTCCAAACTGTAGACCTGAATGTGTTATCAATTCAGAGTGTAGCAGCCAATTGGCTTGTATCAACTTGAAATGTAGAGACCCTTGCCCTGGTTCATGTGGTGCAAGTGCCAAATGCCATGTTCTCAATCATGTTCCAATTTGTACTTGTGAGGAAGGATATACAGGGGATCCATTTACTCAATGTAGACCAAAACCACCTGGTAAGTTTAACTACGTCCCAATTTTTTCAACCAGAATACTAACTCCATTGAAAATATTAAAGCCCCAACACCAAGGCCAGAAGACCCTTGCGACCCATCTCCGTGTGGGCCAAATGCCCAATGCAACAATGGTGTTTGTACCTGTTTACCAGAATATTTAGGCAATCCATACGAGGCTTGCAGACCAGAATGTGTTCTGAACAATGAATGTAGCCGAGATAAGGCATGCCTTAGAAACAAATGTAAAGATCCTTGCCCTGGAACCTGCGGTCAGAACGCACGTTGTGATGTAATCAACCACATTCCAACTTGTTCCTGCCAAGATGGTTACACAGGCGATCCATTCACTCACTGCCGCGTACAAGAACCACCAGCGCCTGAACCAAAACGTGACCCATGCCATCCATCACCATGTGGACCAAACAGTCAATGCCGAAACGTAAATGATCATGCCGTTTGCTCTTGTGTGCAAGGCTTCTTCGGAACACCACCAAATTGCAAACCAGAATGTATTGTTAGCTCGGAATGTCCACTGACAAAAGCATGCGTGAATCAAAAGTGCACAGACCCATGCCTAGGATCTTGTGGAATTGGAGCACGTTGCGAAGTTATCAATCACAGCCCAATTTGTAGTTGTCCAGAAAGACAAACTGGAGATCCATTCCAAAGCTGTAGAGAATTGCCCAGAGCACCTGAACCTGATGATGATTACCGGGATCCATGCCTGCCATCTCCATGTGGACCAAATTCAGTTTGTAGAAATGTTGGTGAAAGTCCATCCTGTTCCTGTGTAGCAGGATATGTTGGCAATCCACCAAACTGTAGACCAGAATGTGTTATCAACCCAGACTGTCCAAGTAATCAAGCTTGTATCAATAACAAATGTATTGACCCATGCCCAGGTAGTTGTGGTCAGAACGCCGAGTGCCGAGTAATCAGTCACACCGTGTCTTGCTACTGCTCTCCCGGATTTACTGGTAATCCATTTGTGCAATGTATTGTGCAAAAGGAAGACATACCAAAACCATGTGAACCATCTCCATGTGGTGCCAACGCAGTCTGCAAAGAACGAAATGGCGCTGGATCTTGTATCTGTTTGCCAGACTACCAAGGAAATCCATATGAAGGATGTAGACCTGAATGTGTTCTCAGTTCAGATTGTCCCACAAATAGGGCTTGTATCCGAAACAAATGCCAAGACCCATGCCCGGGAGTATGTGGTACAAATGCAGAATGCAGTGTTATCAACCACGTGCCAACGTGTACTTGCGTATTTGGATATATTGGAAATCCATTCACTAGTTGTACTCCAGAACCTCAACCACCAGTTGATGATGTACCAGTGGTTGATCCATGCAATCCAAGCCCATGTGGACCTAACAGTCAATGTAGAAATATCAACGACCATGCTGTGTGTTCCTGCCAACCTGAATATTTTGGAACACCACCAAATTGCAAACCCGAATGCGTTGTCAGTTCGGAATGCCCTCAGGACAAAGCGTGCCATAAATTCAAATGTGCCAATCCATGCCGAGGAACTTGCGGAGTGGGTGCAAGATGTGAAGTCATCAACCACAATCCAATCTGTAGTTGCCCGCATGGTCTCACTGGAGATCCATTTACGCGTTGCTATGAACCTCCACCACCTCCGCGTACACCTGAACCTGAACCACCTCGGGATCCTTGTTTACCATCGCCATGTGGAGCAAATTCAATATGTAGAGCAAACGGTGATCAAGCATCATGTTCCTGCCTCGCAAATTATGTTGGATCACCTCCAAACTGCCGACCTGAATGCGTTGTCAACACAGACTGCCCTTCAAACCTCGCTTGTATTACTGAAAAGTGTAGAGATCCATGCCCAGGCTCATGTGGCTTCAATGCCGACTGTAGGATACAGAACCACATTCCTAACTGTATCTGTATTCAAGATTATATTGGTGATCCTTTCGTTCAGTGCAATCCAAGACCACCGGCACCAATAGTTCATGACGACCCATGCAATCCATCACCATGTGGAAACAACGCACAATGCAACAATGGCCTCTGCACTTGCCTACCAGAATACCATGGAGATCCTTACCGAGGTTGCAGACCAGAATGTACAATGAACGCAGACTGCTCACCAAATAAGTCATGCAGTAACAACAAATGTATTGACCCATGCCCAGGCACTTGCGGTCAAGGCGCCCGTTGTGATGTAGTAAACCATATTCCTACATGCAGTTGCCCAGCAGGTTTTGAAGGTGATCCATTCACTTCCTGTCGCCCGATTGTAATTGTTGAACATAAACAACCATGCAACCCATCACCCTGCGGCCCTAACAGCATTTGCAACGTAATCAACTCAGTGGCGGTCTGTGCCTGTCAAACCGGATACATTGGTAGTCCACCAGCTTGTAGACCAGAATGCGTAGTCAGTGCGGAATGCACCCTGACTCAAGCATGCCTCAACAACAAATGCATAGACCCATGTCCGGGAACTTGTGGAATAAGCGCGAAATGCCAAGTGATCAATCACAACCCAATTTGTAGTTGTACCAGCGGTAATACAGGAGATCCATTCTCCAGATGCTACCCAATCATAGGTAATCTATATTGATTTATTTTTCATTTTGAAAAATGATTAACCTTTTTTTTGTTTAGTGCAAGACACACCAAAAGTACCAGAAAACCCGTGTGTGCCATCTCCGTGCGGTGCTAATTCGGTTTGTCAAGTCCGAGGGGAAAGTCCCGCTTGCTCGTGTCTCCCGAACTTTATTGGTGCGCCGCCAAATTGCCGCCCGGAGTGTACCATCAATCCGGAATGCTCGAGCTCGTTAGCTTGCATTCGTCAAAAGTGCAGTGATCCGTGTCCGGGTTCGTGTGGTTCTAATGCAGTGTGTAAAGTGATCAACCATAACCCAGTGTGTACGTGCATTCCTGGTTACAATGGAGATCCATTCACCGGTTGCAGTATTATACCTGGTGAGTGTTTTATAACTAATAAATGGCATGCCAACGTTGGAGCAGAATAATATTCAAAAATTAACAGATTTTTATTAAAATAAAATAAAATAAAAATTCTGCTTTTGCGTGTCTGGTGGAGGAATTATTTTATTTTCCGGGAAGTAATGATTGATATAATGTGTTTTTAATGAAACACCTTGTATCAACGTTATTGATTCTGTTTTTATTTATTTTCCAAACGCTTCTCGCTTCAAACTGCTTCTTATTTATATAATCAAAAAAGGTAAGTGATTTCCAATGGTAACAGCGTTATATTTAAAGACCTTGCGTATACGCCCTCCTTGCGGAAATACCAACCCCAAAACGAAATAATGCTTTGGCCAAAACTCATTGCGGTAACGAAAATCAAGCTGAAACATAATACATAACTGCGCTTAACCAAATCTCGCCCCGCCAAAGCCCAAGCCCACACATGCCAAACATTAATGCCAAACTGCGCCACTACCCCCGCTGCAATCAAACGCTTCAACAAAGCAATATAGTTTTCTAATTGGTGGTAATGATTGTCCCGTTTCAGTCCAAAGTACGCCAATAGAATTTTTAGACCCGTGCCAGCCTAGTCCGTGCGGCATCAACGCAATTTGCAAAGTGCGCAATAACGCTGGTTCATGCAGTTGCATTCCTGATCATATTGGTAACCCTTACGAAGGATGCAGACCTGAATGCATTCATAATAGCGACTGCCCGTCACACCAAGCTTGCATGAACAATAAATGCAAAGACCCATGTCCGGGTGTTTGTGGTCAACATGCAAACTGCCGAGTTGTCAATCATTTGCCCACATGTAACTGCGATCCAGGTTACACAGGAAATCCGTTTAGTTATTGCACCTTACCACCAGCAGATGAACGTAAGATTGATGGTAGCCTACTAATTCAATTGATAAACCAAATTTGGTACCCTATTTCAGCTGTGAGACAACCCGTCAACCCTTGTCAACCATCACCTTGTGGGCCTAACAGCCAATGTCGTGACATTAATGAACAAGCGGTTTGTTCTTGTTTGCCCACATTTATAGGTAGCCCACCAAGTTGTAGACCCGAATGCGTTACTAGTTCAGAATGTATTCTGACCCAAGCTTGCAAGAATCAAAAATGTGTTGATCCATGCCCAGGCACATGCGGTATAAACGCGCAGTGTCAAGTGATTAATCACAGCCCTATTTGCACTTGTAAAGCTAGTCATACGGGAGATCCATTTACTAGATGCTACCCCATACCACGTAAGAGCTGTTTGCAATACAGCTTTGAGGAAACCCTAATTAATTTTCTTTTAGCTCCACAACCACCAAAGCAGGACCCTGTTTATGTAAACCCTTGTTTGCCGTCACCTTGTGGACCATTCTCTGAATGCAGAGATAGAGGTGGTTCACCATCATGTTCTTGTTTACCTAATTATATTGGTAGCCCGCCAAATTGCAGACCTGAATGTACAATTAATTCAGAATGTTCAAGTAATCTTGCTTGCATTCGTGAAAAGTGCATAGATCCATGCCCGGGTTCTTGTGGAACTAATGCCCAATGCAGGGTTATTAATCACACGCCAATTTGTACCTGTTTTGAGGGATACACTGGCGATCCATTTTTAGCTTGTCGGTTAAAACCACCACCTCCACCTGAACCGGTACAGTCAGACCCTTGCAATCCATCACCATGTGGGCCTAATGCTCAATGCAGGGATGGTGTTTGTACCTGTTCACCAGAATATCAAGGAGATCCTTATAGAGGATGTAGACCTGAATGTGTCCTGAATAGTGATTGTAACAGAAACCAAGCTTGTATTAGAAACAAGTGTAAAGACCCATGTCCTGGTACTTGTGGACAGAATGCTGAATGTAATGTGGTTAACCACATCCCGATGTGTTCTTGTCTGCCAGGTTTCACTGGAAATGCTTTTATTCTATGCAATAGGGTTCCACGTAAGAAAGATCTCCTTTCATTTAGGGTAATATATCTTAATAAAATAATTTTAGCACCAGTTAAGTCAAATCCATGTAATCCAAGCCCTTGTGGGCCAAACAGTCAATGCCGTGAAATTAACGGACAAGCCGTTTGTTCCTGTGTACCTGGTTATATTGGCGCACCACCAACTTGTCGACCTGAATGTATTACCAGCTCAGAATGCCCTCTAAACCAAGCATGTGTTAATCAAAATGTATTGACCCATGTCCTGGAACATGTGGGTTGAGGCTATCTGTCAAGTTGTCAACCACAATCCAATTTGTAGTTGTCCATCGGGATTATCTGGTGATCCATTTATTCGTTGTCTTCAAATTCGTAAGACATTTTTATTTTCAGTAAAAAATTCAGGTCTAACTCAAAATATTTTAGAACAAGCTCCTGTAGAAATTGTAAATCCATGCAATCCATCACCATGTGGACCAAATGCACAATGTCGCGAGATAAACAATCAGGCTTCTTGTTCATGCCTTCCAAATTACACAGGAGTCCCACCAAATTGCAGACCCGAATGTGTCAGTAACTCAGAATGTGCTAGTCACTTGGCTTGTATAAATCAAAAGTGTAAAGACCCATGTCCAGGAGTATGTGGTCAAAATGCTGAATGTAGAACACTGAGCCACACTCCAAACTGTGTTTGCATACCAGGATATATTGGTGATCCGTTTATCAGATGCAATTCTCCACCTCGTAAGATTATCTCAATCAAAGAAACATTTTTGAATAATAATTACCATTAAATACTATTTTAGCCCCTGTTGTTACGGAGACTGTTAACCCTTGCCATCCATCACCCTGTGGTGTGAATGCAATTTGCAGAGAACAGAACCGCGCTGGTGCATGTACCTGTATTAGTGATTACATTGGTAATCCATATGAAGGTTGTAGACCTGAATGTACTTTGAACACTGATTGCCCCTCCAACAAAGCATGCATCAACAACAAATGCAAAGACCCATGTCCTGGAACATGCGGTCAGAATGCGGAATGTCAAGTTATCAATCATTTACCGTCTTGTACTTGTATTCCTGGTTATACTGGGGATCCATTCAGATATTGCAACCTACCTCCACCAGAACGTAAGTTAATTATAAACTTTATAAGGACCAATATATAAGTAGGAGATATTTTAGCGGTTTTGCAAGAACCTACCAACCCTTGTCAGCCTTCACCATGTGGGCCTAATAGTCAATGCCGTGAAGTGAATGGTCAAGCAGTTTGTTCATGCTTACCGGAATATATCGGTAGTCCACCTGGTTGTCGCCCTGAATGTACAGTCAGCTCTGAATGTGCCCAAAACAAAGCTTGTCTTAATCAGAAATGTGTTGACCCATGCCCAGGCACTTGCGGCTTAAACGCACAATGCCATGTTTTGAATCATAGCCCAATCTGTGCTTGCCAATCAGAATATACTGGTGATCCGTTCACCAGATGCTTCCCAATACCACGTAAGAATTGGCAATCACATAATTATAAAATATGTTTGTCATTTATATAAATTGTAGCACCCTCTCCAGTACCCGTACAACACACGCCTGTTAACCCATGCGTGCCATCACCTTGTGGGCCTAACTCTCAATGCAGAGACATTGGTGGTTCTCCATCGTGCTCCTGCCTAACTAATTATATAGGAAGCCCACCTAATTGCAGACCAGAATGTACCATCAATTCAGAATGTTCTAGTAACCTTGCTTGTATTCGAGAAAAATGTATTGACCCATGCCCAGGTTCATGTGGAACTGGTGCAGTATGCAATGTTATCAATCATACACCAATTTGTACTTGCCCAGATGGTTACACTGGAGATCCATTTACAAATTGCTATCCAAAACCACCACCACCACCGGAACCAGTTGCTACTGATCCATGCAATCCATCACCATGTGGATCTAATGCACAATGCCGTGATGGTATTTGCACTTGTTTACCAGAATATCAAGGTGACCCTTATCGAGGTTGTAGACCAGAATGTGTCCTAAACTCCGATTGCGACAGAAGCAAAGCTTGTATTAGAAATAAATGCAAAGATCCATGCCCTGGCACCTGTGGCCAGAACGCTGAATGCAACGTAGTCAATCACATTCCAATGTGTTCTTGCATTCCTGGATACACCGGAAATGCCTTTGTTGTGTGTAATCGTATTCCACCGGCAATTAAAACAAACCCTTGCAACCCAAGTCCATGTGGACCAAACAGTCAATGTAGGAAATAAACGACCAAGCTGTATGCTCCTGCGTACCAGGATATATTGGTAGCCCACCAACTTGTCGACCTGAATGCGTAATCAGTTCAGAATGTCCTTTGAATCAAGCATGCGTAAATCAAAAATGCATTGACCCTTGTCCGGGAACCTGTGGAATAGGAGCAATTTGCCAAGTGGTTAACCACAACCCGATATGTAGTTGCCCAGCTAAGAAACTGGTGATCCGTTTATACGTTGCTACCCAATTCGTAAGTTATTTTCAGGAATTGAAGACAATACCAACCACTGATTAAATTATTTTAGCGGTAGAACCTGTTCTTCAGGAACCAGTAGACCCATGTAATCCATCACCTTGTGGTCATAATAGTATTTGTAGAGCAGTTGGTGATTCACCGTCTTGTTCTTGTTTGCCTGAATTTATTGGCTCACCACCAAACTGCCGCCCTGAATGTACTAGTAACTCAGAATGTTCAAACCATCTGGCGTGCATGAATCAAAAATGTAAGGATCCTTGCCCGGGGACATGCGGAACTAATGCCGAATGTCGTGTGGTTAGTCATACACCAAACTGCATTTGTCTTCCTGGTTATATTGGTGATCCCTTCAGACAATGCCAATTTGACCAACGTAAGTCTAGTAATACCCAATTAGGAACCCTTTTTAATATTGTTATTTATATATCTAGCAAAACCAGTTGAGCACAGAACACCATGTGTTCCATCACCATGTGGCGCTAATGCTATATGCAAAGAACAAAATGGCGCTGGATCTTGCACATGTTTGCCTGATTATCTTGGTAATCCCTATGAGGGTTGTAGACCTGAATGTACTTTAAATTCAGATTGCCCATCAAATAAGGCATGCATTGCTAATAAATGCAAAGACCCATGTCCTGGTACATGCGGACAAAACGCTGAATGCTATGTCAAAAATCATTTACCATCTTGCACATGCCTACCAGGATATACTGGAGATCCATTCTCTTATTGTACTTTACCTCCACCAGAACGTAAGTTAATCAAAATAATCTTAAACCCATGCGCGAATTAATATTTATTTTAGCTGTCCAACAAGAACCAATAAACCCTTGTCAACCTTCACCATGTGGGCCTAACAGCCAATGTCGTGAAGTAAACAATCAAGCGGTTTGTTCTTGTTTGCCTGAATTCATCGGTAGCCCACCAAACTGTAGACCAGAATGTACAGTTAGTTCTGAATGTGCCTTAAGTAAAGCATGCGTAAATCGGAAATGTATTGATCCATGCCCAGGCACTTGTGGTATTAACGCACATTGCCAAGTTATCAACCACAGCCCAATCTGCTCTTGTCAGAGTGGTTTCACGGGAGATCCATTCACACGTTGTTACAATATACCACGTAAGATAACCCCATCAAACAATTTCTAGAAGTCAATCTATTTTATTGCATTTTTAGCTCCCCAACATATACCACCAACACCAGTGGTAGTAAACCCTTGTGTGCCATCACCATGTGGCCCTAACTCTCAATGCAGAGATATAGGAGGTTCACCTTCTTGCTCCTGTCTTGCTACTTTTGTAGGAAGTCCACCAAATTGTCGACCTGAATGTACAATCAATTCAGAATGCTCTAGTAATCTTGCATGTATCAATCAAAAATGTCGTGACCCATGCCCTGGATCATGCGGATCTAATGCCGTTTGCAATGTCCGAAACCACATACCAATCTGTACATGCATTGAAGGATATATAGGAGATCCATTTACAAGTTGCCGTCCAGCACCACCACCACAACAGGAACCTGTTATTACAGACCCTTGCAATCCGTCTCCATGCGGGGCTAATGCTCAATGCAGGGATGGTATTTGTACTTGTTTACCAGAATATCAAGGTGATCCATATAGGGGATGCAGACCTGAATGTGTCCTCAATTCGGACTGTAACAGAAACCTGGCTTGTATCCGCAACAAATGCAAAGACCCTTGTCCTGGTACCTGCGGTACCAATGCTGAATGCTCAGTAATCAATCACATTCCGATGTGTACTTGCTTCCCAGGCTACAGTGGAAACGCGTTTATTCTGTGTTCACCAATACCACGTAAGATTTTTATTCTTGAGACAAGGTTAGGAAATAATTTGCCATTTCTTATAGCTCCGGTTAAAACAAACCCTTGTAATCCGTCCCCATGTGGGCCAAACAGTCAATGTCGTGAAATTAACGACCAAGCTGTATGCTCTTGCGTTCCTGGTTACATTGGTGCACCTCCAACATGTAGACCTGAATGCGTAACAAGTCAAGAATGTCCTCTGAATGAAGCTTGCGTTAATCAGAAATGTATCAACCCTTGCCCTGGAACATGCGGTCTAAATGCCAACTGTCAAGTTATCAATCATAATCCAATTTGTTCATGCTCTCCTGGGTACACTGGTGACCCGTTCACAAGATGCATCGTAAAACGTAATTATATTGTATTATTAATTCAGATTGGTTTCTAAACTATTCTGGGATTGATTGTAGAAGAAGAACCTGTTGTTAGTCCTACAAACCCGTGTGTGCCATCACCATGTGGTGCAAATGCAGAATGTAGGAATATTAATGAATCCCCTTCGTGTTCATGTCTGCCCACCTTTATCGGAAGCCCACCAAATTGTCGCCCTGAATGTGTCAGTAATACCGAATGTGCCAGTCACTTGGCATGCATCAATCAAAAGTGCAAAGACCCTTGCCCTGGAATTTGCGGTCAGAATGCGGAATGCAAAGTTGTTAGCCACACACCAAATTGCGTATGTCAAACCGGATACATTGGCAATCCATTCACTGCGTGCACATTACCGCCAAGTAAGTTGAAACTGATTGCTTTGATGACAGAAACAAAATGCAGCCACTAGATATTAAATTAATTTATTTATTATTATATATATATTATATGTATATTATATATATTATATTATATATATATTATATTATATGCGGAATTTTGTGGAAAGTTAAAACTAATACTGAACGGTTTGGTAACCCTAAAGTAACACCAATTATTTATCAGTTCAAGCGGAAGAAATAAGAAACCCATGCTCGCCATCCCCCTGTGGCGCTAATGCCATTTGTAGAGAACAAAATGGCGCTGGTTCATGCCAATGCCTGCCCGAATACATTGGTAACCCCTATGAGGGTTGCAGGCCTGAATGTATTCTCAACTCTGATTGCCCATCCAATAAAGCGTGCATAAGCAACAAATGCAAAGACCCATGCCCTGGAACATGCGGACAAAATGCTGATTGCCAGGTTATCAATCACCTGCCATCTTGTACTTGTAGACCTGGTTTTACTGGAGATCCATTTAAATATTGTAACGTACCACCACCACAACGTAAGATATATAAACCCCTTTGTATAAATATGTAGATAACTTTGTATTTCTAGCGGTCCAACAAGAACCTGTTAACCCTTGTAATCCATCACCCTGTGGACCTAATAGTCAATGCCGTGAGATCAATGGCCAAGCGGTTTGTTCTTGTTTACCAGAATATATTGGTAGCACCACCAAGTTGTAGACCAGAATGCACTGTTAGTTCAGAATGCCCACAAAATAAGGCCTGTGTTAACCAGAAATGTATTGATCCATGCCCTGGAACATGTGGTTTGAATGCCAAGTGCAATGTAATTAACCACAGCCCTATTTGTTCTTGCAATGTTGGTCATACTGGAGATCCATTTACTAGATGTTATCCTATACCACGTAAGATATTTTTAAAACTTCTAAATCAACGAAATACTATTTACATAAATATTATAGCACCACCTCCTGAACCAGTGCATGACGTATATGTAAACCCGTGTGTACCATCACCATGTGGACCTTATTCTCAATGTAGAGATATTGGAGGATCTCCATCATGTTCTTGTTTAGCAAATTATATTGGAAGCCCACCAAATTGTAGACCCGAATGTTTGATCAACCCTGAATGTTCAAGTAACTTGGCTTGTATTAGAGAGAAATGTATAGACCCATGCCCAGGTTCATGCGGAGCAGGTGCACGTTGCAGTGTTATCAACCACACCCCAATTTGCACATGCCCAGATGGTTATACTGGAGATCCGTTTACAAATTGTTATCCCAAGCCACCACCACCACCGGAACCTGTTGCTACTGACCCATGTAATCCATCACCATGTGGGCCTAATGCTCAATGCCGTGACGGTGTTTGCACTTGCCTACCAGAATATCATGGTGATCCTTACAGAGGTTGCAGACCAGAATGCGTCTTGAACTCAGATTGCAACAGAAACTTGGCTTGTATCAGAAACAAATGCAAGGACCCATGCCCTGGCACTTGTGGCCAGAACGCAGAATGCAATGTAGTTAATCACATCCCAATGTGTTCGTGCATTCCAGATCATACAGGAAATGCGTTCATTTTGTGCTCTCGTATACCAAGTAATATACCCCAGATTTTTATAAAGTTCAAAATAGTAATACAATAATAATTTTAGTTCCGGTTAAGACCAACCCTTGTAACCCGTCCCCATGTGGACCAAACAGTCAATGTAGTGAAATCAATGGACAAGCAGTATGCTCTTGTGTACCTGGTTATATTGGTGCACCACCAACTTGTCGACCAGAGTGTGTAACCAGCTCAGAATGCTCTTTGAATCAAGCTTGTGTTAACCAAAAATGTATTGATCCCTGCCCGGGAACATGCGGCTTTGGTGCGCATTGCCAAGTTGTCAATCACAACCCAATTTGTAGCTGCCCCCCAAGATATACTGGTGATCCGTTTATCAGATGTTTACAAATACGTAGGTTACTACTAACTTAAAATTAACTTCAAATTTTGACCCCATTTTGTAATTATAGAAGAAAGCCCTGTTGTTGAACCAACAAACCCATGCCAACCATCACCATGCGGGCCAAATGCTCAGTGCAAACCAATTGGTGATTCACCATCATGTTCTTGTTTACCTGAATTTATCGGAACACCACCAAATTGTAAACCTGAATGTGTCAGTAATTCAGAATGTTCTAGTCATTTGGCCTGTATCAATCAAAAGTGCAAAGATCCATGTCCTGGAACATGTGGAGCTAATGCAGAATGTCGGGTTATTAGTCATACCCCTAACTGTATTTGCATTCCTGGTTATCAAGGAGATCCGTTTAGGCAATGTTCACCAATTCGTAGGTTCATCAATTATTTTAATACCACATAAATTTACGTTAAACATATTTTAGCAACACCAGTTATTCAGGAAAGACCAACTCCATGCATTCCATCACCATGCGGAGCTAATGCAATCTGTAAGGAGCAAAATAATGCAGGTTCTTGTAGCTGTTTACCAGAATACATAGGCAATCCCTATGAAGGATGTAGACCTGAATGTGTTTTGAATAGTGATTGCCCATCAAATAAGGCCTGTATTAGTAACAAGTGTAAAGATCCTTGTCCTGGAACTTGTGGACAAAATGCCAACTGCCAAGTTATCAACCACTTGCCCTCTTGTATTTGTATACCTGGATACACTGGAGATCCATTCAGATATTGCAATTTACCTCCACCAGAACGTAAGACTATCAATTTTAATAACTTAGAAATTTCTAACTTAGCATTTATAGCGGTTCAACAAGACCCTATTAATCCGTGCCAACCTTCACCCTGCGGACCTAACAGTCAGTGTAGAGAAGTAAATGGCCAAGCCGTCTGTTCATGTTTGCCTGAATATTCAGGCAGTCCACCAAATTGTAGACCTGAATGTACTGTTAGCTCGGAATGTGCGCTGAATAGAGCTTGCGTAAATCAAAAATGCAAAGACCCATGCCCTGGAACTTGTGGTCTAAATGCTAGATGTGAAGTAATTAATCACAATCCAATTTGCTCATGCCAATCTGGATATACTGGTGATCCATTTACAAGATGTTACCCTATACCTCGTAAGATTCAATTCTATAATAGTCAGGATAAGATTTTAAACCTAATTTTTATAGCACCTCTAGCTGACCCACCAGCACCAGTTATAGTAAACCCATGTGTGCCATCCCCATGTGGACCATATTCTGAATGTAGAGATATTGGTGGATCTCCATCATGCTCTTGTTTAGCAACTTACATTGGAAGCCCACCAAATTGCAGACCTGAATGTAGGATCAACTCGGAATGTTCTAGTAACTGGCTTGCATCCGAGAGAAATGTAGAGATCCATGCCCTGGTTCATGCGGAGCAAATGCTCAATGTAATGTGATAAACCACACTCCAAATTGTGTATGCCCAGATGGTTACACTGGAGATCCATTTACAAATTGTTATCCAAAACCGCCACCACCACCGGAACCAGTTGCTACTGACCCATGCAATCCATCACCATGTGGACCTAATGCGCAATGTCGCGATGGTGTTTGCACTTGTTTACCAGAATACCAAGGAGACCCATACCGTGGTTGCAGACCAGAATGTGTCCTAAATAGTGACTGCCATCGTAATCAAGCTTGTATACGTAACAAATGCAAAGACCCTTGCCCTGGAACATGCGGTCAGAATGCTGAATGCGCTGTAGTAAACCATATTCCTATGTGTTCGTGCATACAAGGATACACTGGAAATGCTTTTGTACTCTGTACACCAGTACCACGTATGAACCACTACTTAAGTCACATTTTCAGAAATACTAAAGTAATTATTTTAGCACCAGTCAAAACAAACCCTTGCAACCCAAGTCCATGTGGACCAAACAGTCAATGTAGAGAAATTAATGGTCAAGCTGTATGCTCATGCGTACCAGGATACATTGGTAGCCCACCAACATGTCGACCTGAATGCGTTACTAGTTCAGAATGTTCTTTGAACCAAGCATGTGTTAATCAGAAATGTATTGACCCATGCCCTGGAACCTGTGGAATTAATGCTCTTTGCCAAGTGGTCAACCACAACCCTATTTGCAGTTGTATGCCTAGACATACTGGTGACCCATTTATTCGGTGCCTACCAATACGTAAGATAAAAATAACTCAAAAATTCATCGTTTTGAACCTTTTTTATTTTCTTAGAAGAAGAACCTGTTGTAGTAGTAAACCCATGCCAACCATCTCCGTGCGGTCCAAACGCACAATGCAAAGTAATCGGTGATAGTCCGTCTTGCTCGTGCCTACCAGGATTTATCAATAGTCCTCCTAACTGTAGACCAGAATGTGTTAGTAATAGTGAGTGCTCTAGTCATTTAGCCTGTATAAACCAAAAATGCAAAGATCCATGCCCTGGCACGTGCGGACACAATGCCGAATGTCGCGTTGTCAGTCACACACCCAACTGTGTGTGCATTGGCGGATATGAAGGTAATCCATTTATTCAGTGCCATATTAAGGTGGAAGCACCAGTTATACATGAACCTGCAACACCCTGTGTACCATCGCCATGTGGGGCCAATGCCCAATGTAGAGAACACAATGGAGCAGGTGCTTGCACTTGTCTTCCGGAATACATTGGCAATCCCTATGAGGGTTGCAGACCTGAATGTACCCTGAACTCTGACTGTCCATCAAACAAAGCTTGCATTAACAACAAATGCAAAGATCCATGCCCTGGTACATGTGGACAAAATGCAAACTGTCAAGTGATCAACCACTTGCCTTCTTGTAACTGCAACCCTGGTTATACTGGCGATCCATTTAGATATTGCAACGTTATACCTCCAGAACGTAAGTTAATTGTTTATTCAGGTGCCAAAAAGGTATAAACCTCAATGGTTTATATTGTAGCGGTTCAACATACCCCTGTAAACCCTTGCCACCCTTCACCATGTGGACCAAACAGTCAATGTCGCGAAGTCAATGAACAAGCGGTATGCTCATGTTTACCAGAATTTATAGGTAGCCCACCTTCTTGTAGACCAGAATGTACAGTCAGTTCTGAATGTGCTCAAGACAAAGCGTGTATAAACCAAAAATGTGTTGACCCATGCCCTGGCGTATGTGGTCTTAACGCCAAATGTAGTGCAATTAATCATAGTCCTATTTGCTCTTGCACATCTGGATACACTGGAGATCCATTTACTAGATGTTACCCAATACCACGTAAGTCATCACGACTAACCCCTGAATAAATTAGGTTGACGTTAATTTTAATTAATTGCAGCTCCAATTCAAGACCCCCCAGCACCTGTTATTGTAAACCCATGTGTGCCATCTCCCTGTGGACCTAATTCTCAATGTAGAGATATTGGTGGTTCGCCATCTTGTTCATGCCTTGCTAATTATATTGGAAGCCCACCAAATTGCAGACCTGAATGTACTATCAATTCAGAATGTTCGAGTAATCTTGCATGTATGAGAGAAAAATGTAGAGATCCATGTCCTGGATCCTGCGGGTCTAATGCTGAGTGTAATGTTATCAATCACACACCAATTTGTACTTGCCCACAAGGATATACTGGTGATCCATTTACAAGTTGTCGCCCTGTACCACCACCACAACAGGAACCTGTTATTACTGACCCGTGCAATCCGTCCCCATGTGGGGCTAATGCTCAATGCAGGGATGGTATTTGTACCTGTTTACCAGAATATCAAGGTGATCCGTACCGTGGGTGCCGACCAGAATGCGTTCTCAACAATGACTGCAACCGTAATCTTGCTTGTATTCGTAATAAGTGCAAAGACCCTTGTCCAGGCACTTGTGGACAAAATGCCGAATGCAATGTGGTCAATCACATCCCAATGTGTTCTTGCATTCCTAGATACACAGGAAACGCATTTGTAATTTGTCATAAGATCGAAGAACCAGTCAAGGTTAATCCGTGCCATCCATCTCCATGTGGACCAAACAGTCAATGCCGTGAAATCAATGGTCAAGCTGTTTGCTCCTGCGTGCAAGGATACATTGGTAGCCCACCAACCTGCAGACCAGAATGTGTTACTAGTTCCGAATGTGCTCTAAACCAAGCCTGTGTTAATCAAAAATGTATTGACCCATGCCCGGGAACATGCGGTATCGGAGCAACTTGTCAAGTTGTAAACCACAACCCAATTTGTAGTTGTCCACCACGTTATACTGGAGATCCATTTATTAGATGTTTGATAATCCGTATGTTAACCAAATTTTGGTTTACAAATACCTATTTTAATTTTAATTTATTTTATATAGAAGAAGAACCTGTGGTGGTAGTAGACCCCTGTCAACCATCACCATGTGGACCAAATGCACAATGCCGCGTTATAAATAATTCACCATCTTGTTCTTGTCTACCAAACTACATTGGTAATCCACCAAATTGTCGCCCTGAATGTGTGAGCAATAGCGAATGTGCAAACCACTTGGCTTGTATCAACAACAAATGCAAAGACCCATGTCCTGGTACATGCGGACAAAACGCAGAATGTAGAGTTGTAAGCCACACGCCTAACTGTGTTTGCCTACAAGGATACTTTGGAAATCCATTTACCAGATGTGATATTGTTGAAGGTACCTCACCTACCATCATAACCATTGATCAACCTAATATTAAATTTATTTTAGCCCCAAAACCACAGGAACATATTAATCCTTGTTTCCCATCGCCATGTGGTACTAACGCAGTTTGTCAAGAACGCAACAATGCAGGATCCTGTACCTGTTTGCCAGAATTCATCGGAAACCCATACGAGGGTTGTAGACCTGAATGTACCCTAAACTCTGATTGCCCATCAAACAAAGCGTGTATCAACAATAAGTGTAAAGACCCATGTCCGGGAACATGCGGACAAAATGCTGATTGCCAAGTTATAAATCACTTGCCCTCTTGTGTTTGTCGCCCTGGTTACACTGGCGATCCGTTCAGATATTGCAATTTACCTCCACCAGAACGTAAGGTTTTTAATTTTTTTTTATTAGATTATATACTTGACTGTAATATTTTAGCTGTTCAACAAGACCCTGTTAACCCTTGCCAACCTTCACCCTGTGGGCCTAACTCACAGTGTCGTGAATTAAACAACCAAGCAGTCTGTTCATGCTTACCGGAATTTATTGGCAGCCCACCAGCTTGTAGACCTGAATGTACTGTAAGCTCAGAATGTCCATTGAACAAAGCTTGTCTGAATCGTAAATGTGTTGACCCATGCCCTGGAACTTGCGGTTTGAATGCAAGATGTGAAGTGGTTAACCACAGCCCAATCTGTTCATGCCAATCTGGATATACTGGTGATCCATTCACCCGTTGTTACCCGATACCTCGTAAGTTAAGTTAAAATAATTTATAGCGGTTTTACAGGTATTTTTTTTCTATTTTAGCTCCACCACAAGACCCACCAACTCCTGTAATTGTAAACCCGTGCTTGCCATCTCCTTGTGGACCTTTCTCGCAATGCAGAGATATTGGTGGTTCTCCATCATGCTCCTGCCTTGCTAATTATATAGGAAGCCCACCAAATTGCAGACCTGAATGTACCATCAATTCAGAATGTTCTAGTAATTTAGCTTGCATGCGTGAAAAATGTAGGGATCCATGTCCTGGATCTTGTGGAGCTAATGCCCGATGCAATGTTATCAATCACGTACCAATTTGTACTTGCCCTGATGGTTACACTGGAGATCCATTTACAAATTGTTATCCAAAACCACCACCACCTCCGGAACCAGTTGCCACTGACCCATGCAACCCATCACCTTGCGGACCTAATGCACAATGCCGTGATGGTATTTGTACTTGTTTACCAGAATACCAAGGTGACCCTTATCGAGGTTGTAGACCAGAATGTGTCTTAAACTCGGACTGCAGCAGAAACCTAGCCTGTATCCGTAACAAATGCAAAGATCCATGTCCTGGAACATGCGGTACTAATGCTGAATGCGCGGTTGTAAACCACATTCCCATGTGTTCCTGTTTAACAGGTTTCACTGGCAATGCATTTGTACTCTGCTCACCAATACCACGTAAGATCTACTGTTACCAGTTTTAGGACCTAATATTTATAAAAATTGATATTTGTAGCACCAGTAATTGCTGACCCTTGTAACCCTAGCCCTTGCGGGCCAAACAGTATCTGTCGCAATCACAATGGACAAGCTGTATGTACCTGCGTACTAGGCTATATTGGTGCACCACCAACTTGCAGACCAGAATGTGTTACTAGTTCAGAGTGCGATTTGAACAAAGCATGCGTCAACCAAAAATGCATTGATCCCTGCCCTGGCACTTGCGGACTTTCAGCTCAGTGTCAAGTCGTCAACCATAACCCAATATGTAGTTGTCCACATAAATTCACTGGGGATCCGTTTATTAGATGCATTCCAATTCGTAAGTTAATTTTACCCTTTTCGAGAGGAGATAATCAACACAACCAATTATTTGTAGAAGAAGAACCTGTTATTATCAATTTGTGCTCGCCATCGCCATGTGGGCCTAACTCACAATGTCGTGTAGTCAACGAAGCACCTTCGTGCTCCTGCCTCCCAACTTTCGTAGGCGCTCCACCAAATTGTAGGCCTGAATGTGTCAGTAACCCTGAATGTCCAAATCATTTGGCTTGTATTAATCAAAAGTGTAAAGATCCTTGCCCTGGTACATGTGGGCAAAATGCGGAATGTAGAGTGGTCAGCCACAGCCCACAATGTGTGTGCATCCCTGGTTACACAGGAGATCCATTCAGAAGATGCATTTTACCAGAAAGTAATATTAATAATTTTGATTTATTGATCAGAATTAATATTAATTTTATTGCAGTACCTACACCCAGACCAGTTGAACATATCAACCCTTGTTTCCCATCACCATGTGGTGCGAACGCAATTTGTAAAGAACATAACAATGCTGGTTCTTGTATATGTATTCCCGATTACTACGGCAATCCATACGAGGGTTGCAGGCCTGAATGTGTTTTGAACAGTGATTGTCCATCAAACAAAGCATGCGTTAACAACAAATGTAAAGACCCATGTCCTGGTACATGCGGACAAAATGCCAACTGCCATGTTATTAATCACTTGCCATCTTGTACCTGCTATGCGGGTTATACTGGAGACCCATTCAGATATTGCAATTTACCACCTCCGGAACGTAAGTTTTTTTTTTTTGGCAAAATAAGCCCTAAGTAATGGATATATAAATGTAATTGTAGCGGTTGTACATGATCCAATTGATCCATGTAATCCATCACCTTGCGGCCCTAATAGCCAATGTAGAAATGTCCAAGGCCAAGCAATTTGCTCTTGCCTGCCCAATTATATTGGTAGCCCACCTGGTTGTAGACCAGAATGCACAGTAAGCTCTGAATGTCCTTTGACCAGAGCTTGTGTCAATTACAAATGTGTAGACCCATGCCCAGGCACCTGTGGATTGAATGCTAGGTGTGAAGTTATTAATCACAGCCCAATCTGTTCTTGTATTGCTCGTCATACTGGAGATCCATTTACCAGATGTTACCCAATACCACGTAAGACTTATTTTTGGAAATTTATTTCAGGGTGTATAATATTTTATGAATTTCTTTCAGCACCACCTCAAGACCCACCAAAACCTGTTTTTGTCAACCCTTGTGTACCATCCCCTTGTGGGCCTTACTCACAATGTAGAGATATAGGTGGTTCACCATCTTGTTCATGCCTACCAAATTATATTGGCAATCCACCAAACTGTCGCCCTGAATGTACCATCAATCCGGAATGCTCAAGTAACCTTGCGTGTATGAGAGAAAAATGTAGGGATCCTTGCCCTGGATCATGCGGAGCAAATGCTCAGTGTAATGTTCTCAACCACGTACCAATTTGTACATGCCCAGCTGGTTATACAGGTGATCCATTCACAAACTGTTATCCAAAACCACCACCACCTGCGGATCCTGTGGTAACAGACCCGTGCAACCCTAGCCCATGCGGACCTAACGCCCAATGCAGAAATGGTATTTGTACATGTCTCCCAGAATATCATGGTGATCCTTATAGAGGATGCCGACCTGAATGCGTTTTGAACAATGATTGCCCCCAATCATTAGCTTGTATTAGAAACAAATGCAAAGACCCATGCCCTGGAACTTGCGGACAAAACGCTGAATGTGATGTTATCAACCACGTGCCAATGTGTACCTGTATACCAGGATATTCTGGTGACCCATTCTTTGTTTGTCGCAAAATCGAAAGTATGTTAACCCACTCTACAACCATAAGTCTAGATATTTATGTAGAAACTATTTTAGTACCTGAACCAAGTCACCCATGCAACCCCAGCCCTTGCGGACCAAACAGCCAATGCCGTGAAATAAACGGACAAGCAATATGTTCATGCGTACCAGGTTACATTGGTGCACCACCAACCTGTCGCCCAGAATGTGTTACAAGTTCTGAATGTCCATTGAACGAAGCGTGTGTGGCTCAGAAATGTATTGACCCATGTCCAGGCACCTGCGGAATAAGCGCTCAATGCCAGGTTATAAACCACAACCCAATCTGTAGTTGTCCACCGAGGAATACTGGTGATCCGTTTATAAGATGCTACCCAATTCGTAAGATACTCACTAACCCCAAAAACAACCTATTTGAAGACAAATGTATATTTTCTATAGCGGAAGAACGCCCACGACCTGTTGATATACCCCGTGACCCTTGCGTGCCCTCACCATGCGGCCAAAATGCCAAATGCGACCCGTTACCAAATGAACAATACACTTGTACATGTATACCCACGTTTATCGGCACACCACCAAACTGCAGACCTGAATGCGTTGTAAACCAAGAATGCTCGTCTAATTTAGCGTGCATCCACTCTAAATGTAGAGATCCTTGCCCAGGTTCATGCGGGTATAATGCCGAATGTCATGTTATACACCATGTACCAAACTGCGTATGCGTAACTGGATATATCGGTGACCCATTCACTTCTTGCCAACCAATTCCACGTAAGCGCTGATGTTACCACTTTACTTGCTTTCTTTTTATCTCTGCATGTAGATCTACTTTGCTTGATATCTTCTTGGATATTGAATTGTTTAGTAATTTTGTATTGAATTTAAAACAGCAACACCACCACCACCTCCGGAAAAACCTGACCCATGCATACCATCACCATGTGGTTCAAATGCCAGATGTCGTGTGGAATACGACCAAGCGGTTTGTGAATGTATGCCGGAATACAGAGGCAATCCTTATGAAGCTTGCAGACCTGAATGTGTTGCCAACACTGATTGCCCCATGAATCGTGCTTGTATTCGTAATAAATGTCAAGACCCATGTCCGGGAACTTGTGGTATCAATGCGCAATGTGATGTGATTAATCATATTCCAATGTGTACTTGTCTCCCTGGTTATACTGGAGATGCGTTTAGACTTTGCAACTTTATCCAACCAAGAGGTTAGTGTTTTGTTATTTGATGGTATGACCTGTTTCTAATAATTTTATTATAGATGAACCAGTTGTTGATCCCTGCAATCCATCACCATGCGGTATTAACACAATCTGCCGCACATCAGGAAAGAACGCAATCTGTGAATGCCTCCCTGGTTTCTTCGGAACACCAAATGCAGGTGGTTGTAGACCAGAATGTACCATCAGCGCAGATTGTCCCAGAAACCGTGCTTGTTCGAATATGAAATGTATTGACCCATGTCCTGGTGTATGCGGCTTCAATGCTGTTTGCCAGGTCATCAATCACAGCCCAGTGTGCAGTTGTCCGGCACCTATGATTGGGGATCCATTCACACATTGCCGAGAACCACAAGCTGAACCTGTGGATCCATGCAATCCATCTCCATGTCGCGCTAATGGTCAATGCAGAGTACAAAATGGTGCTGCAACCTGCGTGTACCCAGAATGTGTCATCAATCAAGACTGCCCTAGGACCAAAGCTTGTTACAATCAAAAATGCAGAGACCCTTGCAGAGATGCTTGTGGTCTTAATGCTTTATGTCAACCTATTAATCACAACGCGGTGTGTTCATGCCCACCTGGTTATGAAGGCGTACCTGAAATACAATGCCGTGTTCAAAGAGTGGAAATACCCAAACCTGAATGTATTCATGATTCAGAATGTACTCTGGATAAAGCTTGTATTAACCAACAATGTCGCAATCCTTGCCTGGATAACATCTGTGGAGCTAATGCGGAATGTCGTGTACAAACACACAGACCCATTTGTTTCTGCAGAGATGGTTTCACTGGAAATGCACATAGTGCTTGTGTTGAAAGTAAGTCACAGCGCAAAACTACTTAAAATTGATGTACCTAACCATATTTACTAATTTTAGTTGGTTGCCGATCTGATTCTGAATGTCCCGCAATACAATCCTGTGTAAACAGAGAATGTGTTGACCCATGTCTGTACACACAGTGTGGCATCAACGCATTCTGCAGAGCAGACTCAAACCACCGTGCTCGTTGCTATTGCCCTGACAGATTCAGAGGAGACCCACAAGTCAGATGTGAAAGACCTGAATGTACCGTTGATGAAGAATGCCCTTACAACCTGGCATGCAGAAATGAACGTTGTGAAGATCCATGCAACTGTGGCTTTGCTGCCATTTGTCATGTGACCAACCATCGTCCACAATGTTCTTGCCCACCAGGATACATCGGCAATCCACAAATATCCTGTAACATCGCACCTGTTGTCGTAGAACCACAATGTAAAATGGACGCTGATTGTACCAGCAAACTTGCATGTTTCAGCGGAGTCTGTAAAAACCCATGCGTGGAAACTAGACCATGTGGTGTTAATGCGGAATGTTCTGTTGTTGATACTCTACCACTGCGTACCATGTCTTGCTTATGCTTGCCAGGTTACGTTGGTGACGCTGATAAGGAATGTCGTCTAGGTAACTATCAAATTCAATTGTCATCCACTAACCAATTTTATTTTTCAGCAATGATTAATTTTTTAGTTGATCCCTTTTTACTCCTTATCCTAATTGTTTATAATTTTGACAGCAACACAATAATTAGATATAAGATATTTTCCTTAGAATGAGTAGAAAGTAATTGATTTTCTCTTAGCACCTCATGATGAACCTGGATGTAAATCAAGCGATGATTGCTCATTGAGTGAGACTTGTTTGAACAGACAATGTGTTAACCCATGTGCTGTTGCGAACCCATGCGCGTTGACCGCGAAATGTTCCCCGACGAATCATAAGGCTTTGTGTAGATGTCCACCGGGATTAGTTGGTGATCCATTTATTAAATGTAGCCAAGGTAGTAGTAGAAATATGACTTAAGTAACAATTATACCTTTAAAATGACTTTGTAGTACCCCAAAACAAGCCAGAATGTACCACCAGTTCAGAATGCGCTAATGACCGCGCTTGTATCAACCAACGCTGCCAAGACCCATGCGCCCTTGCAAATCCATGCGGAAACAATGCAAATTGTAGAACCAACCAACACCATCCAACATGCAAATGTCCAGATGGTTGGGGCGGTAACCCACAAGTACTTTGTTACAAACGTAAGTCATATTTAGACCATACCACAACTTTCTATAACTAATTGGTTACTATATCAACAGCTGAATGTAAATCTGACAACGAATGTCCCTACGATAAGGCCTGTATCAACGAAAACTGCTTAAACCCATGCCTGACCACTTCCTGTGGTCGTGGAGGTGAATGTGTGGTTCAAGCCCACCGGGCCAAATGCCAATGTCCCTTCGGTACCCAGGGTAACCCACTTGTATCTTGCATTGCTGGCGTATGTCAATACAATGAAGACTGCGCTGATCACGAAGCATGCGACCGTTTGAACCGCGTCTGTCGCCCTGTATGCGATGATGTGACCTGTGCAGTAACAGCAACCTGTATTGGTCGTAACCATCAACCTAAATGCCAATGTCCAATTGGAACAAATGGCAATCCATACCAAGAATGTTTGGCTCCCAGACAACCAGAACCTGAATGTAAAACTGATTCAGACTGTCCACCACAACTTGCTTGCATCAACGCACACTGCCAGAACCCGTGCGCAATTAACAACGTATGCTCAATTGATCAAGAGTGCAGAGTTTTGGATTCATTACCTCTGCGTACGGTTATGTGTCAATGTCCACCTGATACATTTATTGATAACAATGGCCGATGCCGAACAATTATGTATGACCAAGCGCAATGCCACGTGGATAACGACTGCAGTGATCGAGAGAAGTGCGTGAGGGGATCTTGTCGAGATGCTTGCAGTGTTGACTTCTGTGGTGTGAATGCCCAATGTAACTCTAGATATCATCAAGCTTTGTGCACATGCGCACCTGGTTATACAGGAAACCCACATGTGGAATGCAGCAATAGTAAGTTTTAATTTTTAAGTTTTTAATGTTTAAATATTTATTTAATATTTTTGTGTAGTACCTAAATCACCTACGGTTATACCTGTACCTGAATGTATATCTGATGCGGATTGTACCTATGACAAGACCTGCAGAAATGACCGTTGCGTAAACCCATGTCTTTACGATAAACCATGCGCGATTGGTGCTTTCTGTTCGATTAACCATCATCAAGCAATTTGTAATTGTCCGTCTGGATATGAAGGAAATCCTAAGATTGAATGTATACCACGTAAGTTTTTACCATTTTTCAAAAATTGTCCCTGTAGTAATGAATTAAATTTGTATCTTTTAAAATAGCGGTTGAACCAACAGTCGGATGTAAATCTAACAGTGAATGTGCAAGATCAGAAGCCTGCGTCAATGCCCGTTGTGTTAGCCCTTGTAACTGTGGACCACACGCGGAATGCCGCGTTACCAACCATTATCCAATCTGTTATTGTCGCCCAGGTTATTCTGGTAACCCACAAATTGGATGTGTCAAACGTAAGTCTACTTTACAAACACACAATTCAATTACTTAACCCAATATGTTTTATTTAGTTGGCTGTCAAAGTGATAATGAATGCGCCAGTGATAAACAATGCTACAATGGTCAATGCATCAACCCTTGTATCCTGGGTGATCCCTGCGCTGCCAGTGCAGAATGCTACGGAAATAACCATCGTGCAACTTGCCGTTGCCCATCCGGGTACATTGGTAATCCATTCCAACGTTGTGAACGTGTCGAATGTCACGTGGATGCTGAATGCCCACTCAATCGCGCTTGCATCCAACAACGTTGCGTTGACCCTTGTTCCAGTATTGCTAACCCACCATGCGCGCAGAACGCCATCTGTTACGCTCAAAACCATGCAGCTGGTTGTATGTGCCCACCACATTTAAGCGAAGGCAATCCTCTGTCATATTGCACCGCACCTGTTTTGATCGCTGGTAAAGCCGAATGCCAACTGGATGTAGACTGCCCAAGCAAATTAGCGTGTATTAAGAACTCATGCGTTAATCCCTGTCATGAACTATCACCATGCCACAGGACAGCTCAGTGTTCTGTTTTGGATACCGTCCCTGTACGAACAATGATTTGCACTTGCCCTGAAGGATGGGTACCTAATGATGACGGTGAATGTCATGCTGTTATCGTCCCAAGTCCACCTGGTTGCACTTCTGATGACGAGTGTCCCACAACTGAAGCTTGTATCAATAGAATGTGCAGGAACCCATGTGATTGTGGTACCAATAGTGCTTGCTTTGTCCAAAACCATCGCCCGATTTGTTCCTGTGAAGAGGGACATGAAGGAAACCCAAATATTGCTTGTCGCGCAGTTGGTTGTCGAATTGATTCAGAATGCGAGTCTGGAAAGGCTTGCATCAATGGCAACTGTATCAACCCATGTTTGATTCGTGACCCATGCGGTATCAATGCTGAGTGTTATGTGTTCCGAAACCGTGCAGAGTGTAGATGTCTAAGCGGATACCGTGGTAATCCATTAGACAGGTGCATGGTTGTAGGCTGTACCTCAAACTCTGACTGTCCAGGAGATCGTCAATGTATCAATGCCCAGTGTATCAATCCATGTGTCTATGATAATCCTTGCTCACCTAGAGCAGAATGCCGTGTCCAAAATCATATGGCCTTGTGTAGATGCCCAGTTGGATACATTGGTAACCCATATGTCGACTGCCGCCGTGAACCACAACCTGAATGTCGTGAAGACCCTGAATGTCCATCAAGGTTAGCTTGTATCAAGAACAGATGTCAAGACCCTTGCGCTATACTTGAACCCTGCCACACACCATCTCAATGTGAGGTTGTACCTTCAGTACCTGTGCGTACCATGATCTGTATCTGTCCACCTGGATACATTAGTAGTGGTAGCGGTACCTGTGTCCCAACTATACCTGTGAAGGAAGTAGGAGGTTGTGTAACTGACCCTGATTGTCCCGCAAACCGTGCTTGTGTGCAAGGCATCTGTAAAGACCCATGTAATTGCGGACCTAACGCCGAGTGCCGTATCAAGAACCACAAACCTGTATGCACCTGCAGACAAGGATACGACGGAAACCCTGAAATTGAATGTTCCAAGGTGGGATGCCGAAGTGACTCGGAATGTCACGGTACCCATTCTTGTATCAACAGACAATGTGTCGCCGTATGTGATGCCACCTCCTGCGGTCTGCAAGCTAACTGCCTGGGAATAAACCACAGAGCAATCTGTGAATGTTTGCCAGGATATCAAGGCAATCCCAAAACAGCGTGTATTTTGATCGGTTGTAGAGCCGATTCAGAATGTCCTCTTGACCGTGCCTGTGTTAATCAAAAATGCGCAAGTCCCTGTGATGCCAACCCATGTCTATCTCCATCAATCTGCAGAGTGTTTGACCACAAAGCAGTTTGTGCTTGTCCAAGCGGTTATAACGGAGATGGCAAAGGAGGTTGCGTGAAAGAAGAAGTGAAGTGTAGATCCGATTCGGACTGTCCTTCCCAAACTGCCTGTATAAATAACGAATGTGTCAACCCTTGTAATGCTACTGAACCGTGCGGTGTTAATGCCGACTGCAGAATTCTCGATACCACCCCTGTAAGAACCATGATCTGCGAGTGTTTGCCAGGGTACCAAGGCAACGCAGCTGTTCAATGCGACAAAAGTAAGTTTTTAACCACATTAATTCAACATTTCATTTGGGTAATAATAGACTGACCATAACAGGGAATAATTTATTCTGTGAGAACCATTTTTAATTGTATTTTATTTTACAGTGGCACTATGTAGGACCGATAAGGGCTACATCACAACCCCAGATGGTAACTGCGTTTGTCCTCCAAACACCGCTCTGAATGAAAACGACGAGTGTGTCCTGTGTCCAATCGAAAAGGGATTAAAGGTTGATGACCGTGGAAGATGTGTATGCGCCTTAGAACGTGGTCTCAACATTGACGAACGTGGTAACTGCGTATGCCCAACCGAATTTGGTTACCGCCTTGATTCGAGAGGTAACTGCGTGCCTGTCATTGGACCAGAATGCGAAAACGACGAACACTGCCCCGACCATCGATTCTGTAACCCACAAACCAAAACCTGTGATGACCCATGCTCCATCAAAAACTGCGGAATCAACGCATTGTGTAACGCTACCAACCATCAAGCCGTGTGCCAATGCATCACAGGTTACACTGGAGACCCAGAAGTCCTCTGTAATAGAACATCACCATTCCGTACTGATTTCCCAAGACCTGAGATGGTCGTCAGTTGTTTATCAGACGGCGTCCAAGTGGAGATCCACATCACTGAACCTGGATTCAATGGTGTACTCTACGTGAAAGGTCATAGCAAGGACGAACAATGTCGAAGAGTTGTCACATTACCATCAGACACCCTGAATAGAATAGAATACTTCAAGGTCCAATTCGGTAACTGTGGTCTTATCCACGTTAATGGTCAAGCTAGTTTCGTACTGGTGATACAGAAACATCCTAAACTGGTCACCTACAAAGCCCAGGCATATCACATCAAATGTGTCTATCAAACTGGAGAACATAACGTAACCCTTGGTTTCAACGTCTCCATGTTAACAACAGCAGGAACCATTGCCAATACAGGACCTCCACCAACATGTCTCATGAAGATCGTTACCCCAACTGGTCAAGAGATAAACTCAGCTGAAATCGGTGACAACTTAATGTTGCAAGTTGATGTTCAGCCAGGATCTATTTACGGAGGTTTTGCAAGAAGTTGCGTAGCCAAAACCATGGAAGATAATATAGAGAATGAATATCTGGTAACAGATGAAAATGGCTGCGCGACAGATCCCACCATCTTTGGAGAATGGGAGTATAACTCAGACACGCAGAGTTTACTTGCAAGCTTCAATGCTTTCAAATTCCCCAGTAGTGACAATATTAGATTCCAGTGCAATATTCGGGTCTGTTTTGGAAAATGTCAACCCGTAAGCTATCTAAACCTTATTTTTATTCTGTGATATTAAAATATTTGCGTTTAGGTTAATTGTCGTGGATACAACGCATTTGGTCGAAGAAAACGAGATGTAGATGACGAAAACAACACCGACCTCGCCAACAGTGGAGACCTTATCAATGGTCAACTTCGCGAGGAGATAACAATCCAATCTAACGCTATTCTAACATTTGAAAGACGTGAGGAAAGATTTACAGATCCACAAGAAGGTAAACCACAAATTTTAACCAAATTTTCTTAAATTTTAATAATTTTTGATTTTTCACAGCTCCTGATGCCCAAAGAGTGGAAGATATTTGCGTGTCAATGATCGGTTTCATCATCGCGCTGATCATCACAGCCTTATTGGCACTTGTGGCGGTTGCTGTGGCAGTATCCTGTTGGCTAATGGCCTATCGTCGCAGACCGAAAGCCTCAGGTCCCCTGCCACATCCGCCTGAATTCCCCAACCCACTCTTCACCACGCCGGAGCCAATGACCGAGCCGAGCCCCGACTACCTCACGTAATATATCCAAACAACGAAATACTCGAATACAAAACTCCAGAACGGAAACTACAGACTAAATGAAAATAATTTTTGTATTATATTATAAATATGCGAATTTATGAAACAGCGTTCGGCGACATTCCGGCGCGTGTCTCATCGGTCTTTGCTCAGAGGTATTACAAATCTACTAGCTACTCAAACAAACACAAACTGCCAATGCCAAATTAAAGACTGAGCGTGCCGTAATGTCGTCGAAGCGTAAAGTAGTGAATAATAGCACAACGCATTTGAAAATTTTGAAAAAAATTTTGATTTTTAAATGCGTTGTAATAATCTATCTTTTCCTTTGGCTTTCGCCCAAGATATGTTTGTTTTAAGTTTCAATTTAATTAATTATTCGACAAGGGAATTGAATAAGTCTCTAAACGGTGGTGGGTTCTATAACGCTCCTAACTCTTCTAACTGAACCTTTTCTCTCCTCTTCCCTTGACACTTAAATGAAAGCCATCGGAAGATGTAGACTCGTACCGTAAGATATACATATACGTTTAATAATAATAAGACTATTATTTTTTGATTTTTTATTGTATAAAGCGTGTGAATGATGATGGGATGTGAATGCGATGTTTACTCGACCTAAAAAAAATATGGTGCTGACTGATTCTCTTTTCGAGCGGTCGTTTTTAGTCAATCACTACCCCTAGAGTCCTCTATTGATCAAAGATGAACGGAAAATGTAAAATACCACACTTGAACAAAGCGAAAACAATCTTACACTAGTGTACTACTAATAATTTATTATAGAAGAGATGTATTTGTTGCAAAGTATTAACTTTCCAAATGTTAAACACAAAAAAACAACCTTTTAGTAATTAATATCTAAATAACTTGATTCCTCTTTGTCATTTTGTGATAATTGCTTCCACAATAAAATTGTTTAATAATTATAACGTGTCTTTCTTTAATTTCTCTTTGGATTTGTTACTTTACAGGGCGTAACTTGACATATTCGTCACAATATTGATAAAAGTATAAAATTGAATATTTGTTGGTAGAATGACGCGTCAATTCCAAGAATACATTGCTATGAAACATTAAACAAGAAATACCGATGAATACACAAAGACCAATTGGCGCAACATACAAATAAAGCACATCTTGATTTATAAAAATTGCAGGATCAAGTGAATTCGACTGATTTAATCTTTCAAGCATTAATCCAGTCAAGAAAGTATGTAATAGCCGTAATCCCTACTAATATTATAAATGCGAAAGTCCTGATGTTTGTTAAACTTTCACGCAAAAACTACTTAACCGATCATCATGAAAATTTGTTCACATATTCTTAGTGGTTCCCGAATGGTTATAGGCTACTTTTTATTTAATAAAAAAAATTATTTCTTAAATAAAATAAAGAAATTGTTTAGCCAATAATACCTCTGCATCTGGCTATTTGACTACTTTAACGCCATCTAGCATTCCAGCAATGAAGCTCAAACCTAAGTACTATAGTACCATCACACTGTATTATCACACTGTATTACCGACAGCTACGTCAACATCAAATCCAATTGACTACACTATGGAGACTGTACACTATACTTCCATAGACTATACTTTCAGCCATTTTAAACTTCCCGCCATTCTACTTCATTGTTACTTCTTCTGTGACTACAGACGCGTACGGAAGCAACTTCATTATTTTAGATATTCGCGAGCGAAGCCGCGGGTTAAAGCTAGTATTGTTATATTTCGCTACTCTCTCGGTAAGAATATAAACAAATAAATAATATTGGTACTTACCAATATAAATACCAACGAAACAGCTGAAGAAGGCAAGTGTAGAGGCCGTTGAAGTGGAATTCATAAACTCGCGAGCCACTAAGTTCCATAATTGCGAATGTTAATAGCCCGAAACTCGAAATATTGTCAAATTAACACTCAGAAATTCAATGCACTAATAAAAACACGATTGGAATTCTAATTGTTAGGACTCACTTTGTGTTTTAAACCAAATATGATTTTTAATTCACTAAAATTGTCCACGCTTTAATTTTTACGCCGATAATAAATTAATTCTTCGTTCTATTGTAAAATTAAACACAAGTTTGTGCACGTTTTGTTTATTTATTTACATTTACATGCGAACCACGCCGACGTCGCACGCGAAATAATCTCGTGTAGCCGAATGTCTCCCGATAAACACTGATATCAACACGCAAATTTTATTCGTGCAAATCTCACAGCCGAATTTATCATGAAAAATGCATCGTAGAGCAATCTCGTGACAAAATATTCAACTACCACTATCAACAAACGTGTTTACATAAAATAAATCAGAAATAAATATAGGAATGCAGAAGAAATAAATACAATTCAATAATTAACGATTTAATAATTTAATTATTTAATTTTCATTTGATTAATATGATTTTTCCACTCGATGATCATGCGTGCATAGCACAGCAATACCGATACATTAAGTGAAAATAAGCGATAATTACTGGTTTCTAAAAAACAACATTAACCCTGTTTTAAAAGTTCGACATGCCGGCACGCGGTGATTTCTTCGTTTGTAGTGCTTCTTTTTTTCTTCGTTCGTCCATAGCGTACAGAACCACACGATGCGAATTTCTCCTATTTTCCTTTTATCGCTTCCACGCATTTTTAGAATCGGCCATTAAATGCGCGCAGTGGATCCGCGCCTGCGATTGGTCGGCGAGCGTTTGGTTTAGTGCGCTAGATTCAAGTTTACTTAAATATTACGTTCGACGACTGCCAGTGTAACATATGAATAATTTCCAACACGTGTATTTAGCACGCTAAACGTGCGCCCCTTTCAGTGAGCAATTAACTTAATTGGAATCGGAATCGGAATAAACGAAACTAATGAATAATTGTTGACTTGTAATTAACCAATTAATAGCTTTTTATTATTTTGTGAAGGAAAAAAAAAAGAAATTGCTAATTGAAACGGAAGTACGTAAGACGTTTTGACCGATTTAATTAAAGCCTAAGTAGGTGCGTTGATTAAAAAACCCGTTTCGAATGTTAGCGGTATAATTTTCACACGATTGGTGTGTGTGAAATTTTACGTTTTTTTATTCGGTTATTGCCTCTTCGGCATAATCACGAGATTCGAGTAAAGAATAAATTATTCGTTTATTTATAAATACAGCAAATAAATAACAATCATTATAAATAACCTGTGTGTTTTTGTGTTTTGTACAACAAATACATTGCTTTAGAGACTTTCAATAATAATTTAAGTATTTAAATATTAATTTAACCAAAAAATATAAACATTACTCTAGCTAGGCGTTAAAAAAACATGACTGGATTGTTCAGTTTGTACGAAGAGAGTCCTGCGTGAAAACGGGGAACAGGGAAACAAGAAGAACTACTTAAGTGGAAGAAATGGATGACCAGAAAAATTGGTCCAATTATCATACAAGGAGAATTGCTTCGTAAGTCTAAAATTGGTTGGTTGATTGGCTTATTGTGGAGCGTATGCATTGTACGCCATTTTCTGTGCCTGGGCCTCATCGAAGGATCTCTTGTCCCATCCACCACCGCTGTGACCGCCGCCACCACCGGATGACCAGCCGCCACCATGACCACCACCACCTCCTTGTTTGGAAGCGAGCAGTTTCTTGATGGCGATGATGCCCGACAACAACAGAGCAATCTTGGCGATGATCAACGCCTTACCAGCAAGCAGGAACAGACCAGCGATGGAGACTGGGATCAAGGTAGCCATCTTGGCGGCAATACCCATCATCATACCGTGCATCATTCCCTTCATTTTCTTTCCACGACCTGTGAATTTACAAAATTCATAAATATAAATATCATGGTACCATTTTGGGTCATTCAGGGTATACCTTCTTCAAGTCCAAAATCTTCCCCGGAAATTTTCGGGAGGGTAACCTGAACATTTCTGGAACTGATGAAGGTGGTAAGTTTATCCATCAACATGCCATCCAAGGCAGCATCGCGGGCATCAGCAGCACGTGGTAGGGTCTTCTCGAGTTGTTCCTCAGAGATGGTATTCTCAGCAACCGGAGCATCTTCAGCTCGCACCACATTGATACCTTCACCCAGGCTGAACTTATCCATACGTCCCAGACGGGTGAGGAAGGTGATGGCTTTCTTTTTCAGGCATGGCGTAAATCCGTCCGCTTTACTGCACTCGTCGTACACTCGAAGGGCGATCCGTACCCCAGCGTTGTCCAATGAATCCGCGCCCATAACAGCTGAAACCGCCACGGCTAACACCACCAACGCGCACGTCAATCGCACCATTTTGATAGAGTTCTTTTTATTATTAAAATAGATTCAATTGGTAGTTTATTAATGAGCACGCAAAACTACTGCTCGTTGGTTTGTGGTGTGTGTCTATATGTTGATGTGTTCACCCGGTGCGTACGATTTGTTTCGATACTGTTCACTCGGCAGGTGATACGAACGACTGATGCCGAAACGATGAGTGCACGTCGGTTTTATACCGGAATGGATGGGTTGATGGTGGTCTACCGCCAGTTCTTCGACGCTGAGCATACCAGCCAACAACGCCGTGACCTTTCCCCGGTATGACCCGCTCCGCGCTTGAATGGGATGGGAAATTGATGCGAAGAGAGAGACGCGCACCTACACTTCGCATCATTGACATATTTGCCGACTACCCTAGAACTTGCCATTGGTGTTTCACGCTGGCCTACTTAACACACCGCGCGAGTTCATTGGTTGTGACTTAAGTCTCAGACGCGCGGTGATGCTGCGCACCGAGATCGAATTCAATTTTCAAAACGAAAATTTCATTCAAACAAAAAGAAAGCGCGATACAAACCAGCGAATCTGATATAATTCATTATGTCTTCCATTCTTCACAACAAAATCTTTAAAATTTACTTGATTAGTTCATTGTTTCAAAGTAACCTAATTAGTGGGTTGTACAGTTAGACAATGCATCTAAAGATCATAATAATTCACATTTGCATAAAATTTAAGTAAATTAACTCAGAGCTGAAATTTTTAATTACACCAACAAAACATGTTTCACGAGGAAAATAAAATCAGATCCAGGGTGGTTAATAGAAAAGTAAATAAATTGTGAAAATCGCTTTCTCTGTGAGCATGCACTCGCATGCAAGGTGTATTCGCGCGAGGAAATATAACCAGTGGCTAACTGTAACACCGAAGAAATCCAAAGTAAAGCATCACTTTTCAAATTACCATGTGCCACACATCCGCACACACACGGTCCGTAATTAACGGTGTCGCACGAACACAATAGGTGTGGATGCGCGAATTTTCACGGCCAGACGCAGCGCGAATTTTAATCTACGCATTTCACCAATGCGCATTGGCAGGATGAGAGAACACCACGACAGGTGGTCTCTGCCAGGATGTTGTATACTCACTCACCTGCGTTTAACGTTTAACATTTCTACCGACAAAAGTTTCACTCTCGACTTTGTGCGATCGAAAATCATTCACGTATATATTGCAGCTGCAATAAAATAATTAAAATTTTATTTTATTTTGTTTTAAAGTTACGCTTGAAATTGATTAATGTCTCCAAAGTGAAAAAGAAGTGAAAATACAGAATAATGACGTGTGAAGTAGGCAATAAGGCAATAAGATTAGGAGTGTATTGTTAAAAGATAATCAGGAATCGGATCCAGCTTGTAAATTGAATAGAAACAGAAAACAAACAAACACGTACAAATCTTGGGTTATTTTCATGACCTGATGAACCAATTTACACACCTCTAGTAAATTCCCGAATTGGTTTTACATGTAATCACAATAAAAATCGAATAATAACTGTTAAATAAAAGACCTGTTGATGAATAATTTATCATTTATTTTAATGCCTTTGAAAATATTCGGAAGATGATCGCTGAATAGCTAAATTCAATTGTATCCGAATATGATATGCAAATGAAGCTAATATTACGTATGCATCGGGTCATAATTACAAGTGTGTACGTGTCCGCGATCTTCTCTAACGCAGCATCTTCACCGCATGGAATGTGGGTTAACAAAAAGTTGAAAACTTCGGGATGTTAAATATCTAATTAACACGAATTTGATTTACACGCAAATTTAGTCAACAAAAAGATTAATTTAGTGATAGATTAAATTGTTGCTATTGGGTACTCGTACAATACGGCTGTAATAATTTTAACTTTCTCCGCGAAGCAGTTAAAAATCATCACAAATTGGTCGAATAGTAAAAACATTTCAGCTGCACCAACAAAGAAGTTTCTCTCTCGACGAGGCGAAGAAAAACCGCGATGTCCATCTTTTATCGTCAAAATTGCGTTATGGCGTTTGTGGGATCGTCCATGCACGGCGTGAGATTCTTCTCGCTTCGTGATGTCTTTCTTCATTAAACATTCTCTTCTTGTCTGCTTCCTCTTCCTCTTGCGCTTGTGTGTGATTCATTCATGTATTTTTGAGCATATCACACGCCGAGTGGTGAGATAATCGGACACGAAGACCTACTTCACACACAAAAATATTTCATGCGTGTGTGTTGGGTTGCAGAACTCAAAACGGAACTGAAAAATTGTGCCAAAACTCTACCGGACTTTCTATGATGGAAATTGAAATAGAAAATGTCTTCAATTAGGTGATTTATTCGCTCAACATTTTACAAATGTAAGTTTTGTAGGTTATATGCAGATAATGACCTATTGACACAACATTGTCATTGTTACCCGTGTGGTAGCCATGTTTTTTCCAAGTTTACAAGAACCAAAGCGCATAAATTGCAGATTTGCACTGCGTTGAACTCGTTAATTGCAGCTTTGATGTTTCGAACTAATTTAGCGCTGGAGCATTTAGTTATCGCATGCTTCTTCTTCATAATATACTTACCCATATGATTATCGAGCTATAACGATAACCAACGCGATCTGATTTGCACCGTATGCTTCATAACCTTGCGTTGTGTATTGAAGAACAAAACGCATCCAGCGTATCGACACGCGGATGGTCATATCGACACGTGCGGAAGAATTAGGTCTGCCGTGTGTGTGCAATTGCATCGTTGCACCATTGCACCCGATGCACACATGCGAGGCAAAATTAAGATTCGCTCTGAAACGTTTAAGACACTGCGTTCCGATATAGAAAAATATAAATTGCTTGCACCATGTGCAACTGAGCGTAGTTCTCGTTAAGTTTTCCATCATAATGCACCTACGATTGCATCCGCATCCTGCCAAAATGTCGTTGAAGTATTTTTTACTCACCTGTTTGATTATTACTCAAGCCAGTTGTCAAAAATTGAATAAAACCATTGAAGAAGTACCAGAAGATGTGGAGGAAACGCCAGAGTCCAAAGTGATGGATACCATTAAGCGCACATATACAGAGTGTGCTAGTAAAGGTGACATGTTTAAATGTTTCAAGATAAGAGCTCTTAAAATGGCGCAGAGGGCGATGAAATCAAAGGAAATTGAGGTTATAACTGGTATTGATGTAAAACAAGTGAAGAATTTGACGAGGCAGTCCAGAACTTTAGATCGCACTGAAAGAATGAATGAAGATCAACTGCAAGTGCTCGAAAATGAAAGCATCAATGGTTTACTACTAGATGTCGCTAGTAAGTAGCTTAAAAAGCTTAAATACTGACATAACCTTAAATATTTACGATTTTCATTTGTTTTTGAAGATAATTTTATGGAATCTCACGTGATTAATATAAATCTCCCAAAACTGGTTGAAGAAGCGCGTGGTAGAAGGAAGAAAAATCGTTTCGCGACGCCATTTTGGCAGCGCTTGCAGTCAAAGGTATCATCATGTCGATGACCTATAAAAGCATCGCAGTGGTCGCCGGCACAGCGCTAATCATAGGTAAAACGCAATTCTTAACTCCATCTTGACACACTTGCAAGCGGCGTGACACACTGATGTGCGTTTGGTCACGTTCCAGGCAAAATGGCACTTGTTCTCGCCGCCATCCTCGGCCTGAAGAAGCTGGTCAGCGGCGAAAAGGAGAAAACCACCGTCGAGATCGTCAAGCATCCGACGCATTCCTCAAGCCACACACATTCGAGCTCCTTTGAGGAAGGTGAAGGTCACTATCGCCGATCCATACCAAGTGATGAAGAGATGATGATATTGGACAACATAAACCGAGACTCCTACTTGAATTAAACTAAGATTAGAGATCAATCAGTGTATCTGAAAATTATTTATTTTTTAATGTTTAAGTATTTATATCGTGCTTTACTAACAATAAAATGTTTACGTGAATGCAGTAAAAAACTTTCCAGGAGAAATTCGCATCGATGAATTTCAATACACACGATATTATCTTGTCTAGTAGATCCGGCTTTCGATTTCGCTGAAACTTTTCTTACAGTGGTGACCACCGCAAACCCAATGCAATGATAGCTCGATTCAATTGTGGTCCGTTGAATTGCAAAGAGGGAGAATCTTCTAGGTCGGCAATTTCTCACAGGTTTTTTCGACTTTCACTCGCTGATTCTCTCGAAACATTAGGATCCGAAAACGTATGTGATCTGAATCTGCAACCTCAACTACACACACGAAACAAAAAAAGATCGCCATTTTAAATCTAGGCGCAGTTTATGGTTATGTCTACTTTTAATGCCCACAATAAAACATTAAATTTTTGAAATGATTTCAAATGAAAGTCCAAGTTAAACTTCAAGTCCAGTCTAATTTCGTTTTTTTTTTTCGTTTGTTGTTGTTGTGCTGACGTGTTACGTCCGAAATACAATTATGTAATATGGCTGGCGATTCGAGTGTTGTCGAGAGAGGAGAGACGCTCGCAGGCGCACAAAAAAAAGCACTATTACCGGCACGCCGGTGATTATTATGTATATAATCGCTCGACATTTCCGCTCTAGTTGTTGGTGAGCATCTTTGCTCGGCGCGATTATCGCGCTACTAGATGCGAATTGCTTCCTCGCCTCAGCGCCGATTCAATGCTAACACTGTGTGTGTACTTTAATGCTCTAATGATGGAGACTTATTGTACGCGTTGGCATAGAATTCAGATTATTTAAGCGTTTATCTAATACGAGCATCACAGCATAATACCGGCAATCTTTATGCGGGCGGTAAAAAAAAAGATTTTTAGTACTTTCAAAGAGTAAAATTATAAAAAATGTGAGAAAATATAAAAAGAAGTGAATTATATATTTTATTGAAGGATGATGTATGTAATTTTCACTCGGGCGGTAAAAATTTGTATTTTAGGAGCCCTAGGGCAGTAAAATTTGAAAAATGTGGAAAAAGGTAATAAGAAGTAAATTAGATAGTAGAATAGAGTATAATATAAGAAATTTTTAGTCGGGCGGTAAAACAATTATGTTTTTGTCGCCCTAGGGCAGTAAAACTCTAAAAAATTGAGAAAAAATAAAATAAAGTAACTTAAACATGATAATAAAATATAATAAGCATACATTTCTTGCGGGCAGTAAAAAAATAATATTTTAGTCGCCCTAGGGCCGTAAAATAGCAAAAAAGTAAAAAATATAAAAAAACACAAAATATCTTACTACAATATCAAATAAATAAATTATTTTCACACGGGCTGTAAAAATTTATATTTTACTTGCCCTAGGGCAGTAAAATTTTAATAGTAACCGTGAGAAAAATAAAAACTCATAAATCACATTAATAAATACGACAGTTTATTACTAATCAATAGAATTAGCATATTGTACTAACTAACATAACAAACATAATAAATAATTAAATAAATACTATTAATTAATCACTACGAAATAAATACTTAAATACCACAAAAAATTAATGAGACAGTGTCGTGGGATCCGACCCACACATTAATAAGGCACTAGAATAGCATCCTAATTAAGCACACGACCGAAAGTTTGAAATTTGTTGTATTTTACGTATTTTCCGTTTATTTTGTGTTTTACGCCTGTGTGTGTGGATTAAATTGTCAAAACTAACCTGAAACCGTTGTGTTTTGTACTTGTCGTTAGCGTTTTACATGTTTACGAGCATTGTTTCGAAAGAGAGACCAGAAGGAAATTTTAACGCGCCGCGCCGCACTACGACCAGGAACTACTCGAACCTAAAACAGACATAATTCCCAATTAGATGTTGCATTTAGATTTAGATTTCTGTCGCGGTTTCGCTAATTTTACAAGTGCGCGCGCGCGCGAGCTACTTTCGAACAATGGCCGCAGTTGCAATGTTGCCGATCAAGTACCAGTTCGCTTAAGTCAAGTACAAATACATCTAAACAACTTTCCTGCTACCGTTTTATTGTGTTTTTAAATGTTTTCTAATAAAAGTAAATAAATTTCGTGTTTATGTTTGGATTTATTATAAAATAAAAATGGCTGCCTTACAAATGGTCCCCGCTTAATATTGCCAAAATAAATACAATAAATAAAGTCTTATAAATAAATTTTTGGCTTTCTAGAATTTTCTGTGTGGCTTCCTGGTCGTGATTAAAGGTAGTCTTTGAGTTTGAATTTCTTTTTGCTTTTAGTGGTGTACGACGTGAGCGCAAAGAAAGCAAGTTTAAGGAACATGATGCTCGATGTCGCCTTAAAGAACCCAACGAGTCCAACGAATTTTTGTATCATCAATCCTGCCAGCGAAAGACCGCCCAGCAGCACCAAACTTTTTCTAAGCGCAACGTCACCTAAACAATACAAATTTCTTTGTAATATTATCTAACCTCAAAAATTTTCAAATTTTTTCAAAAAAATTTTTAGTAAACATTTAAACAAATTGTTAATATGATACTTTCTGGGTTCTGGGCTGGTCTTAAGCGTGCGTGATTAATACAATACCCAAATTTACCATTAATAGGTGTAATTGTTATTTATGTTATCAACAGTAACAGTTTCGGGAACATGTGCCCTATAGGGATCATTTTCGACATTTTCCGGTTCATCACCAGCAATACTCCGATACCATCCGCCATGACTATGACCCCCGCTGTCTGCGCCGGCGCTGTACACTACTTGCGTCGACTCACCTCCACCACTTCCTCCCGATAACTTTTTGAACCCAATTACAGTGGATAACATCAGGGCGAGTTTCGCTAGTAATAGCGCTGCGCCTGCCATGAAGGCAATCTTCCCCATGAATAGCTGCGCCATCATACCAGCCATAGCCAACCCGCCCATCATCAACATGCCACCTTTGTTCTTGTCCTTCTTCGCTCGGCCTGCAAATTCAATTTGTAACTCTCGTTAAATTTACGACTCGCTCCGAATTGAATCATAATTACACGTCGTAAACGCAGCATTGATTAAAATAATTATCTGGTACCTTCAAAGATGTCGCCCAAGCGGATCTGAATCGTCCTCGATCCTAAGAAATCCTCGACTTTATCGTAAATCATATCGTTGAGTTTCGCACTACGCGCTTTGAGATCCCGCGGTAGGAAATTGCTCTCCAAAGTGTCGTTGAGTACAAAAGCAGGGTCCTTGACAATGTCAATCACTCCATAGATAGTGATCGGTTTGTCACTTAGTGTGGTTTCGTTCAACGCGTCCAACGCACGTTCTTTGAGACAAAGAATCGCTTGATCCGACGCGATGCACTCGCGGATCTTTTTCAGCGTTGTGGTGACATCTTGTTGAGCTGTGCTAGCGTCCGCTAGGAGGCAGCACAACATACAACTCCATAGGAACCCTTTTAGTAGCGCACACATCTTACTGATACAACACTCGAAACAATTCTGTATTGCCACTCCGCCTGCGGGCGTCTTTTATATATTCTTTTTCGTGTGCATGCACTGCGAAGCGTATCAGCAATAACGAAAAATTACACACGAATTCACAGACAAAGTATAACATTTCTTCTATTACGCGAGCGCGTGACCGACCACCGTCAGCATCAAAACTAATTTTAGTTTTGTTATAACTTTATTTGTTTTTGTGTATGTTGTTTGGCATTTAAATTCGTCGTTCTGCTTGCGAGATTAGAGGGCATTCTGTCTTGAGAATAAACAAGCGGGTTTTTGGACCATGTGTGATGTAAAAACATGAAAAATAAATGAAAATATCGGACTTCTAATTAAACTCAATTAAACACACGAAAAAACATTACAAACATTACGGAAAATAACCGTTCATCTAATTGAATTTAAGATTTGTTGTTGTTTCTGCTTTTTTGATGTGTGTGCAGATAAGTTTAATTGCTTGGTGGTCATTCAGCGTACAATTTCTTAATTACTTTTATAAAAATCACAAAAAAAATTTTTTTTAGCAAAAATTAAAAAATGATTACTTTATTGATGATATTATTTAAATATTTAATTTTACAGTATAACTAAGTAGAATGATGACAAAAATTACTAGAGCAAAAAAAGACGACTGTGGTTTTTGTTGTTTTCTACGAGTATTACAAAACCATAATTTACAAATAAAAGTAGTCCTATAATTTCCCCTGGTAACTAGCGCCATCTGTCGGAGTGATTTTCGATATTTGCGGAGGAAAGAAGATGATTCCGCGGATGTTGCGCCGTGGAAACGAAGAAGAATCCAAACATAATCAGAAGTATTCAACAGATGCGACCTGAATTCGTAAAAAGCCTTCGGGCTGTCTACAACACAGTTTCCCTTCTCAACTTTCTACCGCAGCACATACACGACACCGATGCCGTTGCCTTCGCGCGATCATCATCAAAACGTTTTCGTGTTATGTTAAAGAGCACGGAGTCAAGTTCAACATCAAGACGTTCAAGTTGAAGTTGAAGACCAAGTTTATGGTCGGACGCGGTGCTTTATGTCATGGTATATTTACCATCTACAAATATTGAACCATTAGAACTAGGAGAACAATTGCCACCATCGTAAAATTGTCATAAATTATATTTACCATGTCAACGAATACAAATTTGCACACCGTAAAATATTCAACTACTTGTTGGCTAATATTTGTTTAATTTTTAGTGGATGTGTAAATTTGGCGTGCGCGTGGTTAATGTTGTGTGACTTTTCTTTGATGTTACAATGACGGAAAAGTGAATCTTATTATTACCTCACAGAAGAAATATTTTTTTTCTCTTGGGTTTATAATATTAAAAAATCATTGACGAGTTGGGCGTAATTCATTATTCGTGAAAGTGTAACACATTAATAATATATTAAGTATCAAGTGGCAAAATCGGAGTTTTAGTCACGAGTGTTTAATCAATCGAGTGTTTAACAAGGTTTAGCCACGGGGTACCTACGCTATTTTTTCTACTTCCACTTTATTTCCACGTTTTATGTGTTTTTAATTTTTTGTTAGCAAATGCGCAGACGCAAGCTCCGCCCCGTGACTAAAACCCGTGACTAAAGTACTTTAGCCACGGTTTTGTCTGTCCATGTTTAAAATTCCACTTTTGTGTCTTAAAACCATGAATAAAAACACTTTAAAGGTGAAAGTAGATTTAAATTTTATTATGATTTGATTAATCGGTCATTTTAATAAATAAATGTGCAAATCAAAGTCATTGAATCAGAACAAACAAAAATTTAATTGCCGTCGTGCAATCACTCGCGTTTTCATGACATTAGCATACGTTTTGCTCGACATTAATCGAAATTGTAATATGTGCACACATCAAAGATAGTAAAAGTTGATCCACTTACACTGATTATTTTACAAATCGAGCAGTTAATCGCCTGTCTTCACTCTGCGTATGCATATGAATGAGTATGAAAGTGCAAATGAATAAATCTGTATCATACACGCGTATGTCAATGAACTGCGCGCGCATTTAGCATCGTGCATAGAAAATTCTAAACCACCAGCGGGTAATGCCAGGGCCATAACGCAGAATTAATTAAATAATGAGAAAATATCCAGCGATGAATATTTTATAGGCGCACGCGTGTACCGTTAGTGAAATCATTCGCATTCCGATTAGATTCTTTTCGACTTCAACACAGAAACATGGCGAGAAGCGTTAAGAAATTATAGAAATTCGATAAGTGGCTATAATGTACGAGTGCGCAAGTTGCAAACCGCCGAGAAACTACAACATATGAAAAACTTAATTTGTTACAGTCGGAGTTTTTTTGGGTGCGCCACGAGAAGATGCGATGAGTTGACACTCTTTCAATGCCATAACTTATTTTATAGTGACAAGTGCTTCTAGAAATAAGAATAATTTATTATACAGGGAATTATTTCAATTAATCAACGTATAAAATGAATATTCTTACATTCCTTGAGCTAGTATTGCAGCGACGGTAACCTCATCAAATAAATTGATTTTTGCTTTGGATTTTAAAAATATTGAAAATGTTTTATAGCCAAAAGATGGATAATTAAATTCTCTTTCAAATGATATCTTGGTCAAAATTATACGTGCAATATTTCCGGAGATATTTCATTTTTATTGAAGGCAATTTTATAAATTTTAATTTTTACCAAAAAATAAATAAATTTTTCTTTTTAATTTAAAATATATTACAAATTTTTTAAATAATTGTTTTGAGCCTTAATAATATGCACAATTAAATTATCTTTCGACTGATATATTTTCCATTAGTGTACATACAATATTTTCGGAGATATTTCAGTTTTATTTAAAACAATTTTATGAATTGTACTTTTTACACAAAATTTGAATTTTTCTTTTTAATTTAAAATATATTGCAAATATGTTAAATAAATGTTTGAAATGTGGAACAGATGCACAATTAAATTATCTTTCATATGACATATTTCCCAAAATTGTACATGTAATATTTTCGGAGATATTTCACTTTTATTAAAGACAATCTAATAAAAAGCAATTTTTACAAAAAAAATTAAATTTTCTTTTTAATTTAAAAAATATTACAAATATGTGAAATAAATGTTTCAAATGTTAAGTAGATGCACAATTTAATTATCTTTCAAATGACATATTCCCCAAAACTGAACATGCAATATTTCCAGAGATATTTCTTTTTTATTACAAAAGATTTTTAAAAAATACAAAAATTTTAAACATGTAGGTAACCTAAAACAATCAATTTATGTATATTGGGCTGCATAGATATTACTTTTTTAGGTTACAACCACGTCTCATGTAATTATATAATTAAGTTGGTTTCAATTCGCGAGTCCAAGAGCAATTTCGTGAGCGTGACCGATGAGATTTGTGTTTACATTTTGAACATTTCGTATGTGTACGTAAAACGTAAAAATAATTACACTTACGGTACTAAAACCCATGGATTATTCGAGTTACCAGTCCATATACGATGACATTTTCATTACAATATTAATACTCACCTACTTTTTCCGCAGTAAACTTCAATACCCGTCTACAACTCAATTTTATCCTCCGGTTTATTGTTGTTCACACTTGGTCCATAATGAAATCACGCCTGACACGGTGGTCACTGGTCACACGCCACGGCTATAAAATGTTAATGAATGTTTATTGTTTTTTGATTGCCGGCGCGCACATTAACTCGTAATAACACATCTTGCACGTGATAAGATGCCCGGAACTCTCTTCTAAATCATGTTTTCAGTACAAGAAGTAAAACCTTTGTAAATCGTAATAAAACAGGTGGTTTAACGTTTATTCCTCTATACAATTAAAATAAATAATGATTTTTTGTGTTCGGTGTGGTCGGATATGTATATTAATTCTTCTTCTTTTTGTCGCTTTCACTCCACGCGAAATTCCGCCCGTCTTTCTTCTTCTCCTCGCGGCTGAACGCCTGCTGCAATTCGGCGTCGTAAAGCCTTAATTGGTCATCGTCGTACGAAGAAGCTGCTGGTTGCGCTGCATTGATGTTGCCGCTCGACCTGTACGCATGCTCTTGGTATTCATCATCGGGCAGCCTTCAATTACGAATATGGGTCAACGAAAATGAGGCCGTGAGAATCCCCGCGGAAATCAAAAATTAAAAAAATCAAAATTTTTTTTTTTACAAAATTAAATTCAAACCTATAAGCATGATGTGACTGTCCACCAAAACTAGGATTATACGTCGGTTGATAACCATACGGATTGACTGTAGAATGCTGCGTGAAGAGCAGTGAGCTAAGACTAAAAGCACTGCTGATCACCAATGCAATTTTACTAAGGACCAGAGCCTTTTTAGCGATCAATGCGATGAGTCCGAAGATCACCGGAATCAACGTCGCCATGTTGAATTTAAAACCCAACAGCAGCGGCACGAGGAACTGCCGCGCCAAGATGCGTCCTACAATTATAAAAGGATTTGTCATTACAGTTATTCATTAATCATTCGGAGCGTAACAGCTAGCAGGAAATTAAAAACATTTCGACAAGACGAGAGATGAAATAACTGTGAATATCATAAACAATTCTTCGATTTCACTTCGATGCATTCCAATATTGTAGAAATATTATTTTATTAACCTAACCTCAACTGTGTGCGTCATACGCCTACTAGATAGATGACCCAGTTTACACTGACTTCCCGAAGACCTTCGCAACCCAACGAACAGGTTTGCGTTTTGGGCGTTTCAACGTTTCATTACCAATGTCGAGGTCTGTGGGCCTTGACACGAAGACACGAAGACCTCGCGTTTACATTTTGGCGTCGAGAATGAACTCGCCGCGGCTGGAATGCAACACCGGTCGTAGTAGGAGTATCGGATTCACATGTATAGGATATGCATCTTCATTCAGAAATATGTGCATTAAATTAAAGGTGTGTTAAAACATAAAATTAATTTAATTTTTATTTTTGTAAATTTTCTAGAAGAAAAAATCGTGTTATAAGTATTTGAAAGTGTCAATCCACTGAACGGTACTTTGAAGTTCTCTGTTCATTAGCTGCGTAACTGGTCGCCAACTATCGGATACATGAGATAAACTTCTATCTATCAATGAAGATTAAAAGATTATTTTATAGTAGAAGAGAAGAGAATCCCGTTGGAAATTAATAAACATGTTAATCACAATGCGCTATTATTAGCTGATCTTTCTGAGTGACTTTTATTAATTTCTTCACACCGACATTAATGTATAATGTTTTGTGTTTAATTTTGAAGAAATCTGAATTTTGGTATTTATGTAAAGCGACGCCAAATTCAAGTTAATCTAGGAAAACATGACGACCTACTCGCCGCATTCACACGAAAATATTAGAATATAATCGCCGGAGAAAACTGAAAACCTGCCAATAGGCATTTGCATTCGTATTCGCATTCGCATTGGTATTGAATTAAGCATAATTAGAAAATAATCGCGTCCGATATAGGATTCATGTTTGCCTATTGTTCGTGTATTTTATGCGGATGCGAAACGAACTTGTTTGAACGGTGTCTAAACGGATTCGAGACTTATAATAGATTTGAGGTTATAAGCTTGTTTAACTTCACTTATACTAATAATATGTTTACGGTTATGTGTGTTTTTTATATTTGAAGAAATGAATAATATATAAATTTTGTCTTGTTTATAATGGATTGTTTCTTATGCTGTACAATGCATAAAATTCAAGAAGTTGTAAAATATTTAACAGTATTAAGAATTTGCAAGTTGAAAAATTAGACAATTGTGTGACAAAAATTTTAGTTTAAAAATGCTAATATTGTAATAAAGAAAAGAATAAAAACAGTTAAATAAAAAAGAACGTTTAGTACATTTACTGAATTTTAAATTATTTAGAAGTAGGAATATGAATATTTTTAAACTGTGTTTGATATTCGTACTTGTAGCGATGAATGAGATTGCTTCGATGTAAACAGTAACAAAAAAGAGCTATGCGTTCGTTGAGATAAAAGATAAAACCGCATGGCCGCGTGAGATCAAGCCACTTTGTGTTGTGGTAAACAATAGAATATTTTTAATTGAAAGTGCATTGCTGTGCCATCTCGGATTTATTTAGAAACTACACGTCGGTGAGATGTTTGTGTGTTCATACCTGGTGCACTTGTATCAGTGAGTGAATATTCAGCTACACTTGAAATGTAAACAAATAATATCATGCGGTTATATTCATCTCTTTTTGACTTGTATTACGATGTTCATATGCTCTATTGCTGGAAGAATTGATACGCATGTAATTGTATTTATAAATATGAATAGTTTGTGCCGTTTTTATCAGACATTAATACAATCAATATTTAATTAATAGCCATAATTTCCAATCCCTTTTATTTTGCGATTAATATTTTATCTTATAGAGAATTATCCGTTATAGAGAATAGTCCGTAGAATGGTCTCTGCGATTTATTCCTATTTGTCTCTCTTAGTTTACGAGATATTCGCGATTGAAAAAAATCGTCAAAAATTGCAAAATGTCACTTTTTAGCACTTTCAATCGCGTTTTTAGGCCTTTTACGGTAGGAAATATAATTATTTTATATTTTGATCTGATAGAAAATTTTCCGTTCTTTCATAATCAGTAACTCGTTAGTTGCTATCTCTTTTAGTTTAAGAGATATTAATTATCAAAAATCGTCGAAAAATAGTATCAAGCACCCCCCCTTTGCAATTTTTTTCTTAAGAATGAAAATTTCATCTCTCAGATTTCCGTTTTAACTATTCTATCCTATAGAGTATAGTTTGTAGATTAAAACGCTGCGATCAGATCTTAATTATCTCTTTTAGTTTACGAGATATTCGCAAAAATTAAACTAATTAAATTAATTTGTGCAACGTTGTTGCAAGTTATATTATAACGTTAATTATACATTTGGTATATTGTCAGTTAAAAGTATAGAAAATAAACTATAAATTAAAAGAATACAAAAGAATATCAACTGGAGAGTTATTTGTATACAAACACTGACTACTTTGCATTACTATCAGTGAATGTGCCGAAGCATGAGATAAACAATAAAACTCGAGGCTGCATGAGCTCACGCGACTTCAAGCAGCAACAAAACAAATATTTTTACCTAAAACGTGCATCCTAGCGCCATCCCGTATTCATTTAGAAAGTATACTACGAAACGCTTCATAAATCAATACACACGACAACACAAAACACATCTTGGCATTTTAAAATGAAATTTATGCAATTGTGATGAAAATCTCTATTAAATACTAATAATTAAATAAAAATAAATTCAAAATAAACCAAAAATATAACAAAAAAGTAAAAACAAAAAAAACTAAAAAAATAAATAAATTCTATTCAACATCGAAAATTTTAGTTGCCTACTCGTATATCCATCTAGCATCAGAATTGTAACCTAGTCGCACAAGAAACTCTTCTTCAAGTCTCCTACTCTTTCGCTAGCACCCAGAACTCTTCAACTTCTCTAACGTTACCTTTCTATTACAACCCACAACCTCACGCGTTAGATGGAGCTACACACAGACCAACTCAAACTAATTTCTAACATTTCTCTTCGTTTGCTGATTCCAATTCAATTAAAAGTTACACAATCAATATTACTTTACCTGCGCTAGCCTCCTTCAACGAATGCTGCTGGAACGTGTTATGTGGATCCATGACAAATTCAAGGACTCCACCCGTCGCGCCGGGAGCCACGCGCATTGATAAACCAGGATGTACGAATGCCATATCCCATTTCATCGTGCGCGTTTGAAACACTTGCCCCCAGGAGTCAAGCACTGATCTGCAAAGCACAAACAGAAATTCAAATCTCCATCCATCCTGTTACGTAAATAAATAATTGGCATGAAAATATCATCAAAATACAAAATTTTCCCAGAAAAATTTTTCAAACGAAAAATTGATCGCCAAAAAAAAGGTATAAATATTATGCTTGAGGGATGAAGTGGATTTACATTGTAACACATCGTTAGGGTGTACTTATAGATAGCGCACGTCCCCTAACAGGTGATACTAAATCACGTTGACACGCAACGTGCGTGGGGTTTTTTACGTAACGGCGCAAATTTATTTTCACGCTGGAAAAACTTAATTTTATCGTTATTCTCATAAGAAATCCGAGGCGTTCTCACCGAAAATCCCCGGATCACTTTCGCTAACAACACTATATCCATCCCGGTACATCTTCTCGTCCCTCGTGAATGTCAATCCATCGACCAGATCGAACTCCGGACTGGTGTCGAAAGATCGCAGCTTTGCAAGCGCCCCATAACCGATGCAATAGCCGAGGCTCCCGGAGGACTGCGACACCAGACACTCCTTGAACGCATTTTCCGGCGACGCGTTGTTATAAACAGCGCCCTTCGCGCTCACCGCCGCCGCACACACGAACGCGATCCACAAAGCAAACATTTCGACAAGACGCTCCGGCGCCCACGCATTTTCTTTTATACCAAACACAACAAGACAACCCCGTCGAATTGGCAAACAAAAACGATTCGCGATAAACTCTCCTCCACCACTACCTCGGTTTTGTAAAGAGTGAAAGTCTTCTTTTGTGATTAATTGGAGCGAATTTGACGAAAATTCGCATCTTTGTCTTTTGTGAGATAATTGTAAAGGTTTCTACTGAGTGTAGAGCAAATACTCGGAGTTTAAACTCTTTGGGTATAGAAACCACACAAGAGGAGATGATTTTATGTGTGGAGCGTTCCGTATGGATAATTTTGTTGCTTTTGTGAAGATTTCGTTCGTCAGACAATTGAATTGCTTTCTCTTTCTTTTGCGCTTTGCTGATTTTGTTTTTGTGGTGTTTTCCTTTAAAATTTTATTATACTTCCTGTAGGCATGTTGGCATCTAGCCAAAAACACATTAAAATTAATTAATTAATTGCCGAAAAAGTGAAATTTTGAGATAAATAGAGCAAGAAAATATAATCTCAAAACAAATCATATAACAAATAAATTTTACTATTGTTTTATTATATTTTAGATAATTTTCTATGCAATTTCTGACCTTAAATTTGGTATTTGTGTTGTCGGTTGGAAAAATAGATAAGAAAAGACAGTAAGAAATGCGAGGCAGCGCTTTTACGGTAAACTTGACCTAGGCCTAGATGAAATTAAAGACGTCGTCGCAAAAGATCGTCTGTTACTCAACTTCCAGAAGTTTAACTGTAGATGAAAGATTCAACGCGTATGGCCGTCACGTACGCCATCAAACGCTTGGAAATCATCGACGAATTCAATTAACAAAATTGCGCGCAATTGCGTTTGATTTGATTCGGTTGTTTACGGGCGTCAAAGTTGTAATGATTTCTTTGCTCTAGTTTTCCAACCGATTCGACGAATATGATGAAAAATTACATTTTGTTTCAAACGCTATTTTTCCTGGAAGACAATGCCCGGCATGAATGAATGAAAAAAAAACGCGAGCGACTGAATAAAACTTAACGACTATAATAAATCGATAACTGTTCAAGTGGCAATGCGACGAGTTGCACAAACACACATGAGCTGCAAGAAGTGTCCGGCCTGAAGGAGCATATGTCGACCGTGCCATTTACACGCTTAACAGTAAAGCGTACCGGCCAGTTAACACACGCCCCGCGGCCCCTGCAAAACTAAGCAAATAAACATTGTACTAGATAGTCAAGAATGGATCTGGGATGGCTGGTTGCGCCTCTCTATTACCGGCGATTATCTGTTACTGTGTATGCACACGACGAGGAAGACACGCACGATGCGCGCATGCACTTGCACCCGTATGGTGGACATGCGAATGGACAGTCTTCGTAGAAGGAAAAACTAGTCTCGGTACGCTTATGGTGAATAAATGCAATCGCGCGAATTCCTGATATAACAAGGACCCGCCGCTCGGCGACCGGCTCAGTGCGTGTTGGGTCTTCCTGCGAGTCTCGTGTATTCCTCTACTGACTTAAGTAGACCTAGATATCTAAAACCATCAAAAATGTTGAAAGGAGTCAGTGTTTTGTTTGGGATCTTTATGATCCTGGGTGTTCAAGGGTTAGACAATGATTTATTCGAGGATACTGTTAATATGATTGAAGATTGTCAGGATAGACCAGTTACACTTTGCATTAAAGTAAGTCAAAACAAAAATTACAAATTTTAACCAAAAACATCAAAAAAATTTTTTTCTTCAAAACAGGAACGTGCCTTAAAAGTAATGGACACCTTCCCAAGCGAATATGACTTCGGAGGAGGTTTGATCATCCGTCCAGCAACAGGGGTCAAGAGATCAGCAAGATACTTCAACCCTAATTCCTTACCAAAAGAACCCAACGCCCGTGAGGATCTCCTCGACGAGGTGCTCATGGACCGCATCGTGGATTACCTCAGCACACACACTTTCCAGTTCAAAGTACCTGAAGACACAATTCGTGAATTCAAACGCTCCCTGGACGCAGAGGAAAAACAACTTGAAGAGGACGATGACACCGAAACCGTCGGAGAAGGTGATTATCACTTTATTACCAATATTTTCCCGAGTAATGAAACTTTACTTTGATTTATCTCTTTCTCCTTGACAGGTCGTAAGAAGAAGAAGAAGGTTCTACCATTATTACTCCTGTTGAAAATGAAGGCGGCTGCCATAGGGGCAATAATGCTCAAGATGATAGCACTGCTAGCCTTCAAAGCGCTAGTGATTGCAAAGATCGCCCTACTTCTAGCGTCAATAATCGCATTGAAGAAATTAGTGGATCACAAGCACCATCATGGCGGTTATGAAGTAATTGCTGCGCATCCCTATGAGGATCATGGACATTCATTTGATCGTTCATTTGATACATCCGAGTTGCCTTATCGTGGTTATGCACCCGAACACATGAAGTAATAGCTTACACTATCTAACCTTAAACATGCAACAATGGTGTCGGTAACGTAACATAACCTCAAAAATGAACACCTCTAGTCATAACGCAACACTTCTCGTTTGTTTTGAATTTATTTATTTGTTTATTTATTTATTGGTTTATATATAAATATTTATGAATATTTAACGATAACTGTAATCACATTTTGTAGTTTTCTAGTTCAGTGTGTGTTTGTTTTGATTAAAGTTATTAAAGAGATTAAACAAAAATGCGTATGAGTATTTCCCGTTAAGTCTTTATTTAAATTTTCCGCGTTAATCTAGATGCGTAATTATTTAATCGGAACACGGATAAATATTCAGATTAGCTGCATTAATAAGTATTAAATTAATACTTAGTGTAGGTATGCGTGTGTGACACACAAAATGCTAGTAACAATGGTGTTTGTTAGCGTTGTTGACAATGATGGTAATGCAGAAAGACACCAGTTGACCAGTTTACGAATAATTGTTACTTGTAATGCTCTAGATGTCAAGTGGAAATATTTCACTTTTAAAATTATACTGGAGTAGCTGCAATTGCAGGTTATGTATGCGTATATTGACTAATATGTAATTTAATGTTTATAGTGGTAATTGTTTGCATCAGAGACGCACATTTCCTCCGAGGATGTGCATAATTATCAAGAGATTGCACATCCACTTCCTCTTATATAAATATATAAATAAATAAATACGCACACGTGTTGTGTTGAATAATTAAATGAGTAAAGTGTAACACAAGTTGCCTACAGTTGATTTTTTTAAAAATATGTATGACGTGTTGTATATATTATTATTTCTAAAGAAAATTGATTGTGGAGTTAAAATAACAAGTTTATTAAGTTTGCATGAAGCTGTCAGCGAATAAGATCGACATCGTTACGTTCAGCTACCTGAGTTGAGTTTACGTTACGATCCGCAGCGATTAGATGCATTCGATGCGCGATTTCCTGCTCCAATTACGCGAGTTCATCCTTTACCTGCTGCATACCTGCATTGTTCCCTATATGGACCGTGAAAACACAAATCTACACTTAAATACTACTTGTAATTGTTTGATTGACACAATATCAACAGTTTATTGTCAAATTTGTACTCATTGTATTAATGCACCGTTAGTTATTCAAAACTCATTATACGCGTGAAATTGTAAGATTTTCCGATGTTTCTCACTTCAGACTCGGCCATATTGGCATCGGGTTTAATTTACATATTAATGTGCTCGTTTTAGGACGTCTGACCATGTGTTAATTTTAATACGAGTACAACTCGACGTGTGCGAGAGCAGACAATATGCGTTTACAGTTTTAATAATTACAAATGCAAAATTAAAATATGTAGTGCCATATGTCGCTTGGTCGAGAAAACAAAGCCTAATTGCGTGGATTGATGTCGGCTAATTAGAATGTATGCAGCACACAGCGCACAGATGAACAAAAAAAGAGGAGGTACCATTAAAGAGAAACATGTGTGTACATTAGCATTACTTTATTTTATTTATTTAGTCATTAATTAATTTAGAGTAGATTTCGTAATTTAAAAAGTCTTTTTGTTTCTTCTAGTACTTCCGGTTCGTCGGTCACGCATTGCGCATTGCCTTGTTTTGTATAAAATAATTTAAATTAAATAAATAAATATTGCGCAATTAAATATTTTGAAGATTTAGCTGGAGGTTTTTGGTGCGTATGCGCTGTACGCCATGTTCTGGGCAGCTTCCTCTTTGTAGGTACGTCCCCATCCACTTCCGTGACCACCGGAAACGACGACTTCATGTCCGGATTCATGGCTACCACCTCCACCCAATAATTTTTGATTCCGATGATTCCAGCGAGGACTAAAGCCAATTTGGAGACGATCAGGGCTTTACCAGCGAGGAGAGCAAGGGCTCCTAGGGCTAATGGGACCAGGGTACCACCAAGGATCAAGGGGATAAGGAGCATACCGCTCATCTTCTTCTTCTTTCCACGTTCCTCACCGTTGAAGGACCTGGCCAAGTCAGAGGCGGTTGGGAGCTTAACCTAAACACAAAAATAAATAAAAATTATACAGGGTGTTTAAATTTAGTAAATTCTTTAGAAGGAAAAATTATACCTGAAGAGTGTGTGATTCAAGGAAGCTACCAATCTTCTTGAAGATCAAATTATTCAACGCAGAGTCACGTTCCTCGAGCGAACGAGGTAACTGAGCTTCCAGATCAGCTTCAGTGACAGCAGCAGTAGATTCAGGCACCGCATTGGGTTCCTTAACAAAGCTGACACCATCAAAGATTGGCACTTGGGCAAACGAACGCGCAGCCCTATCCATGGCGGCGATCAGCTTCAGCTTGAGGCACGAGGTAAGATCAGTCGCTGCGCACTCCTGGTACACTTTGTACATGAACTTGAAATCACCAAGATAGGATGCGGATGATTCCTCAGCGCGCGCTTCTTCATGCGGAATGGTATTAGCAGTGTTGGTAGCAGATCGTGCCCAGGCCGTGGTGGCCAACAGGGCGAGTAACACACACTTCGAAAACATTGCTACTATGTGGTAGGTTTCAGGGGATGGCTACCTCTAATGCTCACCGGACGACGGTCGGTAACTGATATGAATTCACTTGCACTGGATTACTTTATATATACGAAAATGTCGGGTGGCATCGTCGAGGAGGGAGTCTCTCAGGGAGCGCCGTGTGTCTTTTCCTACCTTCTCTCGCCGATGGCCAGTTGATGATGGTTCTCATCGTGTTTTATCCCCCCACCGGCGGGCAGCCCGGCCGGCATTTCGGTACGCATTGTGTACGAAGCAATGAATGCCAAGGTAAAACGCGAGCAGGTGAGTAACTCGTTGTGAGTGCCCCCGCGGTACCCCGCGCGAGGCGATTTCGTCTCTTGGTGCCCGGCTGACCGAGACGCAAAACAGATCAAATGTTTCCGCATATGAGGCGCGTGCGGCACGCTTCGCAGTTTTCGCTGCGCTGCACATCCGATAAACGGCTGCAAGTAGACCAAAACCTAACCTGGCATGCTAATTAAACATACCCACACGTATCCAACCACTTTGCGTGTGTGGCATGTGGGATAATTGTTGAAAAGTCGACGAAATCGGTCAGTAAACGCCCTCAACCAAGGACGTTCAGAGAAAACGCCCGAGACTCTCTCGCAAGGGAGATTCAACTTGAAAGAAAGGTGAAACAAGCAAGAGGGCTTCTCACATGAAAAGAAACAGACTCAAACCAGTCCAAAACCAAACTCAAAAAGAGTTTTACGTTGAATATAATCGAAATTCATTATTTTTATTATTATTCTGTACCACACGGAGAAAAAAAATATTTGACAATTTAAGAAAGTCAATAATAATCACATATATATTATTACTAAGCGAGTAATAATGAATCTAACTGTAAATATAAAAATTGAGTATACTGGATCAATTGATCTATTTTTCAACGCTGTTCAGACTTAAAACAATATCAATGTCAAATTACTCGTGTCCGAGTACTTTTTCCAAAGTTCTCTTTCTTTTAAATCGCCTGCCAATTATCACGCGTTGCTTAATTAACGGAAAATATCCGCGTGCAGTGAAAAATCACGCTGCAATTTCTTTAAATCAATTTCCGCCCTATTTACCCGATGAAAGCAGTATTGTTCAATTAAAAATCTCATTTAATTTTAATTTATTTAAATTTTATTTTCTCAATCACCAGCAAACCGGAAGTTGTCATAGATTTGTATGTGGTGACGAAAGACTTTCTCTACATTTCACAATATTGACAAATTTTGATCAATAAAATTCAGTGGATGTTAATATTACTTAAGTCACGTATGCGTCGAGTATGCATTGTCGAGAAGACGTCGCTCTCTGGGCCTTGACCATGTGAGACCATGAGACGGTTCCTTGACTTGACCCAGTGACCTAAATTTAATAGGGCGAGGGCCTGAGCCGATCAAAAATGTTTCCGACACGCGGCGCATACCACAAGATTATTGCCCATTCTTTCGCCCCGTTATGAAACGCACATAATCTACATACTCGTGTTTAACCAGAGTAAATTTAAGTGTTGAATGTTTATATGGTAAATGTTAAACCATCCGAATATTATGGGTAAAAATTAAACGCATTATAAAAAATTATACATAACTGTTATGTAATGGTCTAATATGTTAATCACTTGTAACAATCGAGGCCAATTGTGCGAATTTTGCATAAAACATCGCACGTTCAAGCACTGGCGATACGAAAACCTAGAAAAGTCAAAGAAGTGATCCGATATAAATTCGTAGCATACGGATTTCTAAAATCCTTGACCGTCATCATCATGCTCATTGAATGTCGATGCCTTCCAGGCGCTGCACGACAATGAAGTGTGATTCAGAAGCATTAGAAACGCGTTGATTGTCTTTATCTGCTACTAAAAACACTACTCTCGTTAAACTTTTATCTTTCTATGTAAAATAAACTCAAGAAATCGTATTTTTAAAGAAAACAGAAAAAATTTTTTAAATAAAATTTTTATTTGTTGTAAACCGATGTAACGTATTACGTATTTGGATAACAGAGAAATTGAAATGAAGAAATGCAGCCGGAGGCGATTCACATTTCTCTTCATCCTTTACATCTCATAGAACAACGTTTTCTTTTTTGTTTCTCTTCAAAATTTGAAACAAGTTTTGAGTGTTTAAGCGAGTTGGAGCATAACATAATCTCTAATTGTTTAGATAAATATTCAAGCATCCGAGATTAACTTTCACTCGATGACGTTGCAAACATCGAAACGTCGAAAGCAATAATGCTTTTGCTCTTCATTCAGCGGCGCGAACGACGAAACAGGATGTTGTTGATTCATTGAAGACGTTTCTTGGTTTCTATTCCACCGAAATACACTCCGGCGTGCGTCATTGGGACAATGACAGTGACTTTGGCATGTGCGCCAAAAACAAAAAACGAAACAAGTTCAGCAACATGCGTGTTTCGTGTTTGTTTATAGTTTATAGCGTGTCAGCGAAATAAAGCACATAATGATTGGTGTGCGTACTCTACTTACTTGATGGTTACAAATCCTGCTTCATAAGTTCTTAATGCCTTTGCTAATTATTATAATTGTGTACGTGTGTGTGTGTACGTTGAGTGTAATTGTTGTTGATTTAGTCTCTGCAATGGACAAGAAAGCTTACGCACTTTCTCGCGAAAATTATGCTTGTTTCATGGCTCATGGAATGTATAAGAAATTGCATACTTCATTACTGTTACAATTATCTTGTTAACCTATAAAAATCAATTTAATAGCTACTGAAAAGTAGATATCTGTACTAATTTGTTGATTTGGTTGCCTAATGTGTGATTTAAATGAAAAATTTAAAGAAAAATGTTAAAATGCAAAAGAAAGACTTGATTAAAGTGATTTAACCTAAAATAGCAATTTAATGCTACCCAAAAGTAGATTCCTATATAAATTTGTAAGTTTAGTTGCATAATGTGAGATTTATATGAAAAAAATTGCGAAAAAATGATAAAAACGTAAGAAAAAGACTTGATTAATGTGAGTTAACCTAAAATATCAATTTAATGGCTACCCAAAAGTAGATTCCCATGTCAATTTGTAAGTTTAGTTGCCTAATGTTTGTTATACATGAAAAATTAGCAAAAAATGATAAAAACGTAAAAGAAAAACCTGAAATATTAATTTCTCCTTAAATGTATAAGAAGTTGCATACTTTATTACTACTAAACCTAACCTAACCTAAAAATCAAGTTAATAGCTACCCAAAACTAAATTTCTATGTATTTTTGTGTGTTTGGTTGCCTAATGTTTGTTTAATATAAAATATTCCTGAAAAATGTAAAAACGTAAAAGAAAGTCTTGAAATATGCATTTATGCATCAATTTCGCCAAACACGTGCAGGTAATAAAACGTTACACACATCGCGAGTTGATTCACGCCTGAAATGAATGAATTTATTCGATTCATTCATCGCCATCGTCCGAGAAGACGCAAAGTTTCGAAATGAAACGAAATAGAAAGCGCGTTCTCGCCCCACGCACGTGCAACAAATGTAATAGTATTTAAGTAAATTCACTAAATTAAGTGTTAATTGCCCCTCGGGCGAAAAGCGAATGCAATTAGACAACCAAAGCGAGTACTACGCGTAGTAATACTACTATTACTATTACTCCAACTTGAATTGACTTAACTTAAGTCCACTTAAACACTCCGATGAAATGAAATTAAATTATTACGCGCGTATTCACAACGTGTTAATTTTATTTATAAATAACGACGTGGAATAATGTGGGATAATAAAAATGCTAAATGAGTCCTCATCTTGGAAATGATTTATTTGTGAAAATAAAAGATGATGTCGGTCCGGTCGGTTTTCCTTCATGGAGCGCTGCATAATTGTGTAAGTAGACTAAAAAAACGTTTAATGAGGTGACGATTAATTGGCCGTGCGCAGCGTGCGCGCGCTTGAAAATTCTGCGCGCGGATTTTTACGTTATTAATTAGTCCGGCTGGCAGACAACGCGCTAACTGGACGCCATGATCATTTATTACGCTTTTCTGTAAGACGTCTTGTTTAATTTTGACTTGGGGGTCTATTATAGCAGCAAGTGACTTAATTGGATTAGTTAAATATTTTTTTGGAAATTATGCAAAAATTTTAGTATTTACGCAATAAAAAACGATTTTTTTAAGTAAAATTTTATCTTTAAACACTAACTGCGCCATCTGGTGGACGTGAGCTTAATATCGTTGAAAACTTTGCGCAATTCTGCAGAAATCCGTTGGGTGTGACTTAAGTCGCGTTGGTTTCCACTGCGCCAACAGCGCTTTATGTATGCGCAAGTGACTTAACTTAAGTCATTTTAATTTTTATTAAATTATTACTTTGAAAATATAGAAATCTATAATTTTATGTTTTTTATTGTAATTATTATGATTTATTATGTTTTCTGTAATTTTTTGTTAAGATATCTTAATTTAAGTCTACTTAGTTGTGAAACTAGTAGATTTTGTAGTGAGTGAATCTAGTGACACACAATTTGAGTAATAAAATTACTGTTAGAATCGTTTGTTGCTAGCATTGCTTTTTGTGCTATAATACCTTCATTATTAGCCATTATCCTCAAACGTTATCCTGCACCGCTGCGCCTCGACGCAAATTAGCAGCGAGCGAAGAAAGCAGTCTGTCTGATTGAAATCGCTCGCAGACGGCAGGCGTGAACGACGCATGCAATGAGAACAATGCGCGGAAATCCGACGATTTATTATAAACGTTCGCAGAAACTTACTTACGCATATAACCTAACAAAGCATAAATAAAATACGCATACAAAACCAACTTAAAATCTAAATTGAATATTATTTCATTATATGTGATTTAATGAAGTGTTTTGTTGGCATTTCTCAAATTGATTGCTTTCGAATTCGTGAAATTTAATCCCAGCGACAAGTTGCACATTCCGTATGCTGGAGCACGCGTCGCCATCGATCATAAACACATTGAATCGAAATGGCATCGCTTTAAATACGCATTAAACCGATTCAGGTGTGAGCGGCCGCCGCAAAGCATTGTTAGATTTTTATAAAGACATAAAACGGCCGTAAATCCGACTTAACACACTCAATTACAGCGAATTTCGGCGCTTGCGCACAGGTCAAGCACATCGGATGCGTATCCTTATTTCCATCATTACTAACTTACTAACTTACTACCACAGAAGTGATTTTCAGCGAATTGCGTGTGTGGTGTATTCATGTATTCATGGTAAATTATACCGTTTCATTGAATTAACCTATAAAAATCAATTTAATTGATGCTTGAAATTTGATACTTGTAGGAATTTGTATGTTTGGTTGCCTAATTAACGTTTTACTAGAAAAACTTTAAGATAAATGTTAAAAACGCGAAAGAAAATCTTAGTTTATGAAATGTATAAAAAGTTGCATACTTTATCACTATTACCATCACTTAATGAAGCTGCAAGTTAATATAACTTAATCTAACCTAAAAAATTCATTTAATTGCTACCCAAAAGTAGATTCCTATACAATTTTGTAAGTTTAGTTGCCTAATGCTTGTTTTTCCATAAAAAAATGCAGAAAAATGATAAAAACGCAAAAGAAAGTCCTGAAATATTCATGGCTCATGAAATGTATAAAAAGTTGCATACTTTATCGCTATTACCAGTACTAAACTAATACAAAAATGATTTTCATCAAATTATACAGTTTCATTGCATTTAACCTATAAAAATCAATTTAATGGCTGCTTAAAATTTGATACTTGTAGAAATTTGTATATTTGGTTGCCTAACGAGTGATTTAGAAGAAAAATTTGTAAAAAATGTGAAAAATGCAAAAGAAGAGCTTAGAATATTTTTTGAATAAGAAGTTGCATACATTAGCACTGTTATCATCATTTATTGAGGTTATAAGCTAATATAACTTAACCTAACCTAAGAAATTAATTTAATAGCTACCCAAAAGTAGATTCCTATGTAATTTTGTAAGTTTAGTTGCCTAATGTTTGTTTTTCCAGAAAAAAATGCAGAAAAATGATAAAAACACGAAAAAAAGCTCAAAAATATTCATTGCTTATGATATGTATAAGAAGTTGCATACTTTATCGCTATTACCATGATTTTCATCAAATTATACCGTTTCATTATATTTTATGCCAACAAAGTCACGGATCACTTAATTATGTTGTAAATCCAAGGATCGTGTGATGACCACTTCTTCGTACTGTTATTACTAATTAATTTGACTACCGCGCAACTGGGCCGGATCGCACAAACGCAATTGCAGCGTGAAATCCAGCGTCATGCATCGCAAACACAAAACACACTGTATATATACTCAAGTGCATTTAAAATCTAAAACAATTCAAATTGAATGTTACAGTAAACCGTTACTTAAACATATTACATGATATCATCTGTGGTAGAACAAGATCGCGTGCGCAAATGTACGGATTTCGGTTCAAGATGGCCGCCGGCGTAGCTGATTATACCAACCCAGATTTTCGGTGGATGGCAAAACAGATGTCGCCGGCGAATTAAGTGAATGGTGTGTGATTTTTAATAAGAAGACTCAGTGAGTATCAATTCCATGCATATGGTGAACAGCATAAAGTTTCTCTTCTTCGTCGGCCACCTGCTTCGACGCAGTGGAAGTGTAAACAAGAAAATGTTCTAAATGAACAGGTTTCGGAATTGATTGACTAATTGCAGCCTTGACACTGGGCCCAACTCTCACGACTATAACTCATCGTAGGAATGCGGGTAGGTTGTATTATATACCCGAAGTGGGTCATACCTTGAACCCGCAAAGAAAGTCAAGTCCAGGGTCAAGTCATGAAGATGCGCCTCGGTGTGGAATAATCGCTTCGACCCACATTGACTTAAGTCTGTTCGGCGTGTGCCCAATAGCAGGACGTACACACCAACGACCCGTGAGAAATCGTCGTCGTTGTGTCTTTTGTGTCTTGATAGGTGTTTTAAGCGCGATTAATTCATGCCTACTTGGTACGCCAGTTGAGTAATGTGTTGCTGAGTAATGACTTCCTACGCATTGTTTTTTTTTTTGCGGTTGAAAAGCTAATCAGAATAAGAAAGTATGGCAAAGTAGGAATTAATAAATCTAACGCGATGGTGGTTTTGGTAAAATTATTTATTCATTCTCATCGTGGCTTAGACATAGAGATAAATTATCAATTATTATTAAATAATAAATATATGTATAAATAAACGGGCCGCATTGACCGGAGCGGACGGAACTAGAGGCTCGCTGAGAATTGGCAGGTACGGGGACGGACTAGCCGATCACTTTATTGTTGAGTGTGTCCCCTGTAGGCGAGCTCCTGGGGATCAAAGGACCTGCCCCATCCGCCATGTCCAGAGGAACCGCCGCCATAACCACCGCTGGCATCACCGCCATAACCAGCACCTGCGCTGCTACCTCCAAAAGCCACCTCGTGGGATGAGGAATGCCCAGAGGAGTGTTGTGGGTGTGAGACCACTTCATAGGTCACGTGTTTTCCTTGCCCACCGAGGAGTTTCTTCAATCCGATGATAGCAGACAAGACCAGGGCGATTTTACCGATGAGCAGGGCTTTACCAGCGATGACAGCAATGGCAGCAAGAGCAAGTTTACCCAAAATGGCCATTTTCAAAGCAGCGGCAGCCATCAATGGTCCCAAAACCTTCTGGACCTTCTTTTTCTTTCCACGACCTTCCTCAGTAGCTGGATCTTCCTCTCCGAAAGAATCAACGACATCTCCGAATGAACGCGCTGTGCTGCTGACAGCGTTGACAATCTCAGATCCCTTCAGGTCAATCTTCACGGTGTGTGATTCCAGGAAGCGGGCAACACGTCCCATGATCAACGATTCAATGGAGTCATCAGCGTTGAGTGCACGTGGGGCACCTTCGGGCTCACCGCCTTCAGTCTTGACAATCTGCACGCCATCGGTGACAGTGATGGTATCCTTGTGTCCGAGCATCTTGTCCACAAAGGAGAACAGCTTGTATTTGACACAGGACATGCTGTCCTTACGCAGGCAGTCGGCGTAGATGCTGTCCAAGAGGTCATTCTCGGTGTGGATGGCGTTGCCGGTACCCCGGGCTTCCTCCTGGGCGGGCAATGCGCACGCTGCCGCCACAAGGCACAATAGTCCGACCACTTTGAACGATACCATAATGATGGTGATGTTGTGGTTGTTGTGGTGGTTGTTGTATTTTTTGGTGTGTGCGCTTTGCGAGCTGATCGAATTGTGTGTGATGCCGGTGCAGAGATGCGACTGGGATATATATGAGTCGCTCCCTTCTCCAACGCCGCGCGGCGCGCTCGTGGTGGCTTCGCACAATTTGGGTCCAGAGGAGACCATAATGACGGCCGCGGGGCGATCGCGCGCTCGGACCGCTTTCTCACATTGTGTGTACATCTTCAGACTACACCTCTGCCGACCTCATTTTTGCATCGGATCTTAACTGTGCGATATGTAGCAGAAAACGCATCGCACGCATCCAAAGAAATCAAAAATTTACTTCTGCATTAGGGCGCACTGCTCGACGACCGAGACCGCCGATTGTCAAACATGCGCCGAGTGTAATCAGCGTTACATGAGTGCACGACTAATTTGCTTTTCTTACTCAACATCCATGCACTTTATGCCACGTCATGCGTGGAACTTCCTTAAATTCCCGCATTTGTGTCATTGTCAATGCCATTGTTAACCTGCATTTTCTTACGAAGAACAAAATTGCACATTTGAACATTATTTAATTGCAATCATATTATTATTACTAATATTACTGTACTGATATTTGCACTTGTTACGTAAATAAATGGATAAAAACACGTTGAGCGCGACATCGAATGCGTGCGCATGCATGCCAATTAAGCAAGCTAATTAGCGTTTATTAGACTCGAAGAGATTATCTCAGATTAATTAATTCGTTACTGTGTAGCGCCGCGATCAGATTAAACCGTTCGGATGTAAATTAATAATCAAACATCAACAACATAATCAATATTTTAGTGTTAGACACGTGCCAAAATTAAAAAATTAAATTTTTAATTTTTTTTATTTATTTTTTAAAATAACCAGTAGTATCTTACTAAAAGTTTAATTAAAAGTAGAGATTTCTTCGGCGCGTGTAATTTTGATGTCCTCAGTTACTGTAAATTCAATTAATTAAAATCACGTTAAGATCTACCGCTAGTGCCATGACACACGTCCGCCATGTTTTTTGCATCTTCGAATGTAATGTAAATTTGTGCAGATATTTAGTGTGTTAGCAAACTATGTCAAAATAAGTCGAATGTCTATAAAAGTCAGCAGGATGTGAGATGTGCGATGAGTAGCGCTAACAACAATAGCCAATTCGTTAAACAATAATATTTTATTTCGTCTCGTGCGCCAATAAACTTTATTTAAGTGTCGACGCTGGATTTTTATTTTTAGAAATGCCAACGCACTAAAACTAATAAAAAAACGACGATGCATGTAAGCCGAATAACGGCCATAGAAGAATTTAGTTATAAAAATTGTCAAATCTCAATACATCCTTGGGTGTGTAGAGTGTAGTCGCGTCCAAAAAAAGTAAACGGCGTTATCTCGAAAAATTATTGCACGACTGGAAATCAAAAATGTCCCCGGAGCGCGCGCGCGCATGTATTTTTTGAGGTTGAATAAATTTGCATTAAATTGTTCCTCTTTTCTCTTCGGCGTCTGCGTCTCCCACGATTATAAATAATTTCTTCAGGTGGCTGCGATACGCACATTGGCGGCGGCGCGGCTTTTGATACACACCGATGAATAATAACACACCGCCGCTGCTGCACCGGCCGAAAACGACGACGACGTGAAAACGTATTAAGATCCGTTCTGACCTTAAATCGATGCACAAGCAGCTTTCACTAAAAAACGCACACACTGGCGGCCGTGCACTCGAAATTTCGTCTTAATTGCCGCCGGTCGCCGCGCGTCAAACGCGACCGCATTCATTCATAAATATAAGTTTCTATCAATGGGCGCGTAGAAAAATGCGATAGTTATAATAACGAAAGTTGCATGATGAAATTATTCGCGTCGGAATCGCGCCGCACGTCCGGTTACGGCGACGTTCGACGCGCTCGGAAATTAATTTCGCTCTTTTAATTATACACCCGGCGTGTCTCACTGTAATATATTTAATAGGCTGATTGCATTTTGCATCACGACATGTTAGATAACAATTTATATCTATTTACAATCAATATATGCTTGAAAATAGCAAATTTTATCAAAAGTGAGGTTATGTTGTGTATAACTTCAGAAAATTTAAGAATTTTTATAAATTTTTGATTATTTTATGTTTATTTGCATGAAAATTAATAAAATAAGTCAAAAAACCTTAGAAAAACACACAAAAAACAACTTTTTAACGAAAAAATAGTGTTTGATTGAGGTTATGTTGTTTTACATGGTTGCCATTGACATAAAACTGACATCTATGTACGAAAATATTACAACACTGCTTCCCAAACATTTTTTTACGTTCAATATCAAAATTTCAAACGTTTTTGATGCGTTTTTCTGTAAAACAAAAAAAATAAATTTTCAACTAAAAATACTTTTAGTGAGAGTTATTCAAGCAGTTTGAAATCTAATGATACTTGTCCCGATATTGATTTTCACGCTGAGCGACAAATCAAGCACTGAGACGCTTATCTCTCGAACGTTAAGTGGACACCGGTCACATATAAGACATTGAGGTGAAAACTCACGAGGAAAACGCATTAAATTAACGACGCCGATCCCAGAATAAAAGTAAGTTAGTGCTGCGATGATGCTCTGGGTGAGTAATTAAATCTAGTGCAGCAATTCTCAGACACACTACAAAGTGTTGCCAAGGTTAATTAAGCCGACATGAACGCGCGCGCGTTGCAAACAAAAACAATTAACAATTGGGACGTGGACGAGTACTCTTACCTCTCTCAACGCAACAAGAAACGCTTGATCACAATGTCCGAAATATTTTATGTGAAAGCATCAAGTTATGAACTTTTCCTTTGTTAATTGTGCGTCTGTATTTGTTCGCGCTTTTGTTTTCCGTCCCACGATTCACGCTTCTGATCGAACAAGAGAGAAGAAAAAATAAGTTTAGAACTTTTTTTGGGTCAACATGCAAAATGTTTTGTTGTCGAATTTTCGATCATGATGATGAATCATTGCTTGGTTGATAAATATTTATAAATACATCCACGACCGTTATAGGATCATAATAATCATGATCATCATTAGGTCCATGACAATGACAAGAATGCGCGAGGAATTTGAAGATGTTTATCTCTTGAATATTAATAATAATCTAATATGTGTCAGTAGGTATATAGCAGTAAATATAAACTTAAACTCAACTTGTCATAAAATTTATTTATTTATTTAATTACAAATGAAAAAAAATTTTTTTTCTTTAAATTTTTTTTTTTGAGAAAAAAAGTTTTTGATCATTAACAGCCATTTAAAAAGTTTCTGCATAAAAATTTACCTAACTTAGTCTAAACTTAGGTAACCTAAATTAATCTAACCTAACCTAAAAATTTAATTTTGACACATAACCAATATTCTAATACTTAATTGTACTTAAGTTAACTTAACTTAAATTAACATTAGTTGACTTAACTTAAGTTAACCTGACTTAACTAATAAATTTCAATTTTCTGCATGAAAATTTACCTAACTTAGTCTAAACTTACTTAACGTTACTTAACTTACTTTACGTTTACTAAAGTTTTTATAAAAAAAAGTTTTTGAACATTAAAAGCCATTTAAAAAGTCTCATCGCACATTCGGCATGGAATGTGTCTCTTGAAGATGTGTTTCGTCAACTCGCCGAGAGACATGTTCGCTCGTCGCCGAAGAATTCGCGCAATGTTAAGAAAAAGCGGGTCATTTATTAATCTTGCACGAAGACCTCAATTGCTCGCCGCGTCATTGATTTTCAACTTAAACTAAAAATAAATAAATTATTATATGTTGAGATAATGATTACTTTTCGCTCTCATTCACGAGACGCGAAATAAAGACGTCGTCTAAACCGCGATAAGCGTTTAACATGTCACCTCGCGACGCTGTAATGAGACGACCATTCACAATGAGTAATTGTTTTGGCGCAGGAAGCGATGCTCCCATTCACCTAAAACAAGGCGCAACAAACGAGCCAAAATTTAAGACCTAGACTCACAGAATTCTAACAAAACGTGCGACCTGTTGCATTCACACATCGAGTACACTCGGGAAATTTTATTTTATTTTATTTTATTTTACAGAATGTAAAACGTAAAATCAGTTAATTTCACACCTCTCAATTCGCTTCGTAATTATAATATTAAAGTTTCTTGCACGATTGAAATTATATTTGGAAAGTAATTTTGTTTCCGCGCAAACTTTCCTTTATTATTATATTATTCCTCGAATTTTTCGGAAGAAGATCATAAACCTATTAAAATTTTTCAAATCTTCAAAGTGAAGTGAACTTTCCAATAATTTCGACAATTAAATGCAAAAGCAAATTGATGATTTATTTTCAGATAATTTTGAGTCTGCGCGGTGCGTGGAAAATGCTTGCAAAGAAAGTAATATTGCGGATTCTGTCAAGGATGTGAAATTGACCTACAGTTTAGAAAAAATATAGGCGAATAGTGAAAACGCGTCTACATGGTCCTAACTTGAAGACGCAAAGACGACAGCCGCATCCAATTCATTTCTGTCGTCTTGTCGCACATTCATTTCGCTAACTCGTTTCGCCAATGGAAAACAAATGTCATCTGTGAAACGCACTAAATAAATACACCGCAAAAGTCAAACAAAACATTTTCATTCAATATCTAACCACAAAATTAAATATTGGTTATGGGTCAAAATAAATTTTTAGGTTAGGTTAGATTAAGTTAGATTAAGTAAGTTTAGACTAAGTTAGGTAAATTTTTATGCAGAAAATTGAAATTTATAAGTTAAGTCAGGTTATCTTAGGTTAAGTCAACTAATGTTAGGTTAAGTTAAGTTTAGTTAAGTAAAATTAAGTATTAGAATATTGGATATGTGTCAAAATTAAATTTTTAGGTTAGATTAGATTAAGTTAGGTTAAGTATGTTAAGACTAAGTTAGGTAAATTTTTATGCAGAAAATTGAAATTTAGAAGTTAAGACAGGTTAATTTAGCTTAAGTCAACTAATGTTAGATTGAGTTAAGTTAACTTAAGTAAAATTAAGTATTAGAAAATTGGTTATGTGTTAAAATTTAATTTTTAGGTTAAGTTAGATTAAGTTAGGTTAAGTATGTTAAGACTAAGTTAGGTAAATTTTTAGTCAGAAAATTGGAATTTATAAGTTAAGTCAGGTTAACTTAGATTAAGTCAACTAATGTTAGGTTAAGTTAAGTTAAATTAAGTAAAATTAAGTATTAGAATATTGGTTATGTGTCAAAATTAAAATTTTAGGTTGGGTTAGATTAAGTTAGGCTAAGTAAGTACGAGTACTAAGTTAGGTAAATTTTTATGCAGAAAATTGAAATATATAAGTTAAGTCAGGTTAACTTAGGTTAAGTCAACTAATGTTACCTTAAGTTAAGTTAAATTAAGTAAAACTAAGTATTAGAATATTGGTTTTGTGTCAAAATTTAATTTTTAGGTTAGGTTGGGTTAGATTAAGTTAGGTTAAGTAAGTTTAGACGAAGTTAGGTAAATTTTTATGTAGAAAATTGATATTTATTAGTTAAGTCAGGTTAACATAGGTTAAGTCAACTAATGTTAGGTTAAGTTATGGTAACTTAAGTAAAATTTAGTATTAGAATATTCTTCATGCGTCAAAACTTGAAATTTATTGGTAATATTACAAAATAAGAAAATCACAAAATCGAAAGTTGTTAATTTCTATCCTCTGACGATAACTATGACGAGCTTGAAATGATTATAACGTCCATAGAAGATCTACATAGATGCGGCGGTTAAAAGTAAGCGTAAATCAGAAAACGCGCGAAAAGAATTCGTCCGGAGAAAGAACCGCGCGCGCGCGAATTGAGAGCAAACGAACGCGGAAACGGTCTCGGTCTCGGTCAGTCTGGTCTGGTAAATCTAACCACAGAGCGGTCAGAATAATATCGGACGGCCCGAACAAAATGAAACTAGAAAATAAAAGTTCCAATTATATAAGGTATTACAAAAAACGGCGCACGATCTTTTCTAGTTCATTTCGTTTTCAAATTATGGGATATTTAACGCGAATTACGACACCCAGAGAGCACAGGCATTAAAAACCCAAGACGAAGCAGTTGTAAACTTTTTATGTGCAAACACTTTTTTACAACCAGAAGATGTTTAGACGTTTAGTGGCTGAATGTACTTGAACTTGAACTCGTTGAGTACGCTTCAAGTGCGTGCTTCAGATGGAATGTCGGATAAAAAAACATGAACGAGCTTATAATTGAAGCCGAAATTGTCACAATCTGCAGACTCATGATGACTACTAGATGACAAGTGTGGTTAGGTTCTAACGGTATAAAAATTTCATCAAAATAATTTTTCTTGCTTTTTTTTGTTTAATAAAACATAAATTTTACACTTTCCACTCTTTTCTTACACTTTTTCTTCTTTTTACGTGATGTAATATAATTACATTTGTTTATACACGTTTTGCGGTATATTTAAACAATAAGCAATTTGGGTATTCAACTGAAACTGCAAACATCAATATTTGTTTCCCGTGCAGTGTGTTTGAGGTGAACTGATTACATATGCAACACAAATACTCACTTTACATCAACCACGCGCCGCCATTTTGAGTTCAATTAGGTATTGTGTACTTGCTCACTTTTGAACAAATAAATTTCGTTTTCATTGCATGTTTACCGCGTTTATTAAAACGTATATTATGATAAATACGCTGAAAATATTAAAACCCAGGTCAGTAATACTCTAACACTGATAAATTACTCACACAAAACTTTTTAACCTAAAAATAAGTTCGCGATAGAAAATATAGCTTCACAGAATAAAATCAATGTTGAGATGAAAAAATACACGAAAAAACCGTTAATTTAATGATGCAATGATGGAATATTGTTGAATTTACATAGAAACACCGTTCGGTTTCGAAAAATAACTTTGTCATGACTGAATTGTCTACTAATTGACCCCAAAAGTCCCAACTTATTTCGACACACACTCGAAGCGTGCCCAAAATCAATAAAATACAATGTCATGGCATAAACAAGACATAAAAATAAACAACTTCCTCAATTTTTAAACATTTATTCCATGATTTATAAATTTTAAATAATCCGTGTTATTTTCTTCATTTTTATAACTTAAGTCAATGTTTAAGTCAATATTTAAGTAAAGTAGTAAATTTTGATGCCTCCAGCGCCCTCTACCGGCGCATGTCTGAAACATAAGAGAAACTCCTGGTTTGTCTACGTGGAGATGTCAAGGTTGGAGAAGAAGAACCACTAGTAGTAGTAGGTGAAGAAGAGGTCGCCTTAGAGTCGGAGAAACTAGGTCTGTGGGTCTTCCGCATATCCTTATATAGCCAGCGTGCGCATATGCCGCGCGGCAGAAACGCTTTGTCCGCCGTCGAGGCCATACGCCGCTCTGAGTTTTCTCCAAAATGTTGTCTGCTGGTCTTCACACACAACTCTTTGATTTCTCTTTTTTTCCCTTCCCTGGGTGGTCTTTCATTACTTTTACGAGTTTTAATATCCCTTGCACTGAACTGACACAGAACTGAATTTAAACTATTTGATGGTAATCACTATGGACACTGGTTGCGGGTTGATAGGGATCTCTTCGAAATGTGTGTAATCCATGAAGAATTTCTTACGGCTTGTTTTGTGGTGTGAGGCATGGTGGCCGGATTTCTTCACGGGCGACGTGACCTGGTTCTGTTTAACACTTTCTTGCTTTCTCCCACCTTGCCATCCGGTTCGCCATCCGCGCCTCCATCGCCATGGGCGCCGGTCGGCTTTCTCACCGGTCGTTCCACTCTCCGTGTGGTGCGTGTCCCCACATTCTATCCAGCAGCGATCTCGAGGCCATGGTCATCTCGACTTCCTCATACCGTAGAACCAGTCTCTCGTGAACTGGGTCAGTGTATTTCTAGGTAATGAACCTGAACTCACCGCGTGGCTTTCTCATTTCTTATTAATCGGAATGATGGAAGGCGTTGCTCGTCGATGGATTTTTTTTTTCTTCTCTCGAAGATACAAACCGTTCTCTTCTCTCCTGTGGACCGTTGATCCCTGGCTCATATTTTATATTCATTAAATGACCTGCTCGACAAACAAACAGAGAACATGGTGTAAAAAATAAACGAATGACACTCGCGAGTGTCACGAATGTTTTTTTTTGGTATTTACATCATTTTATTATTCAAAAAATAGAAAAAAACATATAAGAATTAAGTTTTACAATTTATAATGATCTGAAGAGTTCAAATAAACAATTACAACACAAGAGAGTTTCTTTTTTTCGAAGGGAGATCTCGGCGAAGGGACGCGCTGAATTGGAAAATAATTTACGTAATAAATATTAAATAAATAAATATTGGTTAAAAAATCTTCTCTGAAATTGGTTGATGGATTGGTAATTCCTAGATTTAGCTAGATTGGTATTCCCTCCAGGCTTGGTAGGCCATATCAAGGGCTTCCCTCTTCCTCCTGTGGTGGTCATGACCATGGGAGGCATGAATAACAGTATGACCGCCATCATCGTGATCATGGGAGACGAGTTTCTTCAAACCAATGATCATAGACAACATGAGGGCTAAAGCGGATACCATCAGGGCTTTCATGGCCAAAAGACCCACACCTCCAAGACCCAAAGCAGCCATCATCTTTCCCATCATCAGACCCAGGATCATGATTCCTCCAAGACCATTCTTGTCCTTGCCTCTTGGTGTTCCTAAAAGTTAAATGCAAATTGGTTAATATACCATCAATTAAAAGTGACTTAAGTTAAGTTAAGTAGTTGATAACTGCTGCCATCTACTTTAAAACTAAAGAAATGGTTGGAGTGAAGATGAGTCAGTAAAAGAAGGTCAAACTTCTTTTTCTTCTTAACCGACGCTATGGATGCGTGTAAAGTTGGTTGCCTATAGTGAATGTGTATTGGAGAAGTGGTGGGACATCGACATGGTTAGGTAGGCGTGAAGAGTAGTTAAGTGCTGTTGAGTGGTTTTAAGTGTTGCTTCTGTTAGAATGTAACAAACGGGTTTGTTGATTTGAATCGATGCCCGTCAACAATTTACGTCTAATTAATAATCCGTTAGCGGGATTAATACAGTTTTTTTAATAGCGGAAAAGCAGATGTCGTTAAATCTGTTATGTAGAGCATATTTGACCATAGGTTAATGATCTGGGTGTGGATATGATGAGGATCTTACCAGGAGAGTTAGCATCTAATCCTTGCATGGCATCCTTGAAAGACCTAGCGAAACCTTCGCCTGGCATGAGTTCTGGCAACTTGATGCGAACCTCATGGGTCTGGAGGTAGTTCTCAACAGCTCCCAACACGCTGCCATCATCAGTATTGGCCCTAGCGTCATTCTCGCTCTTGGTGCTGATCAGATGGACACCATCGCCGAGCTTGTAGTCCTCCGGCTGAGAATTGAGGTATTGCCGCACAACCTTGCCAAGAATTTGGAAGCCGTGCGAGAAGTCAGTACCCTCGGTGGAGGCGCTGGCCGTCGCGACGATAGCGACGAACGCGGCGAGCACTAGGAATTTGCACATCTTGTGGAGACTGTTATCGAGCGACTCGACGTTGATTACACGATCGCTGGTTGTCGAATGTGCTTCTGCAGACCGGCGCTACCCCCTTTTATATTTCGTCTGCGCTTCGAAAATAACTATCGCTGAATCTATTAAAGCAGATTAATGGAGCACATCTCTGAAAAAATTATATTACAAATGCGCTCGGCGATCGGCGGCCGGCCGGGGACGACCTCATTGCTTACGCGCGAACGACAAAAGAATCATTTTTGCTCGCCACACACAAACACCAACCTGAGCACACCTATCGGAAGTCGCGGATGACGGCAATGGTAATGGTGCGCTGGTATTTCAAAATCTCATGCCTTTTTTTTTCGTTGGTGTGTTTCGTGTCTGTATACAGGACGCACACGCGCGCAAACGCTCGCGTTCGATTGTAAAACTGGAACAAGTTACGGTCAGCAGAAAGAGGACTTTAATAATCTATTAGGCTGCAAATTGAGACGAGCGGCAACGCCTTTCATAGTGAACAAGTCTAATTATTATCAGACATCCGCTAAGATTCGAGCGGCTGGACGCCGTCGCGCAGAATGCGAAAGAGGAGCAAGTGCGCGCGGCCAGTAGGAACGGATTGCGCGGAGAATCCGTTCACTCGTCAAAAGGCCCGCCCGACTATTTGCAGTGGGGTGAAATTTTCATAAAATTCATATTCAGTTCTCATCTAGAAGTGACGACGTGCTCAACTACCAGCCAACAAACACTCCCAGTGTGCATCTATTCCAATCCAACGAAAAACAATCAAACAATCAGTGAAAACTGCATTCAAGATCAAGATCAAGACGTTCAGCAGGTGCAATGGCATCGAAGGTCGTTGTGTAACTTTAGCGCACGCTTGAAAGTTAAGTAATAACAACACAATAGGTAAATTAATAAAGCATTTACTATTTTACTATAATTTATTCATTTTTTACTTTTTTACTACCAAATATTTACTTATTTAGAAAATAGGTGTGGTTTTTGCTTTCTCTATAATAACAATTGTTAAATTATTCCTATAACTAATAAAATATTAAACCAACCAATTTTTTTTTCTTTAACCTTGAATTGTGAAGAGTTACGCGGATAAAATTGCACGTTTCGAGTAAAAACAGTAAAAACAGTAAAAACGAAAACCGCGACAGGGAAAAAAGCGTAGAAAGTCAAAGGAATTGTGGTCATTTTAGTCATAAATGAGCAAACAAAGAACACGCAGTAAAAGTAACAAGTCCTACATTGAATTACAAAATTCTCACAAGAAAAACACAAAATAACCAAAATTTATTCATTGCTATTCTTATAACATGCTTTCTTTTCATGTTTTCTCGTTTTTTAATATTTTCGGTGTTTTAATTGTAGATCATGACGATGACGCTTGAACTTGACACGCGTGTATCCATCCAAAATTCGGCCGCGTTGATCTACAAACCGATGTGGAAAGAGAGCCGCGACATCGCTCTTCCGGTGCTCTAGAAATGTAGCAATTTGTTTATTAGAGACGAAATTAAACGCGCGTTGAAATAGATCAGCCGGACGATCATTAAAAAAGCGACCTCGGTAAGCGTAATAATAATAAAACTGGTTAAGAGCGGCGCGCCGCGTAAGTGATAATGATTTTTCGACCAGAATCGCTTTCGGCGCTCGAAGCGTTGCCGCGAAGAAATTCAAAAACCGCTTTAGTTTTTTATTTTAAATTTTATTTCATGATGCGAATAGATCACTTTACTCTTTACGACCAGCGAGTAAAACTCAACCGCAAAGTAAGTAAATTTCTCATTTTGTTTAATTTCTATGTATTAACTTGTTTGTGTTGAAGATTAAGCGGTAAAAGTGAAAGATTTACACCGTACGCGCACTTATTTTGACAATTTTACATGTAAACATTACAAACGCGTGCATAAATTAGCGCTAAGTACACACTTAACACATTTACGTGCAATTACGCGCATGCGCGTTTTACTTGCTTTGTTTCTTTGTTTGTTTTCACTCGTGTAGTGCAGAGATTCTTCAATCTTCATTAACAACGATGTCCGGATTGGACTTGTATGCATATATGGATATGGAGCGATGGTATTATGACCATTTACATATTTTCCACGCGATGGATGGCGAATTTCATTTATTCATCAACAAGTCGATGCGCTTGGTGAATAAAAAATTAACGCGCCAATTAAATCTTATAAACCCGTACGTGTCTTAATCATGCTCCGATTCGTTCGGAGATTTCATGTGATTTTTCACAAATTAATAAATTATGCTCTAATTAAATTTATTGTGAGTTAAACATTGTGAATATTTGTATAAGTAAGTAGTTCATGTGGATTTGATATAGATTTAAGAGTTTACGGTGAGTTTGATGTATAATAAAACGAATGTGTCCATCATTTCACCTTTGGAATTGTGTCTCACGTATTTGCGGTCGATTGCATTAGACGCTTTGGTGACTTCCGAATCGGTTCCGCTACTCGCCATCACGCATTCATTTCGCCGGTCGGCTACATTCTATTCTGTCAATAAGTTGAGCGAATTATCGTCAGCTGAAAACGAGGTTTTCAATTACAATCGCTGCTTCGAGCTTCTATTCTACATTTCATCTACGAGTACATTAAATTACAATATCCACAATTTACGCCAATATAACCTAATATTCTTTGTAAATCATAAAAATAAAAATATGAATAAATCGTATTTCCTGTTTAAAATTGTTTCATTTAATTTTTTTCGATAATTTTCAGGAGAATTTGAATCTGGGTCAATTTATACTTGCGTCATACACAGTTTAATGTTGATATTTCCTTGTATTCTAGGCTTTTTTCTCATGAATTTGACTCCCGATTAAAATCGGTTACAGTTAGAGATTTCCTGTCCATCGCTACAGGTCAGTATCGATTTTATTAATTGAGTTTAATTGAATTTATGACCATCTTCTTTGAAAATTAAATTAATCTTTATTTCACATTCTCCAGACAAAAATCTTTTGATTAGATATTAACTGCGCCTGCTTAAAATATTTTAATTTATTTAAATGAATAAAATTGAATGAATCCATTCGAAACCTATTAGATTTAATTTACTCGCAGAGAGGCATCGTTAAGATTTATGTTAATTAAACATTCGCATATTTGTGCACGCCTACAATTAATTGGTTTCCAATTATTAATTCGGGCAGCGTTATAAACTGTTTCGGTTTTTTTCTAAGCCGTGGGAATGTGGTTCAAGATGTGTCCAGGAATGTCCAGATGTCTTCGAAACTAGAACAGTTTGGTGATTATTGATTACTTAAAAGACCATCTGACGATGAGGAAGTAAATAATTTATTGTATTTATTAAAATGTTAATAATATTAATTTTTAATAAAGATAAACAATAACCTAAGTTATATTAAATTGTATTTTTTTATTTTTAAATTTTCAGGTTGTTTATTATTGTTATTGTAATATTCTTGACCTTGCCTACTTCAGAACACAATCGTTGACTCAGAGATTTGCATTAAGTGAAAAGATCTATAACAATAGCGAGACTTAAGCCAGACCGATGGATGTGGGAACTTAAGTTACATCATATGAATAAATAGAATAAACAAAAACCTGTTCACGCCTCTTTATATTTGAATAATTTTATTTTGAAGTTTATAACTTATAAAGAACAATATTTACTTAATTATTAAGACTTTGAAATGTAAAGAAACACTCGGTGTAAAACGCAGTTTATAAAAATTATTTTTTTCTTTTTTTTCTTTTTTTGCAGTTTGCTATTATTTTTTATTTGTATTTTTTCTGCGCTTTGGCACTAGATGGCTGTTGCTTTACAAAACTTTACACTCGGTTAACTAAGTAATTAAAATCATTACCCAGAAAAAAATAAAATAAAAACATTTACTTATTCATAAATTCACAGAAAAAAAACATTTTTCTTAATATTTTACTGTAAAATTAAATAAAACACCGAAAAAAAAATTTTTTTCTTTTAAAAAAATACCAAAAACTCAAAAATAAATTTTCCTAGCGATTTCCGCACGTAAAACACTAAATAAACAAGTTCATCAAGTGCAAAAAGCGTGTCTGTTGGAGAAGGTACCATCGAGAATGCGTGTATACGTATTTCTAAACCAGCCGTACTTTGCCGCATGGCTTACCACCAGCTAAAAGAGAGTATTACTAAACCGACTTAAGTCAATACGAGCGGAGCGCACCATGAACACTTTCAAGAGCAGCATGCTTACAGTTGTATCACCACGATCTAAACTCTACCACACTACACTACACTACCTGTATGCGATTGATCAAATGAATAAAGCTGTGGCCATTCACCTGATACACACCTTTAACATGGACAAGTGTGACACTGTCACAGAATGCACCATTAGAACGTCGTATAATTTAAGTGTCATTTCATTAAATTTATTAAAACATTATTACAATTTATTGTAGATAAACGATGAAAACTTGTTCTGTATTAAAAGTAATTTAATTTAATTTAATTTAATTAAGATATTTCTTGTTTTAATGCAATAAGTATGTGGTGAAATAAAAATTCGCTTTCATCGACTTGACAATCTAAGTAAAAGCAATCGCCAGCCATGTTTGATCTCAAATCAAACGCTTTTCAAACCGGATGCGAATCCGGATACACTTTTCTTGCAGATTTACCTTTCATCGACAAAGATATAAACATAAAATCAATAGAATATCACCAATTACATTAAGAAATTGTAACTTTTTTAATATTTATGTATAAATTTTGTTTTACTTATTTTTGCTTAATACAAATTCACTGGTATGCATCACATGCAAGTGTAACACACAATTAAATCCATTCGACGTGGAGCGAGGTGTGTTCACGCCGCGACGGTCGGTTTCTGGCATTCTGGCATTGGAAAAGAGAAGAAAAAATAGACCAGTAGGCCGTCGTACACGGATAATTGGTGCAGCTTAGCGTGCGTTTACTTAACACACCAACATGCGAGAAAATCCGCCATAAAATACATTTTACTATTTTGTATTTATTTAATGAGTAATAGTAGAAATTAAAGCTACGCCAAAAGATAATTATTTCCAGGTAATTAACTTAGGTATTTTATTTACCAACATGCGGATTTAAAGTGGTTTTCTACGCCAAAATTAACAAAAAATTTAAAGTTTGTAACATTTCTAGTTTTTAGACGAATTATTTATGTGTTTCTGTGTTGATTCGTGGAAGTTTTGCAGTTACATTTGCTATGCGTTCATAGCATAAATAAATAATTTCAGATTCAACATGAACTAAACTCAACGAAACGGTAGTTTCCAGAATGTACTGAGAATATTGACTTAGTCTAGGGATCTAATTAATTCTCATTGAAGTTTATTTGGGCGAAATGATAAGAAAATACCAACAGATTGTGAATAACATTGCAGATATTTTATCTTAATTAAAAATATATTAAAGAAGGTTATTTCACATTTTTCTGTCGATATTCACGACACTTATCGGAATTAGTTTTTGGCATAGACTACTTGAAGATCTTTATTTTAGTATATTTAGCAAATATTAGGAATTTCAATTTGAAGCACTTTTAATATTTTTTACCCTTTTACCCAAAGATGTTTAATTCTTTTATATTCTAATCTAATAGAGAATTTTTCAATCTTTAATAATCTGCAATTTGTTGGTTTATAGCGCTTTTAGTTTAGAAGATATTCATTATCAAAAACGCCGAAAAAAAATTATCCTCTTGCCCATTTTTTCTTAGGAAATAAAATTTTATTTCTTAGTTTGCCAATTTACTAGCTTATTTGATAGAGAATTGTCCGTAGATTAAGACGCTGAGATTTGTACCTTTCTATCTCTTTTAATTTACGAGATATTCGCAATTGAAAAAAGTCAAAATTTGAAAAAGTCAATTTTGGCATTTTTAATCACATTTTTCGACTTTTTACTCAAAGATATGTAATTATTTTATATCTTTGTCTAATAGAGAATTTTCCCATTTTTCATAATCTGCAATTTGTTGAATTCTAGCGCTTTTAGTTTAGAAGATATTCACTATCAAAAAACGCCAAAAAAATGAACTAACAATTAACTTACATTTTACAAGAAGAGGTAGAAAAACTTATCAAAAATTCTTATTAAAATTTTATTTCAACAAATTCATCAAAATTTCTCTATATGTTTCTTAAAACAACACCACAATAGAAGAAATAAGAGAAATATTTTTTATAAATTTTTACTAAATGCAAACAAAATGGTTAACAGATTAAATTCTCCTTTGTAATTAATTTAGTTAGTATATACTAATTAATGAAGTAAAATGCGTGAACGTGTTTACATCATATAGTATTAGAGGAGAGCATGTTTGTGTATGAATCTTTCAACGGTATTTCCAAACGTAAAAACAAGCACCGGAGGAGCAGAAGAGGCAAGGCCGCGCGGAAAGGTGGAGGCCGCGAGCAGCGGATTGCTTTTTACACTACGTATAAGTATATATATGAATGTGTGTGTTCATTAATTGATGATGCAATTGCTTTGATTTTCTTTCTGGAGCAAACTCGAATGATTATTTTAGATTAGACGGAATTTATCACGCATGGATCATTTATTGAGTAATGTTTTTAAGAAGTATAATTTTCTGTTATACTTAATTCTTATGTATGTCATTATTACTAATTGAATTGTGGCTTTACTAAGAAAATGTAGAAAAAAGTAGAAAAAATATACTGTTAATTATAAATTGGCAGAAATAAATTGATTGAACATGTTTTATTTTTGTTATAATTTGAAATTCATTAACAACTTATTGACACAAATTCCATTTTAATTTGGTTTTGTATTGTATTAATTTATTAAAAGCACATCATTACCTATTAGAGTTAGAATTAAGTTATTAATTTAATCCAACAGCAAAATTGTGGGTGCGATAATTAAACATTACAACAGTAGCAATTAATGAATTAAATCCGAAACTTTCACAGGTGCAAACCAGTCGAAACGAGTAGGCGCGAAATTAAATCGTCAAATTTAGTCGAAAATCAAAATGGCGGTGAAAGCTAACATATTCGTTCTTAATGTTCCATTAAATTCATTATTAAAATCCTGCTCCAAATTGAAATAAACTCAGTAATTAATTGAAAGTTATTTAAAAACATGTAGAAATGGCCTAGATCTACAAATGCAGGAAAATATTAAAAATTATTGTAAAATTATTGGGTTTTTGTTAAAAAAGGATTTTTAAATAATTAAATTATATTATAAATAAAATCCTTGGGTAAATTTTACTAAAAACCTTAAAAGAAATATTTTCTAGTTTTTCAATTTTTTGAAAACTAGGTTTGGGAAACGCCTTGTATCTTTTTAACCAATGGATGGATTTTAAATTTTTAAACGTTAAATGATAGATAAAGAAACCCTCTATAATATTGTATTTTTTTTATCCGATAAATCTGAAGAGATTGGCATTAATTGTCCTTGAAAATCATCAAAAATTCAAAAAATCAAAACCTCAACATTTTTCAGCAAGTTTTAATTTAAAATTTGGCATAGAAAACACCTTCTATATTCAAAAATTAAAATGATAATCAAAACTAAAATAATTCTACCTAATGTTCCATTAAATAAATCATTAAAATCCTGCTCCAAATTAACCTAAACTCAATAATTAATTGAAAGTTATTTAAAAACATGTAAAAATGTCCTAGATCTCCAAATCCTAAAAAAATATTGTGAAAATATTGCGTTTTCATCACGCAAGCATTTTCTTTTTCAACAACAACCAAGGAAACAATTAGACCCATCGACGCGACGCGAGCGTAATCAGCGCATAATCACACAAGCACGAAATCGTAGAAAATTCCGGTCAGTGATAGAAAAACCAAACCGCACACACAAACAAATTAAATCGCATAGCATTGTAAACCAAAGTGTGTATTTGTTCGTTAGCCAATTGCGTTCGCTTAACTCACTAAAGTGTTACTTACATGCGCGGTGCGCAAGTGTGGTTAAGCCAAGCTTAAATCTAATAATAAATAATATGGATGAGGCACACGCGCAGACATGCAAACGCGTCAGGGTTGGTTACCAAGCGGAAAACATATAAGCGTGTGCCGTTTGTGGTCGTCGATCATTGTTCGAAATGCCTCAAATCGGTTCACTACTCGCCATCGTCTTCAGCAGTGCGGTGCTATCATGTGCGTGCGCGGAACCACTTGGTATAATCAAGGACCTGCGAGGACGCGGGTTGGACGTAGGCGCGGGATTATCAGTGCATTTGGATACGATTGATGCGCCGCCAAATGCGTCCATCTTGGAACGTCATGCGTTGAGGTTTGACTACAATGGCGTCGGGGTGAGGTTCCGGATTGATGGTGAAGAAGACGCATATAAAGTTGGATTATACTATGGGGAAGGTAAGATGGGAGTATTACAATGTTTGGTTTTAATATATATTTAAATTTATTATTTTCAGGTCGTGAGACAAAAAGAAAGAAATAAGTGAGATGATTATTCCGGCGTTGTTGGGATACAAAACCTCGGCATTGATAATAATGTCCTTGTTTGGTGTTGGTATTGTTGTATTGAAGTCTTTGTTAGTTGCAAAAACCGCTATGGTCATCGCAGCGGCTTTCTGGGCGAAACGATTCTTCGGAGGCGGTGAATCTGGAGGATCTGGGGATATCAGGATCACTATCATCATTCATCTGAACTACATCCGGTTTATGCTGAATATCCTGGTGATATTTCTGAATTAGGTCAGTGATTAATTATTATTTAAAAAATTTATTAAAAATTATTAAAAATTTGGTTTTTGAAGTTATAATTAATAGTATTTTAAGTTTCAAGTGGATAAACAGTAGTTTTTGTCACCCCGTGACTAAAACCCGTGACTAAAGTACTTTAATCACGGTTTTAGTCACGGCCGTGGTTAATGTTTCACTTTTTGTACCTAAAAATCATGAAAAATCAATCATTTAAAGATAAAAATAGAAAAAACTTAATAATTTTTGATTAAAATATATTTTTAGGTTATGCTCAAACTGCATCAGGTAATTACATCGCCTACGCCGCCCCCCAGCAGGACGTCACAGGAAACATCGAAGACGCCGCAGCGGGAGTCGCCGGCGCGGCCACATCACAACAGTACACTTACGTGGAGGCGCCGGCGGGAGTCGCGGGGGCGGCGGGGGCAGTTAACGCCACTTCACAGCGACGGCGCGCGTCGGTGATAAGTAGGCCGCAAGCAATCCACACATTCATAACGGTGAAGAGGAAAAGTGTTTTGCATTCACGCGCTATGCAATAGAGATTAGGGACGCAATTCGATTGCAATTCATCACGGCGAGTAACAAAAAGTAAATTATTGAGAATGATGGATTGGCAGTAATGGGATTTAGATCCGCGACAGTTAACAGTTTTTATTTAGGATTTATTTAGAATTTTAGATAGAATTGACTTAATTTTTGCTCAAATTTTTACTATTAACTTATTAACTTATTTATTTATTTATTTATTTATTATGTGTATATAAAATTTAAGTGTTCGTTAATTATTAATTATTACTAAAACTAACAAAAAATTCTCCTACTTAAATTATTAATTTATTTTTATTATTTATTTATATATATTTATTGAAACTAATGTACATATTAAATTCTTGTTCTGAATTTGGCATTCATTCATAATTCATAATTTTTATGATATAGTTTTATATTCAGAACTGGATCACGTTAAATTTTAATAATTTATGGCTTTGAATTTAATGTTTTTTGCTAAAAAAGTGTTTGTTAATTAATTAATTAGTGAAATAATTAAATTACATTGCAAATAAATTGATGATTTATCTATTTCTTCAAAAATTTTAAATTTTCTCTTATTTTTTGAAAATTAAGAAGCAATTTTGCTATTTTTGGTAATTTTTTAGTAATATTTAAAACTTGAAACCTTTTTTTTTTGTGCGGGTTAGTTTCATCCTTTAAACCCTGTTCAGATCCTTAAAATATAAATAATTGCTTGTTCTTCAAGTTTGTAAAACTAGATATCCTGTATTTCTTCTTCTAATATAGCAATTTGTCGTTTTATGTTAACTAATAAATATCCTGAGTTTGATGGCCATTTTAAGGTGTTTCCTAAAAGTTTAAAGGATTAAAAAAATACGCATGTTTTTAAGTATCTTTTTACTTACCTAATGACGCTGAGTAACTTTAAATTTCTCTAATGATACAAAAGATATAAATAAAAATATAAATATAAATTTCTACGATTACTTCTGGACACAAGCAAAATTTTATACTTTCTGTTAGTTTAGAAGGATAAAAAGGCACTCATTTATCCTTAAAAAGTGCTATTATCAATATCTTTACCCTAAATAACCCTAATTTTAAACTGTTATACAAATATCTACAAGATACAGGGTGTATTGATATAATATGCAAACTAAAACATTATTTTAGTCGATTTTATCCTGAATCATCTTTTTCTATATCTATTTTAAATTTTTCTGATTTTTAAGTAATTTAAAAAGAATGAAACTACTTTGTAATTTTATGTAACAATGATTCATCAATTTTTTATTAACAAAAAAATAATAATAGACAGAAAAACAAATATACAAGACGATCGATTACACATGAAAACAAAATCGGGTGAAAAATAACATCTCAATAAATTAATAAATATTAAATAATAAAGTGCGCCCGTCGTGCGCACAGAAAGCGCCCGAGTTCGCACTGCATTAACTTAATTTGTCAAATTTAATGCGTTTGAACTTGCTCATAAGGGGTTGTACGCTACACGCCATCTCTTCACCTCTTAAACCTTCGGGATATGCGCGCGGTATGGGTGCGTATTGGTAGCGGTCTCATAGTTCCTGCCCCATCCACCGCCTCCACCATAGGAGTCATGTCCTCCAGAGCTCGAATGCTCATGATGGGTTTCATGATGTGGATGGGCAACAACCTCATAAGTCACATGCTTCTCTTGTGAGAAGAGTTTCTTCAGACCAATTACAGCAGCTAATACCAAAGCCAACTAAAAATAAAATAAATTAAAAATTTGATTTTTTTTTAATAAAAATAGAATTAATTTATACCTTGCTGACAAGCAGGGCCTTTCCTACAAGCAGGACTAGAGCTTTAAACGCGAGAGCCTTGAGTAACCCGATCTTGAGGGCGGCGGCAGCCATCAGCGCCTGCATACCTTGATCCTTCTTCTTCCTCGCATCGCCATTGGTCGAAGGCGTCGGACGCAATGAGAACGCAATACTCATGCCTTCATCTTGATCGCTCTTTCCGCTCACGACAACTTCCGCCTCATCAGTCGCCTAAAAACACATCGATAATAATCATTACGAATTAAGGTTAACTATTCAATCGTTTAGGCGTAATTATCTCGATAAATTACGTCAACTTTTGTTTATGCTGATTAGGTAATTACCTTCCACTTTAATGACCTAGTACGAAGGAAGCTCATCGCTTTGTCGGCCAGCACGGTGGTCAGCTGGGCTTCCTCGGACATCTTCTCGACCTCCTCAAGACTACGCGCATTGTTCACACTGACTGATTCGGTTGTTGTTTGTGTTATCTCGAAATCACCGACTTCGATTTGGGATTTTTTCAGGAGGCGGTTGAAATATGTTACCAGCTTGAGCATCATGCATGAGCTCACGTCCCGGTTGGAGCATTTGCTGTTTAGTTTCTTTAGGAGCGCCTCCTCCACTGTGGTGTGCTCATTCACATGAACCTGTAAATTCGCAAATCAATAGATTAGCATAACGCATAACAAATGGTAAAATTACAGATAGAAAATAGAATTGGGACATAGAAGAATAAAAACCGCAATGTGAGCTTTGAGATAAAATTTTTAGATGAATGCGATTATTTTTTTGCATGTGGTTTGCTCCGATGCGCGGTATAACAAAGTGTGACGAAGAGATAAATTAAATTTAATATCATAATGAAGTGTTACGGTACTTAATTATGTTCTGGGTTTATGATTCTTTATAAAATCACTTTAATTATATTAAGTAATTTTTTTTCGTAAAAAATTTTTTAGAAAAAAACTTTTGTTTTTCGTTTTCTTGACACTTTCGTTGAATAAGTAAACGTTTTCTTTACATATTTACAAAGCGACAGGCGCGTGACTTCACATCTCACTTAAATTTCCAACTCATGTGTGTTTTATTGGTATTGACACAGCGAAAAGAAAAGAAAAGTTTTTATCAAGTAGCCGAAAATTTAAATATCGATTTGAATAAACTTAAACTCACCGAATTCAAATTTGGCGTTTCGTCAACGGCAGGTCCGGCCATCGCAACGGCAACGAAACATAGCGCCACAACACAAAGCACTCTTGAGTTCATCGTATCGAAATAATTCACACTTTGAAGTAAAAATAATTTAATCTAATAAATTTCTTAATTCGTCTTTGACTATATAATCACTATCTGGTGTTCTCAGAAGAGCAGTAAGCTCATGTCGGAGGTTGCGAAACGAATGGCCCAACCGTCCCGCCGGCCTACGATTTTATATCCTCTGATGTGGAGTTGCAATGTGTGTCGGTTGGACCAGTTAAATGCAAGAATTAGGGTTACGGTTTCTTCGTTTCCCATACGCTTCTTCTCCGCGGCGTGTACGGCCGCGCGAGACTTTACTTGCACATGGTATTCGCGGCCTGTGCGTGTTGTCTTCACTCTTCAAGGCGATATTGGCGGATTGGGGCTTCTTGGATCGTCTTCATTTCAATTCGCCGCATTGCACGATTCGATCACGTTCACCGCATCAACACAAATTCTCAAAACAAAAAAAATACTTTAGGCACGTAGAAAAATACATAAACATAAAAATCTTACCGTAATTTTGGCATCATGATAAATTACATCTAATTATCGAATTAATTGTTTTGCGAGGAAAGATGTGCTTGTTTTCAGAGCGGAAACAAACAAATTTCATAAAAAGAAAAAAACATTACGTACATCCTTTTTTGTTGATGTTGATGATCCGGTCTCTGCGATTTTCTAATAAACTGGAACTATACTGTCCTCAAAAACACAAAACCGTCTGCATCCATGTCCAATTAAATGATTCTAGTTAACTCAGCTTTCTTTTGATCGACCATCATACATCTTACATGTTTCTTTCTTTTCCGATCATTTTCATCCGCATAATACAAAAAATTAATGCGTTTTTCTTATTCGAAAAAAATCAGCATATGTTTAGCCGGATGATTAATCACACGCGCTGTGATTTATGCATTTTTAAATTAAGCTCACACGAATAATATCTAGGTAAGCAAATTAATGCTTATAAAACTAATAGGAGACTCGAAGTGTGTTATAAAAACCCGTTCGCTTTCTTCGTCGTCGGCATGATACTCCTCTTGATTTTCTATTAGCGCTTAATTCATAATATTCATAAATTATTGTGGATAACTGTAGCCTTATATTTCGAGAAAAAAAAAAATTCTACGCTGTGGAAACAAAAAAATCAGTCATTACTTAAACACCTTCAAAACACAATAATATCATTATAAAATATTAAATTTACATCAATTTAACACATCTAACAATACTTCTACTATCTGTAAAATGACAGTGATTAGTGATGTGATTAACCCCGGTCACCTATAAAGCTATTACCAAAAGATTTCTACGTAGTACAAAACCACATGTGGGAGATCAAGATATCTCAAGTCAGTTAAAGTTGAAACATTTAAAATAAAATATTTTACAGTTATGCATGAGTGTGTCTAACTTCTGGTGCTCTGACCAGGCCGAAAATTAACACGGATAAATCATTTTAGATTTGGAAGAAATCGATGGAGAGCTCTAATTCGGCGTTGGCGTGGAGAAAATCATACGACGCGACCTTTTTTTTTTCAGCTGGTTACGCAATTTACTCGCACGCACTTTCAATTCAAGTTCAGTGGAACGACGCACCTGGCCCACAACCGGACGTGTTAATTACCGATCAAGACTATACTTGAAATGTGTATTTGGCGTAGGAAATGAAACAATTTGTAGGCAAGTCGGTGCTGGTTGTAGATATTTATGTGTTTAACACAGATTTTTATTTCGGCGATAGAGAAATGTAAATGTAAAGTAAAATAGAAAGAAATGTAAAAGAACTAACACGGATTTATTCAATTTGGAGTTCAATCGATTGTTTTGCTAAATTTGTGTGCAATTCACACGAAATTTGGTTAATTTATTGTGAAATTTAAGAATTAACTGTTAAAAATAAAGTTTTGTGATTTTTGTGATGTGAGATGTGAAGTTTTGTGTTTATAACGTGTAAAAAGAGTGATAACTCGGAAACTACTTAAGCTACAGTGTTAATTCTTTCAGAAGTAGATGGAGAATTAAATTTTGAATTCATTTTCAAAGAAATCATAAAAATATTTCCAAAATCTTCCGAGAAATTCATAAAAATTTAAAAATTTGAAAAATTAAGTGTGTTTACAGTCAACGTTTAGTTTTTAGTGATTACTCAGAAACTACTTAAGCCACAATGCTATTTCTTTCAAAAATAGAAACAGAATTAAATTCTGAATAAACTTTTGAAAGAATCATTAAAATATGTTAATAATCTTCCGAGATATTCATAAAACAAATTAAAATAATAAAAAATAAGTTGGTTTATAGTAAAAATTTAAGTTTTTAATGATTACTCAGAAACTACTTAAGCCACAATGATATTTTTTCAGAAGTAAGTAATACAATCAATAGTTTTATTAAATATGTATCCAATTCCCACAAAAATAATTAATTAATCGTAAAATCAACAAAAATACAGCAAAAAAAAAACACATTTTTGATATTTTTCTGTGGTGAGATTAAAAATATTGTTGTTACAACGTGTAAAAAATAATTTGTAATGCAGATTCAACTTGAACTTGTTGAGCAATTGGGTGAAAATGAAATATTGCACATTTCAGTATATAAACACGATCGGATCATTACCTCTCGTCTAAGAGAATAAAGTAAACACAAACAAACTCATATTTTACATTTTCTCTCCAAACTCAACGATCCTAACCTAAAACCCGTGCAGGTCAATGGTAATTATATGCTAATAGAATTCTATTCTCAACATTATCTCGGTAAGTAAAACATTTGTTTTTCGCCGGTGCAATAAAGACACTTCTATGAAATACTTACATTTATACACAATTATTGCATTGCGTTCCGGATATGAACGCATGAATGCGACAAAAGTGACAAAAACACACTAATTACTGTCGACAAGTAAATAATTGCGAGTTGCTTGAACACTAATTGCATTACTGTAGACATATTTAGACCTCAGTTTGGATGAAAACTCATAACTCATTACATAGCGGTGCAGTTAGGTTATTTCAAGTGAGGTTAGGTTGCATTGCTGATTATATTGCAATCAAAACTAATAACCTAGAAAATGACCGACAATTTCCAATCGCAATCATCCCAATGATACAAAAAGGAGTGGACTGTAAAGTGTTATTAAATTGTTATTGGTTTATTAGACGGATAATAAATTACTAACAAGTCTAACACATCAAGTCATAACACACTGTATATGCTGCTTCATGCCTGGATGCCTTCGATTCTGAACTTGCAACTTGTTAGTTTGATACATTGAAACTTGTTAGCTTTAATCTTATTAACCATATTAACAATAGAATAACGCTTGAGTTACTTCAAGTTTATTATCTGATTATAACCTTTACTTGCACTTATTGTAGGTTGCATACAGGCTGTTAAGTCGTTTTGTTTCAAGCGTTTTGAATACAAATTTATTAGTCTAGTCATGATGTCGACTGGTAAATGTATATATGCATATAGATACGAGTCGTCTACATTTAAGGGGACGTAAAATGCTAAAAGGATTGCCTATAAACTCTTCTTTTAAGAGGAATATTATTTGGAGTAAAATTCTGTTAAAAATAAAATAAAATTAAAGAAAATTTTATTAAATATTATTAGAGAATTTAATTATGAATATTTTATTAAAAATATAATATTTGTAGCTGTTTTAGATCAAAAGTTATTGACAAATTTGATAATACTTATGTTTTAAGTGATTACTCAGAAACTACTTAAGTCACAGAGTTAATTGTTTCAAAAGTAAATACAGAATTACATTCCTTATAACTTTTTAAAAGAATTGTCGAAATCGGTTGATAATCTTTAGAAATATTAAAAAACATAAAAAAAAATCAAAAATTAGCACGGTTTTACTAAAATATTAAGTTTTAAGTGATTACTCCGCAACAACTTAAGTCACAGTATTAAATCTCTCAAAAATTGATACAGAATTAAAGTTTAAATAAGTTTATAAAAGAATTGTCAAAATATGTTAATAAGTTTAAGAGTTATTCAAGAAAAACATAAAAATATCAAAACTAGTTTTGGATAAAAATTTAAGTTTTAACGGATTACTCAGAAACTACTTAAGTCACAGGGTTCGTTCTTTCAAAAGTTGATACAGAATTAAAATTGAAATAAGTTTTTAAAAGAATTGTCAAAATTGGTTGATAATCTTAAGAGATATTCAAAAAATATATAAAAATATCAAAAATAAGTAAGTTTTGAATAAAAAATTAAGTTTTAAGTGATTACTCAGAAACTACTTAATTCACAGTGTTAATTCTTCCTCTAGTTTATACAGAATTGAATTCTGAATATTTTTATAAAAACATAACATTTCTAGCTGTTTTCTATCAAGAATTACAAACAAATTTGTGTGGTGAATCAAATATAATTTTACTGTTATTTTACTTTGCACTAATAAGTACTTACAAACAAATTCATGTATTATGTAATGTTTAAATTACGATTATGAAATTTACCGACGTACAATTACATCGTATAAATTTCAATAAATAAAACACAAACATCCTCAGCCCAAGTAACTCCAAGAAGAAGTAAAAAAAAATCAAGTTTAATGTTTAATATCTAGACCGAGACCGAGAATGCCATTTTGAAGTTATTATTACCTCCTCATATAATAAGAAACACATCATTGTGCTCATCATCTTGAAAGCTTATTTAACTAGTTACTGGATGCGAGAAATGCATCGCAAACAAAGTGCGAAAAAAATCGTTCCATGCATAAATGAGAAATTGTGCATAAATCAGTTCACGTTCACACATCACTCGATTGTTACCCACCGGAAATACATATGTGTGCAAAATGACTAATACTCAATAATTTATGGCGAATCAAAAGCGTATTAAGGTTGTATATTTGCACTTTCTTTTATTGACCGATCGCCAAACGACAAAGAAATTATATCGACAGATGCGCGCCGAGTTTTCATGAAAAGTAATGGGAATACTTAATATCCAACTCACTTTTTTATAATTTCATGTTTGACTTGTAGAAATTAACATACTTTTACATTCTGTGTTTAATCCATGCGATTTTCTAACGATTTTAATTAAATTTCTAAGTTTATGTTTATTGGAAATTAATTAAAGTGTGTTTTACGGTTAGGGATAACATAACCTGCGTATTCGTTGTTGTATTTAATTAATT